ACAACAATCTAAGCTTCCTGAGCCAGTCACGGAAAGACAGTTACCGTGCACTCCCACTTTTCTGACAGAGGTCAACAGTGAAACAGACAGAGCTGTGGTGGCTTCCAAGTCACGGTGGAGGGGAAACTGGGAAGATCCTGTGCAGTGCTCCTGGGTCTCCAGTTTTGCAAGGTGTAATGTATCCTGGATCTGGAGGCTGGTGGGCATTACACGTAATGAATGTATTTAATACACTGAACTGTATGCTTAAAAATCATTAAGATACATTTTTATTATGTATATTTATTAAAATAAAAAATTATTTACAAAATACACAGAATTACATTTTAAAGTATTAACGTAAAGATAACTCACGGAAGTAAGGTTTCTGTACCTAATGCAGTGATGAAGCATCCATACCAGCAGACCGTGATACATGACGTATGAATATCATAAAACCCATCGAGACCACAGAGAAAGCCATGCAGAGAAACGTCTTCAGAAACACTCTGAATCAAGATAAAACCCCGAGGCAGGCTGTATCCTGGCTCAGCATACAAACCTCAAAAAAGCTGACATAACAGGAAGATAGCATAAAGATCTCCAAGCATTTAAAACTAAACCAAACACCTTTATGGCACAAAGAGAAAGGCTTAAAGGAACTTTTTTTAAATATACATAGAAGCAAAATAGAACTACAGCACACCAAGTTACATGCAATCAAGTAAAGTATGTGGACACAAACTGTCGCAGTAAGTGGTTATACTAGAAAAGAAAGACCTCGTTTAACTTTTAGAAAAAAATTAATAGCAAAATAAGCTCAAGGCAAGTAAAGAAAGGAATCAAGATAGCAGAAATCAGTGAAATCAGGGAGAGGATAATAATATAGAAGAGAAGTGGAACAAGAAGCTTATTTTTTAAAAAAGGACGATAAAATGCACTGATTTTTAAAATCCTGATAAACGTAAAACACTACCAATATCACAAAATAAAACATGATTACCACTTAGTGCTATCTTTAAAAGGGTAGTGAGGATGTACTATGAATAATTTTACACTCATAAATGAAAACACTTAAGACGAAATGAACCAACTCTCAAAAATAAATTACCAAGATACATCCAAGATGAGCCTGAGAGCCTGGGAGTCCTGTAGCAACTGGAGAAGCTGAATCTGTAATTTTAGGGTTTCTAAAAAATCAACTCACCGTGCCAATATGATTTCACTGTGGGATTCTAACACACGTTTAAGAAGTAGCAGTTACTGTCCCAGCTAATTTCGTGAAGTTAGTGTCATTGTCTTCTCACAAAGAAAATACAAAAAAAGTGAAATGCAATTAAAAACTTACAGACCCTGATATTCAATGTGAAATCCTCAATAAAAATAGCAAATCTAATCCAATGCACATTATTAAAAGAATTATGCAAAATGATGAATTGAGATTTATTTTAGGTGTGTAAGGCTGACTCAGTACAAAAAAATTATAATTCAGTAACAGGAAAAAAGATGACATATTCGTATTAATCAATACAGAAACAAAAGCCTTTAATAATATCCAGTGCGAACTCATGGGCCAAACTCCCAGTAAATTGGAAAAAAGAGGAGGCCTTCCTCCATTTGACAAAGATTGGCTGCCAGCACCCACAGTTAATATTATACTCAGCGATGAGAGATTGGGTGTTTTCCCCTGGAAGACCAAGAACAAGATAGCCACTTCCATCACTCTTGTTAAATGCACTACTGGAAAATTAAGCCACTGCAATACACCAAGAGTAAGAAATAAAAGATATAGAGCTTGTAAATGAAAAAGTGAAACACTATTTACAGATAGCTTGATTGACTACATAAAAATTTCATAAAGGAAAATAAAGATCTAGTTCAGCAGGTCATAATCTTACAATATTAGCACATGAAAATCAATCACATTGAACATTTGAAAACTGAATTTAAAACCAACAATAAACAATAATATTGTGTATGGCCAGTGTAAAATAAGTAGATACAAATTTAAATAAACAGGTAAAGGATCTGTATGCTAAAAATGACAAAATACTGATGAAAGAAATCAAAGAAGACCTAAAGAAATGGACAGATAAACCGTTTTCACAGAATGGAAGACAACAATTGAGTTATTGATTATACCAATTTGATCTGTAAGTTTAATAGAATTCCAATTAAAATCCTAGCAAGATCATTTGAAACATACACTGATTTATCCTAAAGCAATTTTCTGTGGAAAAGTACAGGCTATTGAGGAGCTAAAACACTCTGAAAAAGGAAGTAGGAGGAATCACTTTGTTATTGGAAAGCTAACTTTATCTTCTCTAGAAAAAGACAGTGTCATATTAGGGGAGCATGGACTTTAGAACAATGGAGCAGAGCAGAGAACCCAAACAGTAACCCACACCAGCACGCCCGAGTGTGCTTTTACAGAATTTGTATAGAACAGTGTACATACCATAAAGCCTTGGCCTTTTAAGGACAAGGCTCAGAGGTGCCAGGGACGTTGACACTGTTGTGTAGCAGCAACACCCTTCATCTCCAGAAGGTTTTTACCATCCTGTTCCCCGGGCCAGGACCGCTGGTTACTGCTCGTCTACACATTGTCTCTCTGAGTCTGTTCTAGGAACTTATCTTTGACAGAAGTACAGAAAGAATTCAGTGGAGGAAGGATGGCCTTTTCAACAAATGGTGCTATAGCAACTGGAATCCACAGGCCAAGAAGGGAAAAACAAAAAACTAAGAAATGAGCCTTAATGTAAAACTCGCACTTTATACAAAAGTGAACTCAAGCAGGGTCACAGATTTTTAAATGTGTAATGTAAAACTATGAAACTCGCCGGGGATTTAGCTCAGTGGCATAAGTGCCTGCCTGGAAGTGTGAGGTCATGAGTTGGATCCCTGGTACCGCAAAAAAAAAAAAAAAAAAAAACCAACTATGAAACTCTTTGGAGTAACCCTGGAGAACATCTTTATAGACTAGCACTGATGAAGAATTCTTAGATTTGACACCAAAAACATGATACAGGATAAATAAAACTTGTAAAGTAGATCTTGTCAAAATTGAAAATACATTCTCCAAAAGACCCTATGAGTAGGATGAACACACTGAGAAAAAGTACATATTCCATAATTACTTATATCTAGGATGTATAAATAAAACACTCAAACAGTAAAAAAGAAAACCCAATTTGAAAATTGACAAGAGACATGAACAGATGTTTTACAGAAAGATTCTGAGTCAGCTTCCTGTCACTGTAACAAACACCTGAGACAATCAGCTTATAAAGAGAAAAGGTTTCTTTTGGCACATAGTTTTGGAGGCTCCAGCCCCACATCATGATGGGCATGTGGCGGAACAGACTGCTCCCTGCTTAGCCCGGGAGTGAAAAGAAGAAAAGGAAGACGAGGTTGTCATCACCCCTTCAAGGGGTACCACACTGACCTGAAGCTTGCCCGCCAGGCATCATGTTTTAAGCATTCCACCACCTCGCAAAAGTGTCAAGAGCCAGACCCTAGCAGAAATGTGCGGGTGACATCTCACCAGAGACCTATGATGGCAGACACACATGAAGTGATACACAGCACCAGCCAAGAAGGAGGTGCAAATTAAGAGCTTGATGATGTGGCATCTCACACCTAGGAGGATGCTGATATAAAATACAGTGACAACACCGAGCACAGAGGTGACAAGGCCGAGCTACCCACCCACTGCTGGTGGGAATACAAAATAGTAACTCTGTAAAATGGTTCCACAGTTGCTTACAAAGCTAAACATCCAACTGCCGTGTAATTCAATGTTGCTACTCCAGAGCTCTTGTCCCACAGAAAGGAAGACTGTGCCCACGAAAAAGCCTTCACACAAACTCGCAGCAGCTTCATCAGACAATCAAAGTGGATGAAACCCGGTGTCCCGCAATGGGTAGATGACTAAACAAACTGATAAAAGCTGTGATCCAGGGCGTAGCTCTCAGCAGCGCAGACAACCTGGGGCGTCACTGAGGACAGGCTGAGTGAGCGGAGGAAGCCATGCAGAAGGTTCTACAGTGTGTGTGCATTCGCAGGCATCTATCGAAGACACACGTATAGAGATGCAGACTGGGGCCCTGGCTGCCCAAGGTCAGGGTGAGAGGTGAGGGAGGGAGGCCATGGGACGGTTCCTCAGTCCTTGTGGTGGGAATCTTCTGCATCTTCACTGAGTCTCGATTGGCGCTCTGGTCTTGGTCATTGCCCAACAGTTTTGCAAGCTTTTCTTATGGGGAGAAACTGGGTAAAAGGCTCACAGACCCTGTTTGTGTTATCTTACTACTACATGCAAATCTAGAAACAGCAAACAAGACAGAGCATGCATCCCACTGAGGCCCAACCAAAGACCAGGACTGTCTGTCCACCCAAGGCAGATGGAGACCATCCCTGGTCTCTCAGATCCTTCTACCCTGACATTCTAGTGTTGGATGGAAAAAAATGGACAGGAAAGTTACTTTCTATTGGTTGCTTTTTTTATTTTTTATTTTTCTTAGATAAAGCAGAGTTTTACAGAGATGTTACCTAGACAGCTTCAAAGCACTAGGCAGCCTTGAAAACCTGCAGGTTGGAAGCAAGGCTGCCATTCGACATTTGGCAAGTGCAGAAGTGAAGCCTGACTTCTCTTGAAGGTGAAGAACCGTGTCCAGGGGTGAGGCAGCCTGCTGGCACCCAAGTGCCCCTCCAGCCTGATGCATACAGCTGGAGCACCCAGCCTCCTTGGGTTCCAGCTTCTTGTCCAAGTCAAACAGGAAAAATAAAGGTTGCTAACTGCAGTCGTGCTGGGATCTCGTGGCATATATTTCTTTTTTTAAAATTAATTGGTACTGGGGATTGAACTCAGGGCTGCACACTTGCAAGGCAGATGCTTATGCCGCTGAGCTAAATCCCCAGCTCATGGCATATATTCCATCAGGACAGAATGAGTTACTTGCCGCGTAGTTTCCCTTTGGATCATGAAATGGGATTAAGATGATGCTGCCTTCTTGTCTTTCTAGTCATGGTTCATCGGAGCGTATTAAGATTCAGAACCAAAGGTTGTATGAAGTTGGAGGAAATATAGGTAAGCACTTATTCATCCACTTTACTTCTTCTTTTTTTTTTTGTCTTTTTCATTTTTTATCGGTACCAGGGATTGAACTCATGACCACACATTTGCAAGGCAGGCGCTTATGCTACTGAGCTAAATCCCCAGCCCTCATCTGCTCTATCTCTAAAGTTCCAGGTTAGTCTAAGAGAAATATGTCACTATTGTTGTAAAGGTATACTTTACAAGTTTCTTACATTAAAAGCCAGGAGGATATTTCTTTAATGTTCTTCTGTCAACCTTACTTTGCATTATTTGCTATTTGGGCACCTTTGGGCACGTCCGTGGCTGGCAGATGCCCAGGGTACATGTGGATAGCTGTCCTGCCGATAGGTGTCCCCATGGTCCTGCAGTATGAACGTTCCTAAAATGCTCTCGAGTCTGCTCCGGCCCTGCTCCAGTGACTGTCTGTAAAGCTGTTAGAGGACACATGTCAGCATATAAATCAGTTTATACCCAAAACAAACTTGGGTCATATTTCTCTATCTGATGTGCAGAGCTAAGGTGCAGTTGCAAGCAGAAACATCAGAACGGCACCCAAGATTTGAGGGCAGATTTATTTACGTTGACGGGCCCTGATTGGGATCATTCCCAGCACATTAGACCCTGATCTCTAGGGCTTATGTGAGATAAGCAAGCAGGAAGTGCAGAGGCAGAATGGCTTGTCAACTGGTGACTGGCTTATACGGTGTGCATCACAGTGACCAGCTGTGAATCACAGAGACCAGCTGTTTCTAGGAGAACAGGAGCAACCAGAACTGGAACAAGAACTGTTTCCTGGACAACCAAGAAACTGAAGAAAACAGGCTGGAGGGGCCATTTTCTGTTACAAGGGAATGATTGTCCTGTGATTGGTGTGACTTTTTTCCCACAAGTTCTTTCTCCCCCCCCCCCCCTCTCTCTCTCTCTCTCTCTCTCTCTCTCTCTCTCTTTCTTTCTTTCTTTCTTTCTTTCTATCAGACAGGGCCTCACTATGTCGTTTAGGCTGCTCCATGAGGCTCCTGAGTGCTGGGATTACAGGCATGCACCACCACATCTGACTGGCTTTTTTCCACAATTTCATGAGATTTATTTGAATTACTTTGCAGTAAGAAAGACAGAGGTTTTGTTAAGAAATTTTAAAATATATACACTTCCCTTTAGTGGGGAAACCTATTGGCCTCCCTGAACCTTCACACACATGAACCGTGCCTGGCGAGGTCTGGAGGACATTCTGTGATTCTTCTCTCTCTTTTAGGACAGCACTGCTTGGATCCAGATGCATACATATTGGATGTATATCGTGTAAATCCACATGCAGAATGGGTGATTAAGCCACAACCACACCCTTGAAGTACCCCCAAAGCGGCCGTCCTGCATATTGTAGCCCAAGAAGGTCCAACTCATGATGGGGAATGCTAGACTGCCTGGACACACCTGTCCCCATAGCTGTCTGGGTGTCCCTCGTCCCGAGGGGCGGTGTCTCCAGCTCTCTCCTTGTGAACTCTGCAGAAGGAGATGGTTCGGTACTTAAGCTGAACATTCTCCACGTTTCCCTGATGAAAGGAAGAAGACGGGACCCTTCCAGAAGGCAGGCACTGTGGAACTAACTCAGGGCTCAGTCCTGTCTGGTGTCTGATTCTGCAACAGACATGAGTGTGACCTCATACCTGGGGATGGGCAGCCCTTCCTTTCATAGCCAATGCTACCAACAAGTGGGAGAGACTTTTTTTATACTTATGTTATATGCATATATTGACTTTTTTTTAGCAAGAGTGTCAGAAATAGCCTTAATCTCTACCCTGCAAAATACTCCACATCTACTTTCCAAAGGGAATCGGTTTCTAAAGTGAAACAGACAATATTTATGTTCTCCGTGGCTCCTGGGTTGGAGGAGGAACTTCCGCCTAGAGAAAACCGTCGTGGCAGATGTGATGACCTTTGCTGTGTCACCGAGTACTAAAAATGATGTTTTGTCACCCATCGCCTTACATGTACACTGCCTGTGTGGAGGACATTGCGACACAGCTCTCAGCCTTCCAGACCCTGCGCTCTGCGCCCAGGAGTCTCTGTTCCCTTCACGGTCCTGCTCAGGAATACCCTTCCCTGTGCCACACAGATGTGCTTCTCTGATCACACGCATTGTTTCTGTACATTTACTGCTGTAGGTAGTGCTTGCTTTCTGCAGCCCCCACCTAAAGTTACAGAACTGCGTCTATCCCAAGAGTGCTGAAAGGTCCCCTTCCCTCCGGCTTTTACAAGCTGTGCACACAGACTTTCTTTTGTTCATGGCACATATGTGAGAATGGCTGAGGCCCGTGGAGGAGCATCGGGCCGCGGGATGAGATGCATGTCGGGAAGCCTCGGCAGCCACCTCACCGTCAAGCTTCTGCCCTGGGTCGCAGCGCCGACCAAATCTAAAACACGCTCTGTCCTCTCTCTTAGCATCGCAGATCCTGGCTCTCTAGGACCAAGCCAAGATGGCACAGCGCTCTCTTCCCCCTGGGCATAGACTTCAATGTGATTTTGATCAGTTTTAATAACGATTAAGGGCCTGGTGCCTCTCACTTGCAGTTCAGTGTGGAATCACAAACCCGGGAAACGTTTTTATTTTACCAAGTGCCAACATACTGTGATGATACCTGTAAGCGCGGTTAGAGAAGCAGGGCTGTGCACGCTGCCTCGCGCCTTGATGTCTGTACAAAGCACTATTTATGCTCCACATGCAGATAATTGTGTTTCTGGCCTTTGGGATTTTGTTATGCTTTTATAAGAAATGCAAAGATGCATTCATTTGTTTGAGAATCTTTCTTTTGCCAGGTGACCAGTGAGAAAGGAAGCAGGTTTATACTTCTGCACACATTTCATTGGTTTTCAAAGTGTGCTAATGTGAGTTTACACAGTGAATTTCCAGAGTATGGAAAAAAAAACTTCTACCGCCTTGGCGGCAGCAGTGAACCTGCTCATTCTGTGGCAGCCGAGTCCGGAACCCTTACGTGGCAGTGACCCAGGCCCATGCGTGGAAGGCAGCTTCCCAGGAGCGGCCTTACATTTCTGTCTGTGTCTAACTCTGGTGTTTGTCACTACATCTTACTGGATTCTCCTGCAATTATACATAAAATTCGTAACTGTATTCATTCATTATTTTTATTTCTGAGTTTCCATTTCTTTTGACTGACAACACATTAGAACCTGTTCTGAGTTCTGAAGATTTTCAGGTTTACCCCCTCTTGTCACCAACCCCCCAAATGGTAGGTAAAATACAATGAGTCTCTGGATTTCTTACCCATTTTGTGATTTTAGACATCAAAGACTTCACTTGGACCATTCCCCACACTAATTGCTGCATCCAAGCCATGTAGCAGCTTGTAAGTAGCTGTGCCCGTGTAGGGCTGAGTCAGAATCACAGAATCAGAGTCATTAATGTAACTTTTATTCTTGATAACAAAGTTATCTAGTTGGGTACTTGTATTACTAAAAAAGTTCTTTAGCCTAATGTTATTTTTTTCTCTTTCTTTCTTTCTTCTTTCTGTCTGTCTGTCTGTCTTTCTTTCTTTTTTTTTTGTACCAGGCATCAAACTCACAACCTTGCACTTGGCAGGCAGGTGCTTATGCCACAGAGCTAAATCCCCGGCTCCCCGCTAATGTTATTCTTCAAGAATATCCACTATGATTAAGCCCTAAACTGCCAGCCACCTAAGAATTGGGAGGATTAAAAAACAGCCACTTAGGGGCTGGAGGTTTAGCTCAGCGGCATAAGCACCTGCCTTGCAAGCAGGCGGTTGTGAGTTCGATCCCCAGTACCGATAAAAAATGAAAAAGACCAAAAAAAAAAAAAAATCTTAAAAAACAGCCACTTGTTGTTTTAAAAACTTCAGTACCAGAAAGCAAATGATATCTGTACAAACAAGAGGAAGGTCATATACACAGCTCATAAATAGTATCTTTTTGTTGTTGTTGTTGTTTGTGACAGGTCTCACTATGTAGTTCAGGCGGGCCTTGAACTCACTATGTAGTGCAAACTGACCACAAACTTGTGGTAATCCCCCTGCCTCGGCCTCCCCAGTGCTGGGATCATAGGTGTGCGCCACTACACCCAGCTATAAACTTTAATTCTTAACGGCTTCTCACTCTCACCCCATTTCAAGTTGCTGTTGGTACATATTTGGGAAAGTATCAGAGGACATTAACACTTTAAAACACTATTCAGGAAAGTTCCTGGACCTGGTTCCTTGTTTCCTGCATTCTGCCAAGGAGGCGGTGCCCTTGGGGACACTGCGTGTGCATTGGAGTCAGCGGCTTCTGAACAACTGGGGTGCAGGTCTTCACGACGCGCCGTAGTATAAGCTACCTCCCGTGCCTTTCTTGGAAAACAACCGAAGGACTATGACAGCGTCTGCAGCCAGCCCCGTGTCATATTGAAGCTGCCTCGGTTCACTTCCAGTGTACATTTGGTAATAGAATTCATGGTGTGAGATGTTTGTAAGCTTTATAGCTTTAAAGCCACAAAGGCCTCTGTCATGGAACCAGGGTGGCTGCCTGGTGCCTCGGCCGGTGGTAACGGTCTCAGCTTCCCGCTGTGTGCACAGGTGGTTTCCAAAGGTAGGAGCTACTGTTCCTCTCTCCCTTCGGGCCTCTTCTACTGCCGTCCATGCATTTCAGGACTGAAAAGTAACATGAAATTGAAATACAGAGGCCCAGCAAGCATATTTCACCTATTTTTCATATATGTGTTACTTGCCTAAAAAGATTGGGTAGGACGGGACTGAATAGTTCCTGACTCACATTTATCAACTGTTCCCATAAATATGTCACCTAATAAAAAATGATAGGACATGGGATTAAAATGCCCAAGTATTTCAACAGTTTTTACACACAGGCTGAATTTTGAAATAGCATCTTTTCTTTGTCCTTTTCAAGATTCCTTGATGCTCTTAATTTGTAAATCATGTGTCACTGGGAAATGCCTGCACTGTACATCTGCTTCCTCCGAAGTTGATGCTGACTCTTATCCTGTCAGCTTCCAAGGTTAAGGAGAATGTGTATGTTGCATTTTATCCATAAGAATAAAAAGCAAAAACTATGGTTGTAAGAATTGTTCTGTTGGACATGTTTGAGGAGACAGTGGCACAGGTGAGGGACCCGGAGCTCTGCGCCACTCGGTTTGTGTCTGAGCCCATCTCTGTCACTGGGGAGCCAGGTGGGGGCCAGGCCAAACCAATGGGCACCCTAATAGCAGCAGGAGGTGGAGATGGAGGAGGGGTTGAATTGAGTAAGCAATAGCTGTTTCCTACGGTAGGTAGTCAGAGTAACTGCTTTATCCAGGAGGATTCCTGGTATGTTGTACGCATATGTGTGCCCACCCTCTTTTCCATAGATACAGGAAAGGTGTTTGACAAAACAATATTCATGTACTTTTTAAAAAATTGAGCATTTTAATGTGTTTTCCAAATAATGGAAATAAAATGCATAAGAACTAAAAGAGAAGTAACATGATCTCAGCTGAGATTGGTGGTATGCTTTTGTAATCCCAGCCACTCAGAAGGCAACTCATTTTGCAGTATGCTTAAAAGCAAGATATAGCTGGGGATTTAGCTCAGCAGCATAAGTGCCTGCCTGGAAAACAGGAGGTTGTGAGTTTGATCCCGAGTACCAAAAAATATTTAAAAAATAAAAGCAAGATACTTGGATAACTGCACAGAAGGATAGGTAGGTCCAGACAGAAGATGATACAGAGATAGTTCGAGCCATCAATTAATAGATGACAGACACACAGACAAACAGATGGATATACACTTGGCTGAATCTACTCAGACATTTACGGTTCGTGCTGGTGGATATGCCAGTGTGTGATTTCCTATGCTTGAAGTTTTCTGTAATAGAATTTTGCCTTCCTAACTAGCAAGCACTTTTTGCACTTACTGTTTATGAACTTATAGCTGGCAGAAATTCATTCCAAGCCATCTCCCTGTCACCTGGCAACGTCTTCCAGCCTCCTGGAGCGCGAGGTCTGTCCGTGGATAACAGAGGCCTTTACTGTCATCGGTGAGCCTTTGGCCCTCTGTCCCTCCATGTCACCCAGGGCCTTCAGCCAGTCACAAAGCAGCATCTGTGTAAGTCCAAAGCCTGTGAGACTGCGCACTGTCAGCGGTGAAGCCGCCAATCTGGATGTCTGTCTACTGCCACACTGAAACAGGTGCTATTTTTCAGTTTTGTGACTCTTCTGGTGCTTTGTGTCAAAGGAGCAGCCTTACCAGCTCAAAAACAGATCTCGACGTCCTCATGGCTCGATTCAGTTCGCCCCAGTAGCTCAGGGATTCTGTTTTCAATTCTGTGTCAGTTACGTTGTCTCTGGTCCTGCAGCTCTTGATTCAGCAACAAAATAGAGCAAAAAGCGTGCTAATGAATATGCCATCACAGAAAACCAGCCTCCTGCCCATCTTTGGCGAGCTCACGTCCACCACAGACCATTGCATCCATGGCTGAAGGCAGAAGCTCCCGAACTTCTCGGCCTGCTCCCTCCACCTGAGCACAGGCTCCCTGCTCACAGGGTCACGGGCTGCGCTCTGCTCATTTTCAGACACCACATTGTCGAGAAGCACAGATGCCCGCCCAGCAGTGAGGTGGAGCTAAGGGGAGCTGTCAAGGCAGGGAGCGTAGACGAGATGGACCCCAGCAAGTCACCCTGAGGATGAGCTTGGGAAGGATCCACATTTCTCCTTCAATACCTGCTGGAGCCAGAAGCCTGCATCTGTGTGCCACACTGCCCACAGCGAGGGAGAGATTTTCTCTCCCAAGGATGCAAACATCATAGGTGATTTTACACCATCACCAGATCCACCAAGATGGTCTCCAGCCAAATGGGTCCCTAGGAGAAAGGAGCTGGAGCATTATCCCTGAGTCAGATTCCTACGCAGAGAAGGAAGGTTATGCTAATCCTTTGTTTCTGTCCTTCCGATGCTTGATGGATTTGCTTAACACACCAATATATACATGCAACATATACACCTGAACACAAAGATTTGACGTTTTCAGTGAGATAATAGTTTTCTTCCCTTTCATCTCTAGACCTACCCAGTTAAATGTGTCCAGTTCATCCTAATAATACTCCTTTTGTGTGTGGGTGTGAGAGATAGGGTCTCACTTTGCAATCCAGGCTGACCTTGAACTTGTTGATGTAGCCCAAGCTGGCCTTGAACTCACGGCAATCCTCCTGCCTCAGCCTCCCAAGTGCTGGGATTACAGGCATACGCTACCACACCCAGTTCATACTCCCATATTTTTATCCTGGGAATTATAGGCATATTTATATTAAGTCACAGTACATGACAATGTTTAACATCAAATCACAGTGTGACATAATTTTTATCCAGTTAGATAAAAGTGTCCGATTGTCAACATTATAAATTTAGCACACTGGAAAAAAGAAACCCAGTTATGATTAGCAACTTCCTCAAACTCAAAACCTGTTTTTTTCAGTGCTGAGGATTGAACCCAGGGCCTACACACTAAGCTACATCCTCATTGTTTTATTTTAAGATAGTGACTTATCCTCCTGCCTCAGCTTCCCAGAGTGCTGAGGTTACAAGTGTGTACCAGCATTCTCAAATCTCAAGCCTAAAGCCCTGGAACTCTTGCCCACTTCCCTCGCCCATTGGTAAGTCTCAGAACAGTCAAGATTGAAAGCACAGCTCAGCCATTCCCCAGAGGACGCTGACAGGCCCAGGTTCCCTGGCTCACACCTTTCTGGACTTCATTTTATTCTTGATTGACACATAATAAAGGTACATATTTATGGGCTGCAACTCCATGTTTCAATACATACAACCACTGGTGATGACCGAATCAGGGTGATTAGCACATCTGTCGCTTTGAATATCATTTCTCTTCAGTATTCCAAGTCTTCAAGCTATTTTGAAATATACAGTGCATAACTTTTAACTGTAATTGGCAAAAAAAAAAAAAACCTGACCCACCCGGGTGACCACGATCCTGCCCTCGAAGCCTCTCGGCCTTACTGTGAGTGAGCTCACACGCCCTCACAGTGCAGCCCCTGGCCTTTCTGCCTGAGCTTTAACACTCCACCTTTCAGGCCCATATGCGACTTTTCTGTTTTCCGGTGTTGGTCACTAGACTGCAGCCAAGGACTCTGATGTGGTGCCAGAGCCTGCAGAGGTCATCAGAGCCTCACAGGGCTGGCCATGGCTGTGTCCTGAGGCCTGGCTGTGTCTGGACTTCCCGTGGGGCTGCCACACAGCCCTGGTCTGCTCAGCCTCCAGGGTGCTGTGCGCTGTCAGTTCTCACCTCGTAGACTGCCCCACGAAGGACTCTGTGGCTTCTGGGCCACCTCTGTCCCCTATGGCCCCCAGGTCCTTCCGGGCCTCAGCAGAGCCCTAACCCAGTAGATGCGCCCTCTCATCCGCTGTCTTTCTGGGCATCCGTTGGAAAGGTGATGAAAGTCGTCCGGGTGATACAATTCCTGCCTGATACTTGGGTTTTCTTCCCGCTCTGGGAATTTGCCTCACCCAGGCCCAGTTCTCTGATGATTTCAGGCCATTTGAAGGCTAGCTGTCCCTGCGTTCTTGGCCAGGAACTGCAGCTTTCCCTTCTACTAGCCTGGGAGGTTCTAACTTTGAGCCTGGTGAAAGATTCTTCCGGAAGGTCAACTTGGGAACTGGTCTGCTGTCCTGATGCAGAGGACATTATCTGCATTCCAAAGATCCTTGGCAGCAAAGAAGCAGAACAGCCAGAATAAGATCTGGGGTTCTGGGGCCACTTGACCAAGCAAGTGACTTTTCATCAATAGATGACACCCTGACCTCTCTGAAGCTAGAAAGCGCTGGAACCAATTGATAGTAACAACCATTGGCATATTCCTATAGAGAATGCCATCGCGTTTACAAACTTTTCTGTTAAAAAAAAAAAAAAAAGCATGCTTAGCGGCTCTGTGCACCTCTCTGACATTTTTCTCACTGCAGAGCCACTGTTGGCTTTTACTCCTTAGCTGCAGGTCCTCGGATGATGGCTGATCGACAGTGTCACAATACCAGACAGCTGAGCCTCAGTTACTGAAGGGAGTCACTAATAAACTGCATCCATACCATTTAAAATATCTGCTCACCATGTGAGCTCTGCATGGAAAGACAAGCTACTCATTAGCAGAAAACAAATGTGTGCGGACATGTGTGCAACACAAAACAAGTAGAGAGCAGCTCACTAGGAAAGACAACTCCCCTTCCAGACACGTGGAAAAGGTTTCCACACTTCATAAAAATAGTCAGTGTGCACATCATCAGCCAACGGAAATGCTGATTCAACCAAAAGAATCCTCAAAATTAAAGAGACAGTACAAATACGAACCAGGATAGAAGAAACCGTCACCCTCCTCCAGAGCTGGTGGGACCCCGAAACACTGGCATCACTTTGGGAAACTGGTAAAACATCTTTTTTAAAAGCAGCATCTATGCTATCTAGAAATTGAACTCCTAAGTATTTACCCAAAAGAAAGTAAAGCTCACATGTCCACTCACTTGTTCATGGGTTCATTCATGATACACAAAACTTGGGAGAAGGGTCAGACACCCGTGGTTAGTCCTACCCAGCAGTAAGAAGGGACTGGTTTAAAGCATATGCAACAGTCTGCTTTTTTCTTTTTGGTACCAGGAATCGAACTCATGACCTCACGTTAGCCAGGCAGGCTCTGTGCTGCTGAGCTAAATCCCAGCCAGCATCTCGTTCCAGTGAACGTGCCTCCCCATGGTGCCCAGGGTAGCATTTACACGCTTGATCACAAGTACACACTCAGGAAAGGGAACTTTCAGAGCCGCTTCAGCAAGTGTCAAGAGCAACTTGATGTGAAGCAAGGAGGATGATTTTGAGGGGGCTAGTGCTGATGTGCCTTTTAGGGTCACGTACATTTAAACACACAAATTCACTGTAAATTTTGAAGGCCCATGGTCATGGAGCTTGATCCTTACTGTGGGGGAGGGCCTTCTTTGCAGTAGGCATCAGGACATTTGGGGCCTCTCAAGGGAGTGTTTCTCAGGCCAGCCCTTGATGGATCCCACATGAGAGTTGTCACACAGCCTGAGCCGGGCCCCATGCAGCTCTCTGGCTTCCCATTTGGGGAGGGGCTTGCTCCTGGACTGTGTCCCTAGCGTCCACATGCCCCACTGTTGCACAGCTAGGGGGGCCTTGGAGGAGCTGAGGCAGCAGGCACTGTACCCTGGAGCTCCTGAGCGATGTGCTTAGGGTATCACTTGGCTTCCTAAGTCACCTGCCTCAGGGGCTCCTTTACAGTGACAGCACTGCAACCAACATGCTTCCCATCCGTGTAGGGCAGGGGCCCTGTGCTCATATGACACCCCACCCCCTTCATCTCCAGCAGCACTGTCAAGGTGGGAGCACTTTGCACACACAGCTGTTATTCTCAGGGTGCCCCTCACATTTGTGCCAAGTCATGTGATAGCGTGAGTCTCCCCATGGGCTTCTGTGTTATCACCAGGGCTTTAGGATAAAAGCCCTGGCACCTGTACTCTCCAGAAATCAGGCTTGGGCACCTAAGAGGAGCAGTGGAGGAGGGTGGGAAAGGCGCTGTGCGTAGCCACAAGGAGAGGACAGAGGGTCCCAGAGCTGCAAGGGGCTGACGGGCTTCCTGGGATTTCACAGCAAAGGGGAACAAGGGCCGGGGTTGGGAGTGCGTGCAGCTGGCAGGGCAGGCGTGGGCTGGCTGGTGGTCTGGATTCTGGAGGCTCCGGGAAAGCCATTCTCTGAGAGGACATTCTGCTTTCCTCTGTGAGATGACCGAGTAGCAGTCCCTACCCTGGGGTAGCTGCTTTTGCTTGGGAATGCCCCATCTGGGGTGAGCTGTTCCCTGGGGCTCACAAGTGCCTGGGCAGCTTTGGTCCCTCATTACAGTACAGGAGACAAAGGGATCAGAGGGAGACAATACAGAGCCCATCAGTCAGTGACTATGACCCTCAGTGTTACACTTAAGCCTGTTTGGGATCTTAACGAGTGTGTGAAAATGCACACACACGAGCACGCACGCGCGTGCACACGCGCGCACACACACACACATACACGCGCCTCTTGGCTTATCTACTTTAATTCACCATTTTAACTTCAACATCCAATCCTGGTGCTAGGCTGGCACCCAAGTGACAAGTACTTGACAAATGGGTCTTCTACATGAAATCAAGTTTCATTCCTAATCCTCACCCACTGTGAGGTTTGGGACAGCTGTGTGGAGGATACGAAGCAGATAAGAGCACCCGATAAGAGCACCCCATAAGAGCACCCGAGTGTCAGTCCTCCTCCTCCAGGCTTGGCTTTGTCTTTCTGATCAGCTTTGCCCGGGGTGAGCCACACTTGGTTTCCCCATGCTAGGGCTCTGAGCCCATTCTAAGGGCTGGGAAAATGGCAAGTGAAGGCCACTTTTGCTTTGAAATGCAGCACGTCTCCCGACTAGCACCTTTTCTTTACCCAGAGCACATCTTCTGGCAGGAGGTCAGGAGCAAACAGCCTGCTTGCAATGCCAGGAGGAAATGAGAAAAATCAACCAATTTACAGTTACAGGTAAGTTGGAAGGAAACCTAGACAAAGGTTTAGAGAAAAAATGTAACACTGCGGAGAACCACAGTCTATGGGGTGGTCATACATTTTCATTTGTCTTTTGCGTAATTGCTGAATCAGCCATTGGAGGAGGATTTTCACATCTAGGTTCAGAAGGAAAGTCACTCAATAACTGTGTGACAGTCAAGGTCACACCACCCCAGTTCCTTGGCTGGGGTGCTTTTTGACTTTCGTCTGCTTTGGATCCAGTGTGTTAGGTAGTGAAAGCGGAAAGCGAAGAGACCCTTCGCCACAAGGCCGTTTCCTGGGGACAGGCAAGCTGGCGGCTGGCAGGGCGTGACAATAGCAGAAGGTACTTGCACACTCCGTGTGCAGTTTGCTGGAGGCCAATTACACCTCTACTGAGCTGCTTTTCAAAAGCCCGTGCGTGGCTTGTGCCTGAGCTCTGCCATACAGTGGCAGTGTCCTGGGTCCCCTGCTAACAGACCCTGAGGACACAACCAAGGGCACCGTTCATCTTAGGACCACAGAAAGGAAGTGGTTGGAAAAAACAGGAAGGTCTGTAACCTGCCACGGAGGACAGTCAAAAACACCAACCTCTAGAAGCATGCCTGGGGGGAGACTGACGCTCCCTGAACCTAGAGCTTCCCTCCCTGGAGACCTCACAGTTGTCTGCTTCTGTCCGAAAGGGAAGCTGGCTTCTGCCCCAGCTCTCCCACAGGGCAGCGTGACGACTGTCGGGTTACAAGTCCTAGATTACAATTCCACCAGACAGCAGAGACCAGGAAAATTATTACAGGGGGCTGGTGGGTCCCTAGGGCCTTGGACACACAATCCATCAGGATATTTGGGGGTGCGAAGAGGGCTTTACTTTAGCCATCTGTCCCCAGGATCCAGATTCCTAGTGTGGCCAATGTCCCTCTTGCGACCTCTGAGATCTGAAAATCACCCCTTCAAGGAGGAAGCAAGGAAGCCAGCAGTCTCAGCCATTTAAGGCGGGAATGAAACTTGAAGCAATAGGAGGTCCTTGTCTCCTCTACTCTGCAACTAGTGGCAAGCGGAAGGACAGGAAGTTCCTATCACATCGGCCAGCTAGGCAGAAGATCTGGACTATTGCTGCAAGTGTCATTCTCGAGAAGTTTCCAGGAAATACCCTTCCCTTTCCCCTCCTGTACAAGTCCTGCAGAGAAAGCACCATCGAGGTCCTTCCCATGCGTCGCAGAGCTCCACGCGGCTGCGCCCAAAGCGCCTGCGCACTGCCACAAGCACGCAGGTCAGGAAGTCAGGCTGGGCTGCACGGCCTCTCGGAATGCGCCTCCCAGAAACCTAAGTCTTGAAATTGCTTCCCTGGGGGAGAAATCACAAAAGAAATCAGTTTTTTTTTAAAGTCCCAACATTAGGTGTAAAGGAAGCATTTTCCAGCTTTGTGTTCTCCTACATCTCTGCTTGGGCAGTGTGGTTAGGAAGAGACTGTGGCCTTCGTGTGGCAAAGGACAACACTGCCCAGAGGACTCTGATGTCTGCAGGGGCCTGCAGGGACGCTCACCTGCGGCACAACACAGCCTGGGGCTGCACCGGCTCGCTCAGCCTCCAACTGGTGAGAGTCATAGAATTCTCCACGGAGGTAGACATGGTTGCTGCCTCCTCTCATGGAAGTTCTGTCCATCTCAGGAGAAAAACGATTTGAAAAAGTCAACAGAAGCAGACATACCAGGCACAAAGGCGCGAAGCTAAGCTCTCAGGAGCCCCACTGTAAGAGGCTCCTTCCTCACCAGAGTGTCCCACCCCTAACAGGGCCTTTCCACCAGCGCAAGAGCCAGGCTGGCTTCTCAGAGCCATGGTCTCCTCATGGGCGCAGCTAAGACCGCAGTGATGCAGTCTCAGGAGGAAGAACTGTGTGGGACTCAGTGCGCCTGCACACGGAAAGCCTCTTCTTCCCCCGGGAAGCGAGGAACCCCCAATTGCTACTTCTCACCCGGCTGCTGCCAAGAGCACTTTCCCTGGTGGGAATTCCAAACTTCTGTACTGCATAGTGACTACTGTTAATTTCCTATATCCTTTCTGCTGTTTTTATTTTGTTCTCTTTTAATCTCTTTAAAATAGAAAAACGACAAAGTACTGTACTGTGATGCTCAGTATTTGTTTGAAATTACAGTACATTAGTCATTTTGTTATGTTTTAAACTTCCCTATACATTTACAAATGATGATAAAAGTGTTTTTAATATTTGGAGAAAGCTTTTCAAGGTCATGGAACAATTACAGCTTTTCTCATAAATTATTAAAATCTCTGCACGGTCAAAAAAAATCCAACCTCCTCTACGATTTCTGAGATAGCAGGGGACGTCATCTGTATTAAGAAATAAAGGCATCAGGCTCAGAGAATTAAATGACCTACTTCCGAATCTGTGCTCTCTGCACCCGGCCTCCCCGGAGGACGGACGGCTGCTCAGCCCTGCAGCCCTGTGGCAGAGGGAGTGGGGCTCACCACCCCTCTGGTGACTGGGATCTTTTGCTCTGGTCAGGCCTTGGGACTCCCCTTGCCGGCACAGGCCTCTCACATGTCTGCCATACTCTGAAGCACAAGAAAGAAAGTGGGGTGATATCCTTAAACCCTGAAACCAGGAGTGTGCCAGGGCAACAACCCCAGCTGTGCCCCCACAACTACAAACGACCCAGAGAAGAGCCCAGACGTGATTCTCTTTCCTGCCCATATTTCCCAGTCTCAGAGCTGCTGCCCTGCAACTCCAGTCTTTCCCGAAGCTTCGCCCCCCTTTCCAGCTGGACCCCTCTTCCAGAGGCCCTGCCTAGTCCAGGATGGCCCCACCCAATCCAGTGTGGTCCCGCCCTTCCGTGCAGGGACCTTCTATGGGTTCCTCTCTGGGGATGGGCTTCCTCAGGGCTTCCCACCCCATCCAGGCTCTCCCCCTGCCCAGGGACCCACACACTTCATGGGTCTGGGCTCTCTCCAGAATCCCCTTCTCGAGGGGTCCCACCTCTTCAGGAGTCACCCGCTGTCGCTCCTGCCCCTTTTCAGGGTGCCCCTCTCCGGCCTCCCGTTCCTCTAGGGGTCCTTCCCTGCCCTCTCCCGGTCCCCGCCCCGCTGCACCACACATGCTGTGCTCCGGAGCTGAGTGGGCCGAGGGCCTCACCGGCGCCCTCTCCTGCTCCGCAGAGGCCGCTTCTCCCGCCTGGAAGAGCCCGAGGAGCTGCAGCTCACCAGGACGTGGACTGCTTTGTTCTCCTGATGCCGCCGCTGTGCCCTGCGCATCCCAGCTGCCAAGCGCGAGGCCACGCCTACTGTCCCCAACGGCCCAACCGCCCAACCTCCCAACGGCCCAACCGCCCAACCGCCGCAGGCCCCGCCCACCTCTGGGTCTCTCCGCCCCGCCCCCGGCCCTATCTAGGACCAGTTTTCTGCTGTTCCTACACTACATTCACCTCACTCTTAGCCACGCCCGCCTCCAAGCGGACCCTGCCCTTGCCAAGCCCTCTCCTGAATCGCAGGTCGACTCTGCCAACTCCACCAATCTTCAGGCCCTAGCCGCTAGGCCCCGCCCCTTCCATGGCCCTGCCCCTTCCGTGGCCCCGCCCGTTCCACAAGCCCACCCGGGTTTTGGGTACCAGGGCGCCTGCCTAGCCAAGGCACTGCTAACCTCTTGGTAGTGGGAAGTGAGGAGAAAGGGCTGGCAACCATATTGGGTCTCTGGGGTCACAACCCAAGGACCTACTCACTTCCACAAGGCCCTATCTCCTATTTCCATGACCTCCCAAGGATGCCTTCCAGTTATGATGTTATCCTTCCAATGAGTTGGGGCGCATTTCAAAGTCAAGCCACAATGGCAGTTATGTCTTGAGGTTCGGAATGAGGAAGTCTGCAATTTTTTTTTTTAAGAGAACAAAACCAAACAAATAGGGTAAAGCCAAAAAAAAAAAAAAAACCAGCGAAAGCAATACAGGACTTCAAAACAAGATCACAAGAAATCAGCAATGAGCGATGACTGCCATAATGTCTCTGTTATCTTCCAAATAGCTGCCCATACCATCAGACATAATAAATCAAGCCAAATAAAACAGTAGAAAACCTATCAAAACAAAACTGTGAAAGTGAAAGGGGAGGAAATGTCTAAAAAGGAACGGTGCCAGCCATTCTTAATTCTCTATTATTTTGTTTTAAAATCCTATATAATTTTATTGTTTTGTTTTGATTGGCCTTATTCTGTTTGGTTTGGTTTGGTTTTATTATATCTGATGGCATGAACAGCTATTTCAAAGATAACAAGATCTATAATAGTAGCCATTGTTGCTTTTTTATTGTTTTGAAGTCTTGTTTTGATTGGTTTTATTCTGTTCTATTTGATTTTATTAGGTTTGATGGAATGGGCAGCTATTTTGAAGATGCCTCCAATTTTGTTCTTGTTGTTCAAGACTGCTTTGACTCCTTGGGATGTTCTGTGCCTCCACATAGTTTTTAGGTTTTATTTTCTCCAGTTCTGTGAGGATTGTCATGGGCATTTTGATGGGCTTTGCATTGACTCTGTAAATTGCTTTGTATAGTATGGAATTTTAATAATACTATTCCTTACAATCCATGGTCATGGGAAATCTTTTCCATGCATGTACATGTATGTCTTCAATTTATTTCATCAGTGTTTTGTGATTTTCATTGTATTTCAGGTATTTTACTTCCATCATTGTATTTATTTCTCTGGGCTTTGTTTTTTGTAATACCAGAATGGCATTTTTTTTTTTTTTTTGGTACCAGGAATCAATTTTTCAGTAATTTTAATAGTGTATAAAATGCTACTAATTTTTGTATGTTGATTTTGCATTCTGCAACATTACTGAATTTTTCTATCATTATCTAACCCTTTTGGTCGAGTCCTTAAATGGTCTACATCTTAGACTCATACAATCGCTAAGCAGGGATAATTTGGCTTTACCTTCCGTTTCTATGCCTTGTCTTTCTTTCTCTTGCCTGACTGAATAAGGGTTAAGAGTGGATACCCCGGCCTTGCTCAGATGTATGAGTACATGCTTTCGGCTGTTTCTCGTTTTGGATGGCATCGGTTGTGGGTTTGTCAATGTAGCCTTGATTCCACTAAGTTACGGTCTTTCTACATCCCCATCTCAGTAGACTGGATAATTTTCCTCGGGTTTACTGACCCTTCATCTCCACTCTGCTACCGAATTCACCCGTGATTTTTTTCACTTTAATATATTTTCAGTTTACTAACTTTTGTTTGGCTCCTCAGTTTTTCATTCTTCTGTTGAAAACTTCTATCATTTCATTCACTCGACTATTTCAAGTGTTTCTCTCAATGTTACTATGCATAGATAAAACAGCTGCTTTAAGGACTTTAATAATTGCCTGTTGACACTGGCATTTGTTCATTTTTTTCTCCACCTTGGGAACTGCTCTCATTTCCCTAGCTGTCTGAATTGTATCCTGGACAATGTGAATATTATCTATTGTAGGCTCTGGTTCCTATAACAGCTGTCTGAAGACAGTTGGTATCTTCTGTTCTAGACAGGGAAATTGAAAATTTCCATAAGAATCAGTGGTGGGGGGCTGGGGATTTAGCTCAGCGGCATAAGCGCCTGCCTTGCAAGCAGGCAGTCATGAGTTCGATCCCTGGTACCGATAAAAAGGAAAAAGACCAAAAAAAAAAAAAAAACATGGGGGCTGGGGATTTAGCTCAGCAGCATAAGCGCCTGCCTTGCAAGCAGGCAGTCATGAGTTCGATCCCCGGTACCAATAAAAAGGAAAAAGACAAAAAAAAAAAAAAAAAAAGAAAACAACAACAAAAAAACCAGTGGTAATTCCCTGATTTATCAAGTCCTTTTATCAGTTTAGGAGTCATTTCCTTCTTTCCTTCCAGTGTAGCATGTAATAAAAGGAGGAAAGTCCTCCTTCAGCCTGGCCTGCTGGCACACACTTCTGAGAGTCCACACCTGACTAGTTTACATCAAGGCTCGCTCGTGTTCTCAGCTGAATTCCATGTTTATTTTAATCATTCCTCAAGGACCCACAGTGACGTTTCCATCCCCCGTGTGAATCACACTCACTGGCCCCCTCTCCCTGCCTGCCCTGCCACCTCTCCTCTGGGCAGCGAATTGCTGCTGGCCACTCTGAGCCTCCCGTCCACTCCTGCAACTGACGTCCTTTCCTTGATTGTTCTTTCTCATCACCTCACAGAGACACAATTTAGCTTTTTTCAAGTTTTATAAAAGTTTTAGTTTCTTTTTAAATAATAGAGGATATTTTGGTTTTTGAACACCTGTGAAAAGTTAAATTGTTGAGCCAGAGGTGGTGGTGTACACATGTAATCCCAGCACTTAGCAGGCTGAGGCAGAAGGATTGTTTCAAGTCTGAGACCACCCTCAGGGCCTGTCCAAACTGCTTAGTCAGACCCCATCTCAAAAAGATTTTTTAAAAAATTAAATTGTTGGCTGGATGTGCTGGCGCACACCTGGTAATCCCAGCATTTGTGAGGCTGAGGCAGAAGGATCGTTGCAAGTTTAAGACCAGCCTGAGCTACAAAGTGAGCTCAAGTCTAGCCTGGACTGCATAGTAAGACTCTGTCTCAAAAAAGAAAAAAAATTAAATTATTGATGAAATTATTGATGCTGTGCTTGATGCACACAGTGATTTAGAGTGAATCACTGTAAACTTTTCATGACCATGATCTTCTAATCTTGCAAACTGAGCCCACAGCTCTTCGGTATTCACACTGAAATTTGTGTCTTAATACTATGTAATTAAGCATTATGCATTACATATACAGTGAGAAAACGATATTTTAAAATTGTGTTACTCAGAAAAATGAAATTATGTTTTCATTTATGCTCCTGCTTCAGACAGCTGCTGTGGTCCATTGCTGGAGTTTGAGAGAAATGTGAGTTTACACCCTTGGCATCCTTTGAAAAAAATCCTGATCATAGTGAAATTTCAGAGAGTATTACTGAAGTTTTACTGCATAGTAAGAAAACTATTAGGCGTATAGAACTTCCTTCGGGAACATCTTGCAAAAGCAGCTTATTCTGCATTTGTTTTATGCTTATTAGATGACCCAGAGGGGTTATATTTTGAAGCAACTTGTGAAATTTATAAGCAAAGCTACATTGCTGAGGCATTTTTAGGAAAAGATGATAAACTAATAATATTCAACTGAACGATTACTAATTACCTCCCTGAGGTCCTCATTATGTTAGCTCTGGGAGAAATGCCAAAGAAATATTCAGTATGATGCAGACTTTCAAGGAGCCAGGAAAGAAACAGAGGATATTTAAGAACCAAGATGAGCCCAGAGCCATCGAGGACTGGGAAGGGTCCCTTGCAGAGCAGTCACAGTGGCATGCAGTGTCCAGGCAGGAAGGATATGTAATCACACTTAGCAAAACAGAGATACAAGCCAAATATACGGATAATTAATGAAGTGTTTCTGAGCACTCACCAATTAGATATGCTGCAGTTGGAATGTGGTTTTTCTCCTCTGAAACTTACATGGGGATTTGTGTGCTATGGTCAAGATTTTTGGTGGGGGCCCTTGAAAGGGGATTTATTAGACTAGTTTGTAGGACCAGACACTGGGTAATGCCACTGGCCATCTGCAGGCTGGGGGTCCAGAGGACCAAGTAGCTTCTAAGAATAAGAGGGTTCAAGGACACAGACCCAGTCCAAGGTTAAGGCCTGGAAACACCCTGGGGAGTCATTGGTGTGGGTCTGTCTCAAAAGAATGCTGGAGGTGAGTGTGCACAGCTACACTCCGAGCACTAGGAGGCTGAGGCAGGAAGACCATCCTTAAATGTGAGGGCAGCCCAGTCTACATAGTGAGTTCAAAGTCAGCCTAAATACACAGCAAGATCTTGTGTCAAAAATAAATAAATAAAACATTTTAAAAGGGAGCAAAAAGGAAGACATGAAACAAAAAAACTGGAGTTTGATGTCAAGAATCAAGTTTGCTAGTGCATACTGACTTCCTCCTCCTTTCACTTTTCATACCATTTGGGCTGCCTATTGGATAGCATCACCCATAGTCATGGCACCCCTTAATTGATTGGCGCACAAGCCAGTCATCTTTGGAAACGCCCCCACCAACACACACACAAGTCTGCTTTACCAATCTGCTAGGCCTCTCTCAGTCCAATCGAGATAACAGTCAGAATTAGCCATCACAGTAACAGATGTCATTTGCAGAATACAAAAGAAAGACGATGTCTATCAGTGTCTTTCAGGACCACGTGACCATGCAGTACCAAGAAAACAATGGGGCTCCCCTCTGCTCAGCGAGCTCTCCTGCCAGTTCGGCCTCAGCTGTAAGCACGTAAGGTCTCACTGTGTCCTCAGGGCCAGTGTGATCTGCTACCCCGTGGAGAGAGTCAGCAGTGCCCACGTCATCTGTTTCTCAGCTAGCAACGTGGCTGGTCTGACCGGTCCCCAGCTGCCACTAGGACATCACCTTCGCTATTCCCACCGCGATCTCAAAGGCAGCGCGTTCAAAGTGGAGCCCCTGCGCATCGCCACCATCACCATCACCGCGCGCTCTGCGCTCACAGCACTGTTTCCTGTGGTCCCTCCTCTTGGTCCCGGCTCCTAGCCACCACTTCCCCCAGTCTCGCTCAGCCAGCCCACTTGGGCCACGCTCTCCACGCGATGTATGACTCGGAACGCCTCATGCCATCCCAGCTCACCGCTGGAAATCCAGTCCCTTCCTTCCTATGCGCTCAGCTATGCTGCCCTCTCGGCCGCCAGGCTGCGCAAACTCTGCACGACTCTCTCTCCTCCCAACAGTACCCCGCTCTGAGCGGGCTGCGGGGACCCCGTCTTGCCCTGCCCATGGTGAGGCCCCTATGCAATCTGCGCTTCGGCCCACGGATGCCCGCTGCCCATCCTGCAGCCCCAAGCCGACGCTTTTAAGACTCTGTGGTGCCGCAGTTTGCTGGGCGCTGCTGCACTAGGGATTCTGACAAGAGTACGTTATCCACTATTTCCCAGTGTCTGAGTTAGGCCCTAAATCAGCATCTGATTCATGAGCCCGTGTTAGATAAATGTCCTCCACTCAGTCATGCATGTGTCCTCACTAAATACAACACACTATTTTGGAGATGACTTGGTAAACAAGACAGAAAGCAGAAAAATCAATTATATATATATATATATATATATATATATATATATATATCTGCAGATCAAGTCTCCTCCTGTCCTTTCCTCCTCCTAGTAAGCCCTGAAACGTATTTGCTCCCAGACTAAAACAGCATCGAGGGTCCATCATAATTTTAACTGTCATCTGCAGATCAAAAAAATAGCAGGACTTGATTTTTGTTTATTGTGCCTTTTAAAAACTGAAGCACAACATATAGTTCTGGTAACAAAAGGTCAGCGTGACGCATTGGCACTATTAAATAAGAGAATGGGTGAATCAGTATTCAGACGATATTTGCATGAGTATCAGAAAATGTGTGCATTCTCAAATTATATGCAAACTTAGGTGATTTATGCACTTTTCTAGGAAAAAGGGTTTTGAAGTCCCCCCCCCCACCAAGTGCTGAATCGAGGCCTAGGATAAGAATGGCTCCAGCCTGGCCTGGTCTCACTTGCTTGTGGAGTCTTTCCCCAGTCTTACTGAGACAATAATCGAGAAATAAAGACTGTGCACATTTAAGGTACACAGCATGATGGTTTGACACCTGTGCCCACCGTGAAGCATGCACCACAATCAAGCTAATTAGCATGTCCTCTGCCTCAATGATTACCTGCTGGGTGTGTGAGGAGTGTGTGTATAAGAATCTTAGCATTTGCCCGACAGCAAGTCTCAAACATGCAATGCACTACTAGCTCCAAAGTGACCATGCAGTCCATTATTGGCCCCCCACAACTGACCGCCCTGTAGAACTGCAGCAGTATGCCTGCACCTGCAGCCCCAGGTGCCCATCTCCAGCTTTTGGGAACCACTAGAACATCCTGGTTTCAGGGCCTTTGCCAGGTCATAAAATTACGATGGGCCCTCGATGGTATCTTGGTCTGGGAGCAGATGTTTCAGGGCTTACTAAGAGGAGGAAAGGACAGGAGGAGACTTGAAGCAAACTCTGGCTTGCTTCCACTGTTCCCTTCTGTGAATCCTGTATGACCATCAACCCATGGCCATTCTTTCCTCTCCGGGGACAAGTTTTATCACCAGTGAACTAAGCTGAAAGCACCCAGCCCACTGAGGAAAGTGAGAATATCAACCCAAGTTACAATGTCAGAGAAAAGGCAGGAACTGAAAAGACACACAAAGCACCACAAAAACTGACCCCATGCCTCGGAGCCAAAAATAACACCGGGGAAAGGCAACTGCGGGGTAGAAAGAAATATTTACAAAGCGTCTGTCCAATAAGGTATGAGTATTCAAAAATATGTGCAAACTCCTGCAGCGTAACAGCAATAAAAACAATCCAATCAGAACATGGGCGAAGATCTCATTTCTGTGAAGAAGACATACAAATGGCCAAGAAAAATACAAAAAGGTGCTCGACATCACTAATCATTAGAGAAATGCAAATGAAATCCTGGGAACGTCAGCTCATAGCTGCCAAGATGGTTATTACTGTAAAAAGCTAACAAGGGATGGGGAGGAGACAGAGAAATCAGAACTCTACACTGGGCAAAAATGGTTGGTGTCACCATTGGGGAAAACTGTATAAAGGTTCCTCAGCATTTAAAGATAAACCATTGAAAGATCCAGCAAGCCTCCTTGGGAATATTTGTACAAAATAATCGACATTAAGAACTTGAAGAGATGTCGGTACTCACATGCTCAGTGCAGCACTGGGCCACTCAGAATGGCCAAGATGAGTAGCAGCCAGACACAACCAAATGTCCACTCACATGAGAACAGATGAAGTGTGATATAAGCACTGAATGGAATATTATGCTGTCTTTAAGAAGGAGGAGGTCCTGCCATCTGTGACAACATGGGGAAGTGTGGGAGACACTGTGCTGTCAGTCAGCTGCAAAAGGACACACACCAGGCCACGAATTTGGCTCAGTGGCACAATGTGTGCCTGATAAGTATGAGGTTGTGAGTTCGATCCCTAACGCAAAAACCAAAACAAAGGGACACATACCCTGCAATCCCACTGATACACAGCATCTGAAATACCCATAGCAAGCAGATGGCTGCAGTGGGGTAAGTTGGAGAGTTACTGTTTAACTGTCATGAAGTTACAATTATGCAAGAGACATTATAGAGATCTGCTGGACAACAGCGGGTACAGTCTGCAAAATACTGTGCATTTTTAAAACCTGTGAAAGCAGACCTGCATGCAGTAGCTTGTGCCTAAGATTGCAGGTTCTCGGGAGACAGAGGCTTGAGAATTACCTGAGCATGGATCTGAGAACAGTGGCCAACAGGGAGACCTGTCTCTTGGAGAAAAATAAACAAACAAAATATTAAAGAGGACAAATCTCATGTTACGTGTTTTACTACAACAATCTACCACATTCACAGAATTTATGGGTTTGCAAATGCGGTTTTTTTTCCCCAGACTGAATTTATCAGTCTTTTACAAAAGATACTTACATTTAAGTCCATAAACTGTCTGATTGTTTTATATTTGTCTTGTTCTGTGTAAAGTTGACACCAGTTTGATGGAATGTGCTGATTAGTTTTCTTTCTGTTTATCAAAGCCCGCCCAAATCTACCTGGCTACAGGGCTTTTTGTGGTTACATGTAACTGAAGATTACATTTCACATAAAGCTGATGTTACTAGTTTTGTTCATGGGTTCCCCTTCTCTTTAAAGTTAAATACTGCTAGGCCAGGGATATAGCTCAGTGGCATGAACACCCGCCTGGCTAGCACAAGGTCCTGAGCTTAATTCCTGGTATCAGAAAAATACTGTTGGATGTGCTGTTTGGAAAGTGCCTCAAATGTTAGAAGCAGATTTCCTGTGTGATCCTGGGCACACATCGGAAGACCTGAGAGCAGAGACACCTATCAGACTTTTGCAGAGCAGCAGGAAGTGACCTGCCCAGCAGGGAGGGAACAGAAAGGAAAGTGCACCTGTGGGCCAGAAGTGCAGTGCAGATTTCAAGAGAAAAGAAAGTCCGAGGCCTGGGCAATGCAGAGGAACCACAAAACACACTGTGCCTTGGAGTTCTAGGAGGGAGACACGGTTTCAAACACCAGGGTTCAGGGCAGGTGGGGCAGGTGAACGTCCTTCTCACCAGCTGGAAGTCTCCTCACCGGGCCTCTGTCCGAGAGCACTGGAGGATTGAAACGGTTTTCAGCCGGGCCATGAACAGAACAGCGAACAGACCCACAGTAAGTTTAGGGACCACCAAACAGGACTATGAGAATCTGGGTCTATGGCCACTTAGGACATTCGGAAACTCTGTCAGATTACACTCGTCCTCTCAGAAAGAACATGTCCAGGCAAACTGTCACAGACTACTCTCTTTTTTCCTGTCCTGAGGAGAGACTTCGAGGTCAGACTCTGAGTCAGCAAGGACATGGCAGCAGGGCTTCAGATCCCTCAACAGAGAACCAGAAATTCTACTGGACCTAGCCATTCTCCCCAAAGTGTCTTGCTGAAGGGCTAAAAGACCATGTTATAGGGATCCGTGTGCATCCATGTTCACAGCAGCAGCTCATACCATGTACGTCTTCAACCAGCTACGTGTCCATCAGCAGAGGAATGGACAAGGAAGTGTAGTATTTATACACATGGAGTACTACTCTGCTATAAAGAAAGATAAGCTTGAGTTATTGTAGGAAATGAAAGCATCTCCTGACCATAATGTTAAATGAACTAATCAGATATCCAAGTTTAAATATCACATTTTCCGTGCTATGAGAAGTCCAAAATACAAATTAAAGAGTAAAATATGAGAAAGACAATGGGAAACAGAAAAATTCTTTTGTAAAGAAGAGGACCAAGAGATGGAGGACAGGTGAGGGACATAAAAGAATTAACATATGTGATGTCCACATGTGTGAACTCCTATAATGAATGTAATCATTACATACTACAAACATGCACCAATAAAAATATTTACAAATTCATAAAGAAATGAGAATGGCCGCAGTCTGTGCCAATCTTTTACAGTCAGGGGTAACATTTTATTTTTTTAAGAGCTCAGAATACAAAAACATAATACTGTAGAGTACTCAATGTTCACAAAAATTCATTTTAAAAACACTTTTAAAAAATGCCAATGAAGTCCATGTACATTTAAGAGGTATCTGTTGTAGACATGGTTTGAGTTTATCGTAGAGTAGACATGCTTCTGGAAACACTTGACCTGAGTTGGAAATGAGACAGGACCAGAAGAGATTGTAATCCACAGAAATAGTTCTCCACCTAGTAGCGCTGATTCCCACTGAGGCCAGGTCTGGGGTGTCAGGGCGCCGGCCTGGAGCCGGGGCAGGAGTTCGGGGAGACCCCGTGCAGCTCGAAGGCCTGGCTGAAGTCCAGGGCCTGCACATGGGGACCCCGGGTCAGGGTGAGCCCCCTCAAACACCCCCGGAACGGGACCCGGCTGGTCAGGCAGTTCTGCTTGACGTCCGCTGTGGGCAAGAGGAGAAGAGAACGTGTCAAGGGCTTGGAGGCGGGAAGCAAAACCACCCCAGGTGGCTTCTCCATCAGATCTGGGATCCCCACACAGTGGGGCGGGGGCCATAAAAACAGAGGCCAAGGCTGAGGTCCTGAAAAGGCACGGGGCAGGTGCCATAACGGTGACAGCTTCCCGGAACACCCGGAATGCACATTCTGGTCCAAAACCCAGGGGACGGCTCACATGTGTGCCCCTGTGTGAATCTTAGCTTGAGGGTCCCCCAGGGTGAGCGAGCAAGCTCCTCAACATCTCCCAGCTCACGGCACCAGGCCCAGAACCGCCCACACTTACCTCGAAGTTCCCTTCCCTTCCCCAGGAATTTTTAGGAGGGCTGCTCTGCCACGTGAAGGACTTGGCACCAAAGGACAACTTGGCCCCATTCCCACCCCTCAGGCCCCAGAGCTGAGCCCCCTGCTCTGTGACCCAGCCCACGCGTGGACAAGCCGAGCAGGGGTCCCCACGTACCCGGGAAGCCCCCCACATAGATGGGGTCGTTGGTGTCGGCTGAGGTGGACTGCCTGTGCGGACTCTCCGCGCTGACCGAGCGGCCGTCCACGCTGAGGACCAGGCGGTGTCGGCTCTTGCTGGCATGGAGCGTGTGCCACTTCCCATCACAGAGCCTGCTGCCGCCACCAGGCCGGAACGTGGCCGTTATCCTGCCTGCACCATTGTTGACATGGAACAGGACCTGGGCGAGCAGAGAGCGCAAGGAGGAGGGTGAGTCACAACTCGGAGGGAGCAGGGGACCCAGTGCCCTCCCCGTCCCTTCACCCAGGAAGGACACACAGTGCCCCTCACGGCAACGAGCTGGGCCACACTGGTTCTCCCAATGGGTCTCTCCTTTTTGGGACATCTGGGGAGGTAACGGACACCATGGCTGCAGGGACTATGGTTGGCGGGGGGGGGGGGGGACACACACACACACTCCTACATGGGAGTCTCCACAAACTTCTTCTGACAAACAGGAGCAGCTCTGCCACCACAGGCGGGAGCGGTGACAACCTGAGTTCTGCAGAGATCAAAGCGTCACAGGCTGAGGGCTGAGGACAACCTGCCGCCCTTCAGCAGGTGTGAAGCCCAGCAGGTGTGAAGCCCTCCCACTGTGTGGGAGGGGGCCCAAGTGGAGCTCAGGACCTGGGCCACGCTGAGCTCTGTTCTGCCCAAGCCACACCCCAGCCACCTCCAAACTGTGTACCCAGAGAGGGAATGTAAAAAATATTAAGCTGTGTCACACACAGGCACTGATGCCCCCAAGGAGTGTGATCAGCACGTACTGCATTGCGCACAATGATAAGAAAAACCAATGTACAAGAGACCCTTTTGTGGACTCCACTCTAGAGGGGCCAGTTTGAGTCTAGGAGCTGCTGCTGCGTTACACTGCTGCATCTGAATGAGGGGCCCAGTGGGGCCCACCCTCACCTGGCCACTGACGATTTCCAGGCCAATGGCATCCACCTTGGCACTGCTGATCCCCAGGAGGACGCCATTCTCTGAGGAAGTTCGGAATTCGAGCGTGATGTTTAGGTCCGATCCCACCCTGTAGCCTTCTCTGACTGAAAAGTAGCACAAAGGCTGAGTTGGGGGGGAGCCCTGCAGGCCAGGGGACACAGTATGGAGCGCTGAGGGCTGAGGGTGGCCTCAGGGCAGCCAGGGCTGCGGTGTGGACCACACTGTGCAGCCCTGCCCCTACAGCATGCCAAGCCCTGCCCCGCAGGGTTCTCTGAGTGGGGACTGCATGGAACACTTTTCTATTCAGGTGGCAGAGACACTGAGCTACCGGATGGGGTCTGAGCAGCAGCTGGTGTCTAGGGCTGAGGCCAGAGGCGGAGGTGGTGTCTCAGAGCACAGTAGCTGGGCTCCAGGGAGCTGAGGCCATGAAGGGTACCTGGTCCCCATCCCTGCTGTCTCTGACTACAGCCCGCTGCTCTAACATTCATACCACTGGCTGGTGGTACCGTCCAGCTCTGGATGTCCCCAAAGGCCTGGTGCTCGCAAGCTGGGCCTTACAGCTGACTCAAGGTAGGAGGCGGGGTCTGGCCAGAGGAGGTGGGGTCTGGGTGTGTCTACAAAGTCCCCCCACCTCTGTGCCGCTCTGAGCAGCCTCCACTGGGCCCTGGTACCATACTTTCCTCGCACCAAGCCCAAATAAACCGGACCTTTAAGCTCAGGTGTCCAGTATTTCGTCCCAGCAATGAGAACAAGACCAAGACACCAGATCAACTTGCCGGTAAAATGTCTTACACACGTGGGGAAAACACAGGTGAAGCCAGGGCCTCGTGTCCCCCTTCTGCCACGGTCACAGCAGCCCTGGCGTGAGAAGCCCTCCACTCAGGTCTCCTGGACAGCACAGGACCAGAAGGGGCTTTCATACCTCATGACCAGACTGGACATCGTGGACAAACCTGCGCCCAACTGGGCCCCATCTTCCCGCCCACTTCCTGGGTCCAGGTCACCTCAGAACCCCACAAGCCCGAAGGTTTCTCAGCGCTGGGCAGTACACACCAACAGCTGCATGGCCGCTTCCTTCAAAGAACGTCCCTTCCTCAGCCACCACGTGGCATCTACCCACTGCCACGGCAGAGGCCAGGTTGTCCATGTTCAGGGGCCGGTTGTTCACCATCACCTCCCTGATGCAGGCGGGAATGCTGTGTGTGATCTAAACCAAGCAGACAGAGGTCATGATGACTCGGCCCCACACGCCATCAAGTCTGTCCCAATGATGGGCATCGAAGCAGGGCCTTCAGGTTTTTAAAATGTGACTATCAGGGGCCTACCATGCGTGTCTGACTTGGGGAGGTTTTGCTGCGTAGCCAAGCAGTGACACTGTTTGCTATTATTTTGGTGAAATGTCAAACACACTCGCCAGGCTTTCAGGGGCAGCCCCAGCATGGGACTGCTGAACCTGCTTTGAAAAATCCGCCTCTGGCAGGTGGGTAGCAGAATCAGGACAGGTGAGGAACAATGTGCCCTGCCAGACAGAGGCAACCACAACCACGGCCACGGCCCACCCAGAGTCCCCGTCCCTGCTCACATTCCCAATGCTTCGGGGCCTGTAGTCTTGGGGGAGGCCCCCCAGGTACAGCTTTCCCTCCACATCCAGGGAGGTCCCTTCGCCCACAGCGGTCACTGCAGGGGCTTCCTGGCCGTCAACAGCCAGAGAGCCTTTTCTTTTAGAGTACTCGGCCTTTACCTAGAGAGAGAGAAAAACAGCTATCACACTTGTGGGGTGTGGTCCTGGGGTCTGACACCCAGGGCTCTGCACTGAGTCTCTATTTTATTCTTTGAAATGGGCTCCTACTGAGTCATCAAGTTGCCAGGCTGGGCCTGAATCCTTGATTCTCTTGCCTCAGCCTCCCCAAGTCCTGCAATGACAGAGGCGCCCACACCACTGGTTAAAACACATCCCTGACTTTCAAGGCAGGTAAGGAGCCCTCCGGAGATGGGGTTTGCAGTGCCTGTCCATACAGCTGGGGTGCCTGATGGGGAACCCCGTAGGATGCCCTGCTGCTTAGGATTGAGCGAGGAAGAGGCTGAGCTGGCGAAGAGGGAAACACAGTGTGGACGGCAATGTCCCCAACGCCCACGGGGAGACTTGCCACACACGTGGCTGGGGGCCAGGGCAGGCTTCCCTTCCGGGAGACAGGGAGTGAGGAGCTCAGCGGCACAGAGGTGGAGCAGGCCGACTCGGGGACATACCAAATGCCACCTGCCGTCATCAATCGGCGTGGGGTGGGAGACACGGGTGCGGCCCCTGCCGAGGTCGAAGGTGAAGACCAGGTGGCCGCCGTGGAGCTGCAGCACAGCGTGGTCCACCTGGTTCTGATGGGCCGCATAGAAGACGAGCCCACTGGAGGCAAAGGTCCGCATGCTGAGCTGGACCAGGAGCCTGGGGAGAACGAGAGCTTGGTACCACGGCGACAGGCTGCGCTCACCAGGTGTACCGTGACCACTCAGGTCAGGGCACACCATGTTCCCAGCAGGCCAGGAGGCCGAGGCAGGAGGATGGCAAGTTCAAACCCAGAATGGGAACATGATCTCTCAAAATAAGAACAGGACAAGAAGAGGGTGGCTATGGTGTCCCTGTCTGCAGGATCTGTTCTAGGATAAAGCCTGGGCTTACAAGGAGGAAGAAGAGGATCCCTGCCGCAAAGGTAACGCCAGGGAGATGGCAGAGTCACAGCGCAGGTGTGTGTGTGTGTGTGTGTGTGTGTGTGTGTGTGTGTGTGTGTGTGAGTGTGTGTGTCTCAGGCCACCAGGCAGATGCTCTGCCCCATTTCTGCTAAGCTGCAAAGGAGCCAGGCCTCGAACACCTAAGCAGGAAAAGCCTTTGCCTGCTTTGGGACAGGAGTGAGGAGCTTAAAATAAAGGGTCTGGCTTAAGGTTTAAGGCAGCCACCATGCAGGAGCCAGGAGACCGTGGGTGTGGCAAAAGCTGCATCTGACAGGCAACTCCAGGGAAGGTCAGCGTCCCCAACCCTCTCTGGCCTCTAGCTGACCATGCACACTCAGGGACTTGCAAGCAGCACCCACCTCTTCCTGACCTCCGACTGGTCAAAGGGCAGCACGAAGTGGCTGTTCTTGGAGAGCCCGAACTGGTGAGCGCCAGAAATAAACTGCAGAGATGTGTCCACTGCACATTGGCCCTGTGAAAGATCACACATGGGGGGACCCTCAGCCACTGCCCGGGACCCAAGGAGGGGACCTCGCAGCCCCATCCCTTGTCTGCCAGCCCTACAAGTCTGCCCGCCAGCAGCCTTGGTGTAGAGGATGTGCCTGCTGCTGATCCATTCTCTCTGAGCAGAGGCAGTGTCCTCCATCCCAGACCGTTGGAGGTCTCTGACTTGCTGAGGACACAGTGTCCCCTTTGTGAGTCTTCATTGGGCTGTCCTGCACCCGTGTTGGGCCCCTGGAGACAGAAGCATCCGCAGGTGACAGGTCTTGCTAGAACCCAGGGGGAGGGGAGAGAGTACAGCACGACCCCCAGGTGGCTCTGGCTATCTCATGGGCTCCACACCCTGAGATCTCAGGGTGCAGAGTGCAGCTGCCACCAAGAAAGCCGCTGGGATTTGAGACTAGCGCAGTGTGGAAGAGAGTTGCTTGTAGACAAGGGGCCTCCTGGCGGATCAAAGTGTCCACTTCCGGCCAGGACAATGGAACCAACTGGGAGGAAGCAAATCAGACAAGGCCTGGTTTCTCCAAAGGTGTCTGACCTTTCTGCTCAGGCAGCGATCACATGCTCAAGGGCTGATGCTTAAGTGCTTACCTTTGTGTTTCTCCAACTAAATCTAAAGCAAGAACGAGGCTCACATTACAGAGACGGGACAGGGCCCAGCCTGTCACCTACAGCTTGGCAGGCAAAGCTTTGCCCCCGTCCTGCTCCACACAGGTGGCCTCTCTGCCCCTTGGCTCTCCTGGGTCCCTGGGCTTGGCCCTCTGACTGGCTTCATGCTGGCTCCAGGCCCAGCTTCCCTGGTCCTCAGCCTACGCACGGTCACCTGCTGTGCCATACACTGTCCCTCTAAGTGTCCAGCTCAGAGCCCTGAGAAAGCCACACTCACCGGCCGTGGGACAGCCCGGGGCTGAGATGGCAGCTCGCTGCCATCCTCCCCCTTCTCCTCCTCCTCCTGCTCTTGAGGGGCCGGCTGGGGCCTTTCCGCCAGCTGGCAGCTGTCAAGGTCCACCTGCTCTGAAGCCACCGCGCTGGTAAAATCCAGAAGACTGCAAATAAACAAGGAAGCATCTTCAATGGAAGGACTCAGGGTTCTCACACCCGGATGTGCGTGGGCTCCGGGGCACAGACTGCCTGCTTTGTATGAAAAGGAAGATGAAAAAATACAAAATGTGTACAGAAGAAATGGCTCCATTCCTTGGCGTGACTTACAGGGAGACGAATCGGTATCTTTACGTGAGGATTCTGGGACGCTATGCAAGGTCCGATCCTAGGATTGTGAACTGGAGGGGAGAGGCAGCGGCACCTCTCCAGCTCACAAATTTAATTCTCCCCACAATTCTGGCTGCAAACTGAGTTGGATGAGAACTGAATTTGATTACTGAGCAATTTAATACCCATTAAAAGCCACTCTTGGAGTTCTGAGACTGGCCATCTTCCACAGTAACCAAGAGTCCGCCGGGCAGAGTCCCCACAGTGGTGGCCAGGCCATCCCTGAGCATTGCAAGCATGGACTCAACAGGGGCTGCAGGACACGGTCTGTGTTTGGCTGCCACAGCCTGCAAAGCAGCCCCACTGACTTCTGGTTAATAGGTTTCCCTGGCCAGGTCCTGGGTTACACCTGTCCCGGTCCCTTCCTGTCCCCCATCCTTCCTGCTGCAGCTCTAGCAGTGTGTCCTGAGCCCGCATTGATGCCCCTGGTGCTCCCCTGGGCCTGGATATGAGCAGCATAGCCTCATGGCCTTTGGAAGCAGAAAGAGCCCAGTGAAGGGTGGAACACGGGACCACATAGCCGGCAGGGTGAACCGACTCTGCTTGGAACTCACACCCAACTTGAGGCACCCACATTCTAACCAGGTTGGGGCCAATGGTATGGTCTATTCTTGCCAATTCTAGGGACTCCTAAAATTTCACAGAGAAAGACACTGTGACCATCACAGATCCAGGTCCTCAGTCAAGGTCCAAAACAGGTCAGCAGCCCCATCAGGTGGGAGCCCAGCTTCCTCCCCATGCACTGAACAAGGCAGAAGGAGGAGAGGAGCAAACACAGGGCACTGGACAATCCTCTCCCTCCCCATGGGCTCCCTGGAGGGGGGGTGCCAGTGCTTAGCTGTGCGGTGACTGCTTCTGTGGAACCCTGACACTGCCAGCAGCGCAGTCATAAAACTATCCTCCATGGAAACACTGAAGACAGTAAGAAAGCAGCCACCTGAAATCGCTGTTCTAAATCAGCGGTGGCGAACCTGCGGCACGCGCATGTGCAGGTGTGCAGAGCCCTCTCCGTTAGCACTCAAGCCGAGCTGCGCAGCAGATGGGCACTGGGCACCCGAGTTTAGCCACGGTGCCGGCGTTCTGCCATGAATAAGTAGGTCTGGGCTGCAGTTGTGCACTTGGGCTCTGAAGCGTTCACCATCACTGTCTTTTCCAAAATCTGTGCTAACCTCAACAACTTATTGACAAACCCATGCTGTTCAATGACTTAAACACACAGTGTGCTGACCAGATCTATCACTCTAATAAAGCCCCTTTGGTGGGCTTTCATGATGCAATGTGAAGGTCACTTGCTCTTCCTCTTCTGTTCAGGCAATCAGCCACAAGAGCCTGCAGATTCCTGCCGGCACACACTGGGAGAGAGTGTCACAGGCAGCTGAGTTAGAGGAAATATGATAGTCAGACAGGGCTGGGCGCTGGAGGGGCCAGTGCAGAAGGCCAGATACCTTGTGGTCTTGGAGGAGACCCAGGCACCTCCCGTTGTGGGTCAGCTCTCAAGGCAAAAGGCAAAGCAAGTACACCCAGACCCTAAGGATAAACATCAAGGCCTGATAGTCTAAATAGTTCTCTATCAGCCTGAAGAAGCCAGGAGTCACCATCCCAACTCTTACAGGAAGAGTCACTGCTCCGTAACCGCGCCTGCTTGCTGTGTGACTGGCTTCCCCACTTGTCCCTGATTTGGTCAATTTTACCTGAACAATTAGTCTCACTGGCTGACCATAGTTCTGTCCCACCTCATGCTCACTTTGTGAGTTCCCATGTTTTCCCCACCTCAGACCCACCTCACCTGGTGATTTTGCTCTATAAAAGTCCCTAAAAAAGACAGAGTCCTTGGCAACCTGCTCGGGACCCCTTCTACCTCTCTCTCAGACAGAGTTTCTTCCTCCCAATAAATGTATTCTGCTCTTCCTCTGCTTCCTCTAAATTATCTGCTCTGCTGTTTCTAAAATTCATTCTTTGATTTTAGAGAACACAAACTCGTACTGGACACCTTGCAGGCTGGGGTCTCCTTCCCCTATTTCAAGAGCAGCAAGGAGACTGCGCAGGAGCCGGGACACTCACTCCATGTTGAAGACGAGGTTCCTGATGCAGCCGTGGAATGGTCCCCTCATCCTGAGCATCGAGGTCCTCTCCCCCTCGGGGACACCCCCTACATACAGGGCGGATGTGTTGATGGTCCTGCCTTCTGCAGACGGGCCCAGCCTCATCTCCACAGGACTCCACTCGTCCAGCTGCACGGTGATAATTCTAGGAGGAGAACACAACTTTATCTCCTAAAGGTGATGAAACACCGGCCCCATTTTAATGCATAATTCCAGCAAGTTGGGGTGGGTGTGGTGGTGTACTCTTGTAATCCCAGCACTAGGGAGGCTGAGGCAGGAGGATCACCATGAGTTCAAGACCAGCCTGGGCTACAAAATGAGTTTCAAGGGCAGCCTGAACTGCATAACAACCCCCTCCTCTTTCTCCCCCCACAAAAAAAATCCAGCAAGTTTTTTAATCATTATTTTAAATTTTTTATTAATGCAGCTTCCCCCTTCTCTCTCTCCCCTCCCCCATCTCCCCATCCCCTGCCCTTTTGAACAAAATCTATCTCTTCACCCTCGACTATCCACCTTCAGTTTTCTCTATTTATATTTTAGGTTTCTCACTTAACATTTAAGTCCATGTGTCTGATTTATTTCATTTAGCATACACTTCAGTCATTCCTAGCGAGTTCTTAATAATACGTTTCTTTGATGGTAAGACTTAGCATCGAATGACATCGCATGATGTCAGCAAACTGACCCCAAGGATGTTTCTACAAGTGCTTTAGAAATGATAAAACTCAGGGGTCATCGCAATCACCAAAGGGCACGCTGTGCCTTATGGAGGGCCCTGCTCAAAACCTTCATCACATGCGTCTCACGGGCAACCGTACCTCTGAGTCCTCACCACGGAGACCGAATGCTCCTGGCCGTCGCCATAGGTGCCCGAGGGGGCATGCACCAGGGCCCTCCGCAGGCTGGTCCCGTCCCCAAAGCTGATGTGCACTTCCACGTGGCCATCGACCAGCAGGATGGCGAAGAAGGGCTGTGGGCGCAGAGAGAGTTCCCGCACAAACACATCACCAGGCAGCTTTCATTCTATTTGCTTGGGATTTTTTGAGCTAATGTCTCACTATGTAGCCCACGCTGGCCTTAAACTCAGGGCAATCCTCCTGCCTCAGCCTCCCAAGGCTGGGATTACAGGCATGTGCACCACCACACCCGGCTGACGTGACTGTTTCCACCTTCATCCACAGATCATGTAGGAAGAGGAACACAAAGGGAGCCGGCACACAAAGGGAGCCGGCACATCCTCTACACCAAGGCTGCTGGCGGGCAGACTTGTAGGGCTGGCAGACAAGGGATGGGGCTGCGAGGTCCCCTCCTTGGGTCCCGGGCAGTGGCTGAGGGTCCCCCCATGTACTTAAGAGTCTCACTAGTGATTTCCGAGTTTGCATCACTTTGCAATCCTTCTTCTCACTTATATGGTGCATGCATTCTTTATTCTGACCACATCACAGATTCCTATTTCCACCAAACCTCACCTCTTCTCTTTGTGCTAAGTGATGGGCCAGCAGGTGGAACTAATTTATCTTTTTATTAGTGACATTTAAATTGTTTCTCTTTTTATTACCACACAGTATAGCAGGACATTTACGTAAGTCTTACACTGGCCTGTGGAGTTTCTTCCCACATTTTTAAAAGTGGCGTTAAGAAACTGGCAGGCTTGAAAATGTCTGAAGGTCTTTAAAGTTTGGGCCTCATTGTGAAAAAGTGTAGCAGTATGTAAATCTAGAGGCAGAAATGGATGGCCACCTCCGACCCATGCCACTCCTCTCTGCTGCCTTGGTAAGCAACCCTGTGCAAGCAGCCCTATCAAGATTGGAGGCGGAAGCCAGGCCTGGTGCCTCATGCCTGGAATCTCAGGTGCTGAGGAAGACTGAGGCAGGAGGCTTGTTAAGTTTGAGGGCATCCTGGGAAACTTTCTGGGAGCCTGTTTCAAACTAAAAATAAAAGCCACTGAGGACACAGTACAGTGGTAGTCTCCGTGGGTTGAATCCCCACTAACACACACACACACACACACACACACACACACACACACACACACTCAGTCAAGGCTGGCAAAAGGGGTTTGGCAGTTCCAGTGGCTGGTTGATAACTATGGGCAACTTTTAACAACAAGCTGAACTCCGTCAGCCGTGCTGAGTGTGGATGGCCCAGTGAAGACTGCTGCCCTGATAAAAAGGGGAACTGGAGAGGAAAAATGAGGGTGTTATTGGTTCTCTTGGAGGAGCTTGTCGGGCGTCTTTCCTGATATGTACTCCACTGTTCTCATCCTCAGAGGAGCTCAGGATCTCATTGTCAGTAAGGATGGCTGTGGTACTTTTCCAGGGAGCCCTGGTTCTTAATTTGAGCCTCAATTCCCAGATCCAGGGCAGAACCCTCAGCCTGCTGGCACAGATCCTTCAACCCACTGGCCCAGGCTTTCTAGCTTCCACCACCTTTGGGCCTTCCCCTCGCAGATTCGTGAAACGGACTTGCAGGAGTCATTGCTGTGGGCTCTGAGCCTCCAGTCGAACTCATGAGAGGCATCATCATGGACTCTAGGTCTTCAGTTGGCCTCATGCAGGATATTGCCATGGGATCCAGGCCTCAGCTGGATTCTTTGGGTCTCAGTGTGTGGACAGATCTCCTATACTCTTTCTTTGTATTTGACACCATTATAAAATGCTGTATGTGTCCTGTGGCTAATTTGTGTTCCTTTTAAACCCTGCCTACGACAGTTCCCTTGAAGTTAAACCCAGAATTACCGAACAGCAGCAATTCTGCTCCTAGGAACTGGTCCTGAAGAACTGAGAAGAGAGACTCATCAAACGCTAGTAGCCATGGTGCTCATTGCAGCAGAAACAACCCGCCGGACACCTGAGGATTGCTGAGGAGCTAACGAGAACTGAGGAGCTAAAACAGGCGATGCTGGTCAGACTCTGGACACACGCCAAGTGTAACACAAGGAGGTCACGCGGATGCGGCCCAGTCCTCAGACTGTGTCCGGGATACGTTAAATCCAGCCACAGAACACAAGACTGCTAACTGTCTGAGGTAGGAGAGGAGGTGGCCGGTGAACCCTCACTTCCTGCGGTTCAGGCTGTGGATTTGGGTGGTGCAAACATGTGGAGCTAGGTGGCAAAAGTGGCTTCACAACATCACAAGTGCACCAAATGCTACGGAAATGCTCACTTTAAAACGGTTAACTTTAGAGCCAGGTGTGGTGGCGCAGTCTGTAATCCCAGCACTGGGGAGGCTGAGGCAAGAGAATCGCTGTGAGTTCAAGATCAGCTTGTCTCACACACACACACACACACACACACACACACACCACATGGATCCCGCCGCAGGTGGCGTCTCTGAGTGGTCCTTCCGCCTAGCTCTGACCCTAACAGCCGTGTGACCCCGGGCTCTCCAAATCCATCTCTTGCTCAGCAATAAAACAGAAGAGGCTGCGCCTGCCTCGCAGGCGGTGATAACCAAGCAGCAGGGTCTTCGCAGCTCTCGCAGCAGAGCACAGCACTGAATAACCTGCAGGTGCAGCGGCCGCTTTCAATAGGAGGACAAGGGACAATCCTGTGTCCCCTCCAGCGAGGAGGAAGAGGCTGCCTGCCACCGTGCCCCTCGTGGTTCAACTCCTGCCTGCCTCTTTCAAGCTGGACACAGAGACGCAACCATGACCCGAGCGGAACGGAAGGACTTGCTGTTTCAGCTTAGAGTGAGGAGTAACCACGACTCGTCACTCACAACACACAGCTCGCCTGCCGTAGCTTAACTCCAAGGAGGTGGCAGTGACCTTCTTCCCAGTTGCTAGACACGAAGGACTAATGAAGCAGCAGCACGAGGAATCACCGCCCCACAGCAGCCATCACTCCCGTCCGCCTCGGAGGCACTCACCACGTGCGTGGGTCGCCGGCCCTGCCTTTCTGTGTCTTGGCCGATGGCAGCCAGAATGATGCCACTGCTGTTCTTGGTGGCAAATGTGGCCAGAAGTTCTGATTCCAGCAACAGAGGCTTGGGCGGCAGCTCCACGAAGCCACCTCTCAGGAAGCTGACACTGCGGATGGGCTGGGACAGGTGGGGGAGGTGAGCCCGGCTGCAGGCGGGGGCCACCCGCTCCATCGGCCTCTTCCCCACCAGCCCCATAACCAGCTGACTTCCGGTCACCCCGGCACTGAGGAAAGCATCCACACCTCCAGGATGCAGCCCTTGCCCACGCCGTAGGAGTTCCGGAGCAAGTCGAAAGTGGACCTGGATATCTCCAGGTTCTTGATGCAGCCCACGTAGCTTTTGCTGGTCACTCCTTTCCTGCAGGGAAGGACGAGAGAACAGTGGCAGTGAAACCTGGAGTTTATAATGCTGCTTCTGGAGCACCAGTGGAAAACCTTGGCCCATGTGTCACGCTGCAGGAAGTATTGAGGACCTCGAGAGAATGACATGAGGGGAGACCGGCAAGTGGAACGATGGCCTCAGGACCAGGCTGCTTGATGACCACCCACACCAAAGAGGTCTATTAGCCAGGCACGATTGCACCTGCCTGTAATCCCTGCTGCGCAGGAGGCTGAAGCAGGAGGATCACACATTCGAGGCTAGTATAGGTGACACAGCAAGTCACTGTCTCAAAATAGGGTAAAGAAAAGGACTGGGCATGGATCTCAACCCCTGGGTTCAATCCTCAGTTAAATAAATGAAAAAATAAAAAGCATCTTTTAAGGTGAGCTTTTATGCTCTTAATGAGCACAGGCCAGGGACCCAGCTCAGGTCTGCGAGGCAGCAGCCAGCCCTGGCCCTGTGAGCACGCCAGATGCCATCTGGGACATTTCCTGCCGCCAGTCGCCAGTGCAGGCTGGGAAAAGCAGCAGCCAGCCCTGCACCAGCAATGGCCACCATTGGATACCTGTAGCCAGGACTGGGCAGGAGAACCAAACACGCATGCTTGGGAGAAATTGTAACCAATGCAGGAAGTGCCCATGACCCCACTACCCACTTGTCTGGAAGAACTCAGGAAAATGTCAAGACAAAGAAGCAAAAGGCGGTCCCTGGCCTCCAACCCAAGCAGAGCAAGTCCAGGAGATGTAAACACGGAAGAGATCGGGAGTCACACACCTGACCTTTCTGAAGTGATGGCAATGAGAGTAAAGAAACAGGAAATTAGGACAGAAATATTACTCAGGGAAAAGAAGTGAAAACCATAGTAAAGAATTGCTGAACAACTCTAAAGACACAGATAAAAAAATAGAGGAGCCCAGGAAGGAAAATGGGGGAAACCTTGAGTGAACAACGTAAGAAGCATTCAGAATGCATGACATAAGAAAGATAACCCGGAAATTAAAAACTCCACTGAAAGCTGGCAAAACCTCTTGAAAGAAACTTAAGATAGACTTTCGGACCTTGAAGACAGGTTTGCAGCTAATGATTGCAAAAGGAAAGATCTCTTAAAAATAACAAGGTAGGTAAATGGCTACGACCATGCTGACGGGTGAAATGGTTCAGTCACAGGGGTGAGCACCATGTTGGCCGCCTAGTATAAAAGACTGAAGGAGTCAGTGGGATCCAAAATGTAAAACTGGGAAACTGAAAGTGGAGGAAACGTCTAAACAGGGAAAGCAGTGGACACTGTTAATCTATTATCATGTTTTGAAACCCTGCATTGTTTTCATTGTTCTGTTTAGTTTGGTTTTATTCTGCTTGATTTTATTATAGCTGATGGCATAGGCAGCTATTTCAAAGATAGCAAAGAATATCATGGTAGCCATCAATGGTTTCCTATTATCTTGTTTCGAAGCCCTGTATTGCTTTCATTGTTTTGTTTAGATTGGTTTTATTATGTCCGAGGCCATGTGCAGCGATTCTGAAGACAACAAGAGGCATTATGGTAGCTATTGTGGATTCCTTTAATCTTGTTTTGGTCCTGTATCATATTCATGGTTTTGTTTTGACTGACTCTATTCTGTTTTACTTCACTTGGTTTTATCCTCTTCAAAATTAAAAAAAAAAAATTAAAACTAAGCACCGGCTGGTTATAAGAAAGGCGGTGCACTGCTGGGAGGCACCGGAAGCCAAGATGGCAATGTGGTGTCCACCTGGGGCAGAATGCACGTCCCTTGCAGGGCAGCAAGGGCGGGGCTACCTCCCAGCACAGAGCGGGGCAGCCCCTGGCTTCTGTTAGGGTGCAGGCTCATTCACAAAGTACCCTCCGCCTCCAATCAGTACCGGGTCCTTTTTATCAGAGGCTGCCGCTCCTGCAGGCGGCCAGGACTCACTTCCTACACACAGGGCCTTCATACTGTTATTGGGCCCCCAGCTACACCTCAGGTGTCAGCTGTCACAGGAGCAGCAGTCATGGGGTTCGGGAGTGGCCACCCTTTCAGTGTTTGCTGCACTGAGCAAGGAGTGGGGACCCTTTGGCAGCAGTGTGGTTCGGGGCCATCTGAGTCTTGTTCAGCCTGTTCCAGTGTGAGCAAAGAAGTCAGCCCCCCTTTACACCAGAGTCTACATTGCGTGCAGAAAACCTGCGACTCAGCTATGATTCCAGGAAAGCTCAGGGCAGGGAATGTACTGGAAATAGGCCCTGGGAGAGGGCTTCCGGCCCTAGCTCTGTCTTGGCAGTGAGGTCAGATGGCAAGTGACCGACTGGGCAGAGGCCTACACACATTCATTTCAAAGACCAGGCAGGAACCATGGTTGCGATCTATGTTTCTTGGCGAATGTAGGAATTTGGGGCCCAGCGGAAAGGAGTGGGAAGTAGACGACTTACCAGCTGCAACCAAGATGGTCACATTCCAATGCCACATATTAGGGTTCTGTGAAAAAGTGAGCCTAGGGATAGGTGGTGTGATTTGCATCCGAAATGCCCCCTCAAAAAGCCTGTAGCAACATCAGCAGGCCGTGGAACCTTTTGGAGGCGGGGCCTACTGCAGGAGGCGAGGTTATTGTAGGTGTGACCTTGCAGGGGATATGGGGACCCAGGCCAGTGAAACCCAAATCATTGAAGTCAGAAAGTGCTGCATGGCTCAGTGTCATAAAAGGGTCCACAATCTGCTGCTCTGTCATCTGTCATTCAGCTTCCTGGTGCTGGTCTTTTGGTTGTCACACACCCTGCCCACTAATTGCACAAAGGAAAATCCACAAAGTCTGCAGAAAGCATAATTTGATTTTGTTTTTGAACTTAAAGAGATTCTACTACTCTAAAAGGTCTACAGAGGGTGAAGTCGCAAAGAGAACAGGTAGGTGGAGCCTTTACACACAGTAAAATTTGTGTACGTTCTAAAGGCAATAAATACCAAATCTGCTCAAGTTGTGCTTTATTTCCCAGTTAATGTGGCATGTATACTCTGAATAAACACAGCTGTCATGGGTTCATCTGTGTTCCCCCAAAATGTTGCAGTCTTAGTTCTCAGTACCTAGGAACATGACCAAATTTCCAACAGGGTCTTTGCAGAAGATGAAGTCATTAGAGTGAACCCTAACTCCAGGTGACTGGTGTCCTTATCTACAGGGAACTGGACAGAGAGAGGCACAGAAGCAGAGAGCACAGGGCAGGCCACAGGGAGATGGCTTCGACCACCACCAGCACCCTTGAGAGTGGTGGAGATGCACTGTCACGGTCCTTCCAAGGAGGCCACCTGGTCCCCCTCAGTTGTGGCCCTGTAACCCCCAGGACTGCAGGAGAACACACTTTTGGTTGTTTGGGGGCTTTGTACGGCGCCTCTAGGAAACACCACCCTACCTGGGAATTCTCCACAGAGGCAGCCCGCCCACATATATTGGATCCTTGTCCAGCCGGTTGAGGTCGGAAGCAGCCCCTGGTGCTTCGCCTTGCTTGGTCTCTTTGTCACTGGTGTTGTAGACATCGATAACAGCCAGGAGCCCTGCGAGGAGCCAGAGAGGAAGACCCAAAGGAACAGTCGCTTTCTACACTGGAGCAAACCCAATTAGTTTCTGCTAATGAGGTTCACTTTACAAGGCCAGGTTATTTTAAAGTCTACATATCCGAGCAGCTAATGTTCTGAACTATTCCACAAAACTCAGTAAATTCAGAATGCATGTTGCTAAGTGGAGGGCAGCAGGCGTGTGGAAGAAAACAGAAAAGATGAACTCAGAGACAGAGCTGCAATATCCCTCTAGCGAGATGCAGTCCAAAGCCAACAGGGGCTTTTAATGGCTATGGCATTTGAGGGTCTCACTACTGTGTCCCGCGGTGAGGGGGATGGGCTAGACTATTGGGATCACCCGGAAGTGGGAACAGAACGAGACTGCTGATTTTGGAAAGATGTCTCACCTCACCAGGGCAACCAGCTTCGGGAATCCCCCGTGCCCCTACCTTGCTTCCTGTTTCTCTGGAAGGCGATTTTGTACCAGGTTCCATTGTTATATCGCCTGTCCGTGGTGAGAATGAGTGGTCCTGAGCCCAGGTCCACCATCACTCTAACTCTGCCATGGACCAGCTCGATGGATAAAAAGTCTTTCTGTAAAGAAGAGATTGGTTTCCATCTCCGTCTCCTCGCCCCAAGACTCCCTCACCCTTGCAGCCAGGGATGGCAGAAACCTGAGGTCAGACTGGGGTAACAGTGCCGAGCCCCATAGCTAAGGATCTATGCTACGATGCTAACAATGCCCACCACCGCTTTCTAGAGCACCTAGTAAACCTCTCACTGGCACCAAGCCCACGGGTCACTCAGACAACTAAACTCCTCTGTCCTGCTCAATTCGCCCGACACACAGGCAAATCCTGATAATGAGACTTCCAGATGGAAAGAGGAACAGCCCCAGTGCATGCGATGCAAAGGGAATGGGGGTTCCCGGGTATGGGGTCCCAGCATGGCACTGTGGTCCCTGTGAGTTCAGAGGAGGGAGGCCGTGTAGGCCAACTAAGAGTTCACAGCTCGGGCTTCCCTGCCACCATGCTGGAAGGTGTGGCTTTACTGCTATTTTTCTGCACCTCCCCAGAGGTCCTTCATGAATTCATTAGGAGAGGAGACGAAACCAGACGGCACACGACTGTTCACCACACTCATGGGCTCATGAAACTGCACAGCATCACATGCACACGGAGCACCAGCCAATCTCTCCCCTCAAACACGAGCCACTTTGTGGCCATCCAGACAGCCCTCGAGGAGGGCTCAGGGCCCCAGAAAGGCTCTTACAGTGCCGTTCGAAGCCAGATAGAGGAGCAGCCCATGAGGGGAGAAGGTGTTAAAGAGCATGATGATCTGCGTCACGGTGGCCCGCATGGTCTTCTCCACCACCGAGTACCCGCTCCCATCAAAACGGAAGGACGAGTCTTCATTCTGGGGGCTGCAAAGTGGAAGCAATGAAATCCTGTCCCCTCTTGGGGGGCCACGCGGCACAGGTGGATTGCTTAGTGACCAAGACACGAGGGCCATTATTGCCAGCATTTGACAGCAAGTGGAAACCACAGCAGAAGTTGAACAAACCTAATCTGAAACCTGCAACCCAAAACACTCTAAAATTTAAAATTTTTGAGCACTGACATGATGCCTCAAGTGGGAAATTCCACGCCATGACATTGTTTCTTACACAAAATTATGCAAGATAGTGTTGAAAATTACCGTCAGGCTGTATGGCAAGGCGGTACATGAATCATGAATGAATTCCACAGTTAGACTTGGACACCCTCCCTAATACACCTCATTACATATATGAAAACCTCCCACCTCTGCCCGACGAAATCCAAATCTGAACAGTCTAGCCCCAAGCATTTCAAACAAGGGATATTCAACTTGCGTCTGCAAATGTACTTATCATGAAACTCTGCAAGACCAGGGCCCAGCTGCTTCATAAAGAAAAGAAAGTGAACAGTGAACGTAGGCAGAGGTCACAGTGACAGAGGAAGCACCTCCCAGGAAGCCAGCCACTGTGGATACTCTGCCTCCCTTTGATGTACCTGTCCTATCTTGCTGCTAGTGCCCTTAGAACGACCTGCACATTGGCCTTCACCCCTTACAGCTGGCTTTAACTGTGTCACAGGAAAATGGGTTAGGAGGAGCTGGTGTGCCCATGGGCACAAAGGACCGCTGTCCCCTAACATACTAGAAACAATCCTCTGCTCCTATGATGTTTCAGCTCCGAGTCTGAACACCAAGCTGGAGCAGCAGCATGACTTCCCAAAGTCCCAGCATTTCTGACACCCACCCAGGACCAAAACTGGCTGTGCAACAGGACCTCAAAACCAGACAACAGGAAATAAACAATGGCCACCATGATGTCTCTTATTTTCATTGAAATAGCTGCCTATACCTTCACACACAATATAATCACACAAAACAGAACAAAACAAAGCCAATCAAAACAGAAGAATCAAAGCATCAGTCAACTGGGGATCTTCCTGCCTCAGCCTCCACAGTGCTGAGATTATAGGTATGTGCCACCATACCAGCAAGAATAAAAACCTTTACCTAGGCTCCATGTGGCTCTCTGAAACAGCCATTTGAGAAGTGAAGTTTCTGGATGCTAACATTAAAAATAACCTGGCTGCCATCAGCGTCAGGTCCCGTGCAGTAAGGTGACTGACACTATAAGCCCTGTCCCTCCTGCATGCAGGGGCAAATTCCTCCCGCAGTCCTCAGGGGCCAGCAGAACAACATGTGACGTGTGACCTCACAGGGACAGCTCACCTCCCGAAGCAGCCGCGGCACCGGCCCTCCCTCTCCACGTAGTTCCACAGGCCCACGGAGTGGCCGTTCAGGAAGGCCTCCCCCATGCAGCCTTTGAAGTATGTGACCTTCACGGCAGGAGATTTCTGCAGCAGACAAACAAACAGAACCTGAAATTCTCCACGTGCTCCTGGCTGCTCCTCCCTGGACGGCATCTCTCCTGGGTCTGTTTGGAGAGTTCTGAGCGGCTCCCTAAGTAAGCAATGACCCGAGAGGAAATCAGAGGCTGTCTCAGCTGCCAGGGTCAATGGACAGAGAGATCCACACGGGCAGAGCCAGGACCCTGGCGCAGGGTGAACCAAGTCCTTGTCCCTCAGCTTCATGGGTGAAGGATCAATGCTACCATGGAGGGAACCTGACAGGCCTCCACGCTCTCCAAGTGTCAGCCTAACACTAGTCAGGACGGGGACTCGAGATGCACGGAGACCAATACAGAGCCCTGAGCACTCCTTCGCTGGAGGAGAGGGCCAGAGAGGCCAGGAACCCTGGCCTTCCCGTTTGTGCCACGGACTAAGCAAGATCCTCCCGCCCCAGCACGGCCAGAGTCACACATGAGCTGCCACAGAGAAAAATGACGAGTGCCACCCAGCCTCGTGGGCACACGGCACACAGTCACACAGTGTCCCCAAATCCAGCGAACCCCGCCCATTGTGCTGCTCCCAAGGACTTTCCAAACCGTACCTTGATTTGTCCTCCGAGCCCCCCGACAAACATCAGAGTGGAGTTGTTCACGTCCAGCACCTTTGCCGTCCCAGGAGACTTGCTGGTTTTGGTCCGAGGCTCCTGAGTCGAGCTGGTTTCCTTTACGCTCAGAGAACCGGTGTTCCCAAACCTGAGAACATGGCAGAAGGACTTTCAGCCGCTCACACACACACACACACACACACACACACACACACACGTCCCCAGGCGAGCCCTTGAGGATCTGGCTTCCGGGGGGTGCCTGCCCACCTCCAGGTGACTCTCCCAGACCCTGCAGAGCAGTCCCCGGAAATACCCCTGCACCATGCCACTGCCCTGCTCACAGCAGTTTCGGGTGCCTGCAGTGATGCTTTAAGACAATCTGCTGCCTTAACCCTCCATCGCTTTTTGTAGATAACAAAGAAATAGTCCCGGTCACATACCACTACAGAACACTGCAGAACATGGGAAAGACAGAGGCACCTATAGTTGCTTTAAAGTGGGGTCCTCTGGAGAGCAGCTTTAAAAGGAAATGCTCTACTCTAGATCTGAATTCCCCCACCTCCTCTCCTGTTCTGCCTGCCTCTGCTGGCCGCACAAAATTTTTCTATATTTTTTTGAGGCAAACTCTCACTAAGTAGTCCAGGTTGGCCTTGAACTCAATGTGATCCTCCTGCTTCAGCCTATTTCTGAGATCACAGGTGCATCATCAAACCTGGAAAGACACCACTGCTACAGTTTGTTCATCTGAGGCAGGATCTCACTAGGTGTCTCGGGTTGGGCTTGAACTTGTGGTGATCCTCCTGCCTCAGCCTCCAGAGTGCTGGGACTGCAGGTGGGTGGCACACAGAACTCCTACCAGGTTTCAGAACACTTCCCTTCACCAGGGAGGACCAAACATGCCACCAGGCTTGGCCGCCTCCGGTTTAGACTTTCTAAAACTAACTTTTGCATCGTAAAGAGAATCTACACTTCTAATATTTTCCTTCTTTTGAATCACTGATTTTGGTAACAGTTTATTTTTTCTGCATGAGAAGAAAAGCCAAGCCCTCATGAGTTTAACAATCTAACCAAGTGCCCTTTGACTGTAACCCGCGCCTGGGAGTCCCCAAGCCTGCGTCCCCGGAGGTCATGAGACTCAGCTCAGTGCTACCTGTTGGCATGGACACTGTACCACCGGTCATCATCGATGCGCAAGTCTGGGAGCTCCAGCCGCGCAGCGCCGGACCCCAGGTCCCAGAGGAAGGCCACCTTCCCCCGCCGCGTCTCCACCGCCAGGAAGTCAGCCTGGGGATGGAGAGCAGGGCGAGTAAGCACTGGGGGCCGCCTGACCCTCAACACTCCCCCCACCATCCCTTCCTGAACCCAGGCCGTGAGCACTGAGCTACTTCCTCGGCTTGTATTTTTGAGATAGGGTCTCACTAAATTGCTAAACTGCCCAGGCTGGGCTCAAACTTTTCACTCCTCCTGCCTCAGCCTCCAGAGTTCTGGGTTACAGCTAGTTACAGCTATGTGACGTTATGCCTGCTTCCGGACACTTTATAGAACAAATTCATGTAGCATTTTCTCTGTCCATAAAAAAGGCCTAAGCCCAAAGGTTTTACCCCCACTTTCTGGCAGTGATGAGGTTCACCTCCAGGGCCTCATACAGGGTTACATCCTCAGCCCTAAGAGGCTCCTCTTTTGTCTGTAAATAGCCCTCCCTGGGGCTGGAGCACTGGTCAGAGTCCTGGGGTACTGGCCGCTTCCACATTAGCAACCTCATGGCCTAGGCCTTCCAGTGTCTCCCATTAAGTTCCCAGGAAAACTCAGCAGCAGCCAGGATGATGACAATGGTGGGAAATATGCGGAGGTTGAAGCTGCAGTGCCCAGTCCACAGCCAAGCATGGTCCTACTCCTGCTGCTGCAGCCAAGCATCATGGTCCTCCCCAGAAACCCTGGGATTCTGGGAACCCCGGGATCCTGTGGGCAGGAGCCTGGAGCCACTGACAACTCAATGCCTGTTGTGATCCTGGGGTCTCACAGGGTGATCACAGCAGAGCCCTAGGCACACGGCTTGGATTAGATGGTAGACTGGGATCCATACAGCCACCGTCCTCCTCATGGGTCTCTGTGTCTGTGAGGTTATTTTAAAGCTAATGCTACCACGGGAGCAAAACTTGGGCCCTGTGGGACAGCGAGGGACTTCAGGGAGACTCTACTTTCCTCTCCTCACTGCAAAAGCGTACCCTGTGGAGATGCATGCATCCCCAAGCCCTCTGCATGCCATCACTGACCCCGGCACTGCTACCCAGGTAGAAGAGGAGGTTGTCCGGCTCTCGGGTCTTCACATTCAGAGCCAGGGTGTTGTAGTTGGTGGAGGAGATCTGAGGCTGGTAGGCCCGGATGCAGTCTCGGTCTGCGGCCACAGCCACTTTAATCTGCAGAACGGAGAGCAAGGTGTCCTCTCCTATAGTGACACGTGGGGTGGCTCCCCGGCTGGCGGGTCCAAGGGGGTGCCACTCCCATCTCTACCGCCAGGCCAGTTTCCTCTTGAAACACAGAATGCTTTGGGGTTCATAAAGCAAGGAATGAGACCGCAATGGGGTAAGTTTACTGAGTGATGTGTTTAGAAGGAGGAAGTCGGTCTGGCAGCCTTGTGAGGGTATTTTATGCAGGAAATGGTCTTGCTAACATGAAACTGATCTGTGTCCCTAAAGACAAGGGACTTAGCACCCTGGAGCCCTGCCACCTATGGACAGATGGTGCCTGATGATGTCAGAGCACCCCCGTGACACAGGACACTGTCTAGCACACATTTTCTTAATGTAGAACTTCTCCAGGGGTCACTGCTTCCTGCATCTGGCAACGGGAACCTGGGCAGCACTGGCGAGGGTGCAAACCATTTCCTTAGACTCCCGCAGGCTAAGGCCCACACTGCTCTGCAGAGCGAGTGCTTATTAAAATTAAAGCAGGGGCAAGAAGTAAGGCCATCTCATGCAACAGTGAAACCCAGTGACCACAGTGACCCACAGACTCCCAGGCTGGCAACCACAGAGTCGGGAGAAATTAAGAATCTCTATAAAGACACAGAGAGCTCTGTGATGACAGCTGTAGGCACAGGTGGCATCAATGCAGAGGAGGCCACTGCTGGCTTGAAACTCCAGGACAGGCTGGAGGCGGCCAGGCTGCCTGAGCACGCTCTGCAGAGGGCCGGGCAGCCCCGTGGCGGAAAATGCTGGCTGGCTGCGTGTCACCGAGCCGAACCACTCACCGAGGCAGCCTGCTTCCGGGCCTGGCTGATCAGCAGTTTAATTTCTGACAAGTTTCTGCTCAGGTTTTCTTCTAACGTCCTCAGGGGCTTCAGCTGATCAAATAAGAGGTTGGCTTGTGTCTCCGCATCTCTAACCTTCCTTCTGGCCAGCAGAGCTAATGAATACGAGCAGCAAGGGGTGGCCAGAGAGTCAGGAGGAGGAGAAGAAGATAAATAAATTGGTTACGAACCACACACTGGATGGAAGAGAACAGCCTCAGAATCAAATCCTTGCAGTTTGGAAACTGCATAAAAAATGCACCGGCCATCCTGCAAGCCTTCCTTCACCCCTGTCAGTGCTAATCTGAGCGGCAGCGCATTCCTGTGCACCAGCCCCACGTGCACCGAGCATCCCTATCTACACCCTGAGACAGCTCGACATACTGGTCACGGTGGAGTCACGCAGCAGACCCTGTGTCTCCTGCAGTGTGGCATTCAGCCCAGCCAGATTGGCCGAAGTGTCCAGCAGCTTGTGGCTCAGCCCCTCCACCTTCTGTGCCGCCCTCGCCGTGCTCTGGCTGGCAGAGTCCGCCAGCTCTTTGCTTCTGGTCACCTGGTCTCTCACACCTAAAACAAACGTATGTGCAAGTATGCCCCCAGTTAGTGACAAAAGAAATAATGTGGATCGCAATGCTTTCCAAGTGATTTCAATGCACAAGGTAATCACAAACGCAAAGGCCCGCGTGCTCAGGCAGTTATAATACTAAACCGAGCTGCTTTGTCTGGGCCCTTTTCTAACACACTGTCCCATCTTGGTTCCCTTTTTCCTGCCTTTTGATTGACTCTGAGATCTCTATGTGGCTCTACATCCCCAGCCTGCCCTGACTTATTTTTTATTTGGAGCAGGGTCTTGCTTAGCTGTAAAGTTGCCCAGGCTGGCCTTGAAATGAAGCCGCTTCTCTTTCACCTCCCAGGGTGCAGGTATGCACCGCCATGCCCGACTTCCTCGCTGTGAGACCCTCCCCAGCCCCGCTGTTCCATGTCTGGACAAGAAGATGCTGAGCCTAAGCCCCTGCGGGGAGGGGAGTATCCCACACCACAATAAGAACAAGTGGCATCTGCGCCCAGCATGGACTGGACGCCAGAAGTAACAGCAGAATTGGGATTCAAGGGCCACAAAAGGCAAGATGGAATTCAGTTATGCAAGACACATCTGGGTGCGGTTTCCCCCCACCCAGTACTGAGAATTAAGTCCAAGGCCTTTACCCTGAGCTACACCCACCCCCACCCCTCAGTCCTTTTATTTTAAAACAGAGTCTCACGGAGTTGCACTCTCCTGCCTCAGCTTCTGCAGTTTCTTGGATCACAGATGTGGCAGGTTTGGCGAGGGCTTTTTCCCTGCTTTTACTGTTGTTTCTCCTTTAAACTGGGAGATGTCTGCATAATGATGACACTGCTCAGGGGGAGGTGGCGCACACGGCGACTCATCTTGGCTCTTTCTCAGCCTCTCCTTCCCCGTCCTCCTCCCCCATCTCTTGGTTCCCCTCCCTTTTGTAAGAGATATACCTCCCTATTTCCAATTATCTATTTCTTATTGTGCTCTCTATATTTTGGGTTTCTCACATAAGAGAAAATTTAAGTTTGTGTGTCTGATTTATCTTGCTTAACATTATGGCCTCACAGGACATCCGTCTTCCTACAAATGCCTCAAGTTTATCCTTTATGGCAGAGAAGTACTCCATTTTGGGTAAACACCACATTTTTGATCCATTCATCTGTTGATGGACATACAGGTAACTTCCAAGATGTAGCTATGCTTCGTTGTGCTGCTATAAACATAGGTACGCGTGGATCACTGTAATATGTCTTTAACTCTTGGTAAGATACCTAGAAGATTAGCTTGGATCAAATAGAATTTCTAGTTTTAGTTTTCTGAGGAATCGCCATATTGATTTCCATGGTACTTCAACTAGTTTATATTCCCACCGACAAAAGGGAGCTTTGTAAAAACAGTATTACTCATTGGAAAAAAAGGTTTACTCCCACAGGGGGCAAATCATTACCACTAAAGAAAAGCTGGATGGAGTGTGCAGGTGACCTTTCTTACTCTCTTGCAGTTTTTTTTAAGTTCAAAATTGTTTCCAAATCAAAATATACCTCACAGTGTAACTTTTGCAGAGAAAAATAAGACAAGTCAACAAACTTCCGGATCATAAAGTGCCCCCCTCGCACAGGAAGGAAGCCCGGGGCGCCCCAGGCACGGCTCCCCTGGGAACATCCTGCAGCTGACTCTGGGGAACCTGGGCTCTCAGGAGACTTAAACAGCAAGACAGAATGGGGGGGGGGGTGAAAGGAGAACCAAGATGTGTCCTGTCCCCCTCCAACCCCCCGCACTGAGCGTACGCATATGCACTGCACACATGGACTAAAGAAGCAAGAGAAGCCCGGGGGACGCAACAGCTCCCAGCAGCGCCAAGTCATCTGTGCCACACTTTAAAAACTGTCCTATTCACGGCTTCAATGCAGACTACTTTTCCAAACCCTCAATACTACAGTGTTGAAAAGGCTTTTCTGCACATGGCTTATTGCTTCCGCAAGGAAAGTTACCAAGCAAGAATTCACTAATTTTCCTGCTTTATAAAGACATGCACTTTCCCTGAAGACACATCTGGTTTTCCCTCTCTAGCTTAGAGCTCTTTGAATGACCCTTCTGGCATCTCAGCCCCAAACCCCTTTGGAAAGCAGGCAATTAAGAGCGTAGTGTGAATCTCCGAGGACTCTGTTTCTAAGAGGATGACTCTAATATTTCCATGAGATGTGCTGATGCTATTTTAAAAATGTCAGTGATCTTCACCTCCAAATCACATCTGTCTGCAAGTGAAACCTTGAACAATCTTGGTCTCATTTTCCAGCCAGGGCCCTAATGAGACGTTAATTAGATCGAGAGGCTCCTTTGAACTCACCTTTGGGGGTTGCGCTCAAGGTCAGGAGTGAGTTGTTGGTCTGCTGGGTAATTCTGCCCGCTCTCTCCTGAAATCTGTTTGCTGTATTTTTCAGTTCACTCAGCTTCAACGTAAGACCTGTTTCAAGAGAGAAAAAATGCTCCCTTTGAGGTTAACGTGCTAATACATTGCCTAGGCAACAGCTCCATCACTCCCAATCTGCCTGCAGAATCAATAGTTCCTGCAGACGCCCCAATCCCGAAAGGGTTTCCAGGAAGACAGCTCCGTTCATTGCAGAGATCACAGCGTATCTCTCGCTCCTTTGATTATTCTTGTACTTTGCTTGCTATCTTCCTACTGGAATTTCTTCTTAAATGTCACGTCTCAGATTACCAAGTGAAGTGCTGCTTGCAACACTCGGTGCCTGGTGGACACTGTCACTCCGTTCCCACCTGGTCAGAGCCGCTTCCTCCTCTGGGCTTTGAAACCCCCGTGGTGTGGGCTCCTCCTTGGCTGTCGGCCCTTCGTGTCACCCTCCTGCCCCTGGAGAACCCTCAGACCCACCCCCCCCATTCCCTTCCTGCCAAATCAGCGTGGTTTCATCACAGCTTCTGTCCCTAAACGCTCAGTCACATTTGAATCGTGAATTAAAATATGAATTTGAACCGTCACCCTGCTGCAGGAGCCCAGGCGCTCAGGAAGCAGTGGAGCACCTCGAGGCAGACAGCACCAAGCGTGGAGAGCCGTGTGTCCGCATGGCTGCACTCACCGAGTCATGCGGGCTGGCGACGTTCACCCAAGGTGAACAGCTGCTCCTTGAAACTTACACTGAACCACACTAGTGTTTTTGAAGTGGACAGAGGGATTAGGATGTAATCCCTACCAGGAGTCTCACTCATGGCTGTGAGAAGGGCAGCAGTGGTACTCAACACCACACACCCTTAAAGGAGTCAGAAATTAATTAGGGCCAACCAGAGAGGTGCCTTCGATCAGAGGTCACGCAACAAACACAGGAGGGGTTGAGGGAGGTCCTAGCTCAAGCAAGGAGAGGTGGACTTGCTCCCCAAAGAAGGGGTAGAAGCAGGGGCCAGTCAGCCCCCACTGCCCTGCTAAGCACTCACCTTGCTGCTTGCTGCTCAGGCTGCCGCTGTCACTCCGAATCCCGGAACTGCGCTGCACAGCCGCCTTCCCGCTGGACACCAGTGACTCTGAGGACTGAGAAAGAGAACAACTGACCACGGTGACCATGGGGATCCTGCGGGGATGCAGAGAAGCCAGAGGGAGCCACCGGCCGAGCCATACAGGGAGGAGCGAGCATGCACAGATCTGTGTGTATGAACAAAGAACGAGCCCCGAGAAAAGGATTTCTCCACAGGCAAGCACAGTATCTTGGGTAGAATTCAGACAGCACCCTCATTCTCATATGCAGAAATTGTGACACGTTCTCATATCTGTAATACTACCTGTTAGTCTGCATAAAGAGTATTCAAGACTAAAAAAAGAAAAAAAATTCAAGGGACAGGGCATGATAATGTGTGCCTGAAGTCCCAGCTGCTGGCAAGGCTGAGGCAGGAGGATCGAAGGGGCTGGGGTTTCAAGGCCCAGCCTGGGTGACCCCATGAGAACATACATTTTAAAACTAAAATTGAAATGTGTATCACATGCAGTTTTTCTGTAAGTTCATGACAGATGCCATAGGTGGAGTCCACTGGAACAGAACTTGGAGGAGGAGGAGTATACACTCAGGCTGGGAGTGTGGCCCCAGCCGCTCCTGGGGCACCTTCCTGTGGTGTAGGGGCAGGACGATGCGCCCCCTGGGGCCCGAGCTGCTTACCTGCCTCACCTCCCTCGAGGCCTTCCGTGCAGCTCTGGCCAGGCTCTTGGATTCTTCCACCAGACTCTGGATGTTGAAGTGGACATGCACGGCGCTGGTTGCATTCAGGGATGCATGCCGGGCACTTTCAAGACCACTGTCAAAGGAGCACATTTAGAGACACTCGGGTAAACTGCAGGGAATCTGCAGATTCACTCTGAGGCCCCACAAGCACCTGCCAGTGACACCCTCCTGGCTCAGCAGCAAAGAGTACCAAATTGTGGCTTTCCCTGCAAAGTCAAAAGCTGGGCTGGGGCTACAGCTCAGCAGCACAGTGCCTGCCTGGCAAGAGCAAGGTCCTGAGTTCAATTCCCAGTACCAGAAAAAAAAAAAAAAAAAAAAAAAACTGAAGTCAAAGGTCATCTTTGAGAAGCTGCAGGTGCAGCATCATGGGAATCAGAATCGCCCTTTAATTACAGCAGGAACAGGCCATCACCGTCTCCCTTTTCATCACCTTCCGAGCTTGCTGGCCACGTTCGCTGACCTGCCTAACCCTGCACAGGCCAGAGGATCTCGGTGCAACTACACCGGTTCCAAGTTCTGAGGCAGCCCACCTGCCGATCCCTAAAAAGCTTTGCTATGCTCACAGCAGGGCACTGGCTCTGTACCCACAGCTGGCGCAGCCCAAAGGATGAAGTTGATGAGAGACATGGCAGAAGTGATCAGCCCTGCACCAGCTGGACTTCCTTCTACCCCGTGGGTGAGTCCTGGGCTGTCAACTGATACCAGCAGGATATCAGCTCATCTTCCTTTTCTGCGGAATGAATCCTGACAATCGGCACGACCTCGCCTGCTTTGTAACGCACTCCGTTTTCTCTCCTCAGTTTTTGGTAGGACGATCCCAGAGCAGACACCTACTGTAACTACGTCTGTTACATTGACTGGCAAGATGTGTTGATTCGGCCATAACAGATAATAATCTTACCTAACTTCCCGGCCCAACTGCCCTCGTTGCCCTTACACTAAGGAACAGAGATTGTCTTCTATCTAGCAGTCTTAATCTTCTTGCCTTTTTGAGAAGTGATGAAGGTGATTAGAAAGAGAGAAGCTGGCTGTCCGAGTCCATCTGCTGCCCGGCTCCCTCCGTGGGCAGAGGGAACAGCACTGAATTCAGCACATGTTGTACCCAATGGGCCACCTTGTATCAATTCTAATTTCTTTTGTGGCAGCAGCTAATCTTGAATGGCAGCATTTCTTAAATGGGGAGATGCTTTTCCCCAGGGACAGAATACACCCCCCCCCCCCCACACACACACACACTTCAATTCCCAGTGTGTCTGGACTTTATGCACCCACTTTTTGGGCTATACTTTAAAGAACTAAATTTACCAACTAATTCCTCAGATCGTGGAAATCACTGATGACCCCTGAAACACTTCCTGTACTAAAATCACCTGGACGTCTTTTAAAAAGTGACAAAGCCCAGGCCACATCCCAGAGCACATAAGTCACAGCCTCGAGGGACAGAGGAAAAAGGAAGAAAGGATCAGTATTTCATAGAGTTCCTGGCCAGTCTCAAGAGCATAGGAGTTTGTCAGCCACTGCCCCGAAACCGAGGGACACATTTAGCAGATGTCTGAAGTCAGGAGTTAAAATATTTGTATTACCGTGGTAGACCTTTGGACTGGAGAGAATAATTTTGTGTGGGGGTAAGGAGTTACCTTTCAGGACTGGAAAAGAGACCAACACTTCTATATATAGACGGTGGGCAGCTGTCTTTCATTCAAGTCATCGGTGCTATGGTTGCCTGACCTGAACCCCACACCACTTAGCAAGCACCAGGCACTCTGGGCATTTCCTGAGGCACAGACAGCTTGGTATCATAACCTATGCTGTGTTTTAGGCCCTATCAGAGTCCGTTTGCATTTTCCACAGTATGTTTACACTGGTGGTAAGCTGGGCTAGCAGACCCAGGAGAAACTTGCTCGGTGTGTAAATAAAACAGGAGCCACTACCTATACCCAAGCGTGTGGCCTCACCTGTCCAGAGCGCCTGCTGACCTCTGGAGCCCAGCAGCGTGGTCCTCAGCTCTGTAGACCAGGTCGACCATTCTCCTCTCAGACATCTGCATGACCAGGTGGTCCACGTGGCTCCTGATCTTGGCTGCCCATAGGAGAAGCTCATCTCGGTACCGCTCCGCCTGCTGCAGAGGAGAGAACGCTGCAAACTCGTGCCCATCCTGCAGGTACGCATGTGTGCAGGGTCCCGAGGAACCCACCAGGGCGTCCCAGCTGGAACTTACCACCAGTGTGTCTTGCAAACGGTCCGCCTGGGCTGTGGCCGCATCCACCAGTCCCCTTCCTTCAGCCACGAGCTCTGAGGTTACATTCTGCTGTTCTTGAAGATGCAGCTTTTTATTCTGTAGGAAAAAAAATCCCTTTTGAAGGATGCTTTGCAAAAGCAAGTCAGCGAATCCGGCTGCCTGCCGAAGCTCGGACTTGGAGCTGACTCTGTGAGGAGCTGACTGACCCCATCCCCTCGGGAGGCTATGGAGCAGTTCTACCCGAGAAGGGCAGCCAGCAGGACTCACACTGAAATCTCGCAGGTTGGCCTCGCTGAGGAACAGCAGGCGGGCACTCTCCTCTGTCCTGGCCTTCGCCTCGCTCAGCAGCTCCTCTGCCGCCTGCAACTCAGCAGTGTGCTTTGAAAGGAGGTGCCCGGCTGCGTCCTTCAACCCCTGCAGCTCTTTCTGAGGCCGCTGGAAATCCTTCTGCACCGCAGACAACAGGTCTTCAGCAGCCCTGGCAAATGCAACACTGCACAGGTAAGTCAGGGCACAAAAGGCAGCAAAGCTTGCATCTCTGATGCAGGAAGGGAAGGGAATTTCTAAAAGACTCCACACTCTGTTTCCCCTTAAAATCCTGAGCCATACGGAACCTCACTTCTTAAAGACAAGGAGCAACAAACACAGCCGCAGGAACGGCAGGGTCACGCTGCATCTGTAAACCACCTTTGTTACAAGCTTATCCGGACTTAAACAGCTGGGACTGTTCTGCCTTAGTGAGGAGAATGGCAATCTTCTATTATAACATGACAAGAAACTGAAAAAAAAAAGCTACTTAGTGTTTTCTGGGAGTTTGCCAATTTCTTTACACAATATAAAGGGTTTTCTGTAGTTGGTTAAGAAACAGGCTTTATAAAAACTTTCAAGATCAAGTTGCTTAAATATTAGTGCTGCTGATAAATACAACCTTTAGTAAATCAAAAGATTTTTTCCTATTTCTTGATATAAATGTCATTAAATTTCTTTCTGAAATCATTTTGAATGTAGAGCTGCACAGAACAATGAAATTCATATCACAGATCCTCGCAGTGGTTAAATCTACCCCTTCGGTTCTCTGCTTCAGAGTCGGGAAACCTTTCCAAGAGCCCTGAAGAATGCCCCGTGAGACACCCCTGCTTCCAGAGGGGCCACTGAACAGCACAAAGACAGACTGCACCAACCGCGTCCAGGAGCAGCGGCCGAAGCCAGGTCCTGACGCCCTCTCACTGCTTGCCTCGAACACCTCCTTCCCCACCTCCGCCCGGAGATGGTGACTGTACTCAGAACTTACGCGAGCTCCCGGCTGGTGTTGTGGAGCAGGTCTGTGAACTGTCTTTTCCGAATCATTTCCAGCAAGGACGCGATGCTCTGCCTCATGTTCTGCAGAGTGGAATTGGGTAGCTGGAAGTTTTCATCTACAGTCTGATTTAAATTTGTGGCCTTTTCAAGGATCTCTATGGAGAAAATTCACCGATTTTTTAGTTAAGTTCCTACACAGGGCCAGTGCTCAGGATTCTCGCTGCTGAGGGCCATGTGTGCCAGCATCAGGCATTTCCTAACACAGCATCCATGAACTTAGGACTGCTGGTGGACTAAGCTCAGTACTCCCCAGCACACACAGGGCAGGGACATTTTCTGTATACAAAGCTCCTCGATAAATATTTCCTGCATGAGCAAGCTATTTTTAGTAAATATTTTGTCCTAGTGATTTCCTCCATTTTTGCCCTACAGAGTCTGATCTGCGCTGGATTCCGTACTCTACAAGCTCTAACACTGTAATCCCCAGGAAAGGTGAGGTTTTTGATAGCTAAGAAATGAGCAACAGCTCACTGGGAGCCAGAGAGAACCGCGTGAGGAGCGAAAGAATTACACACACTAGTGGGTGGGGGGTGCTTGGGCACCAAACTGAGCCCCAAATCCTGTGAGCTCCTACTTGGGGACAGGATGGGAGGTACCGATCAACTTTACCAAACAGGGCTGGAGAATTAGGTTAGAGAGGCCAGGCATGACAGATAAAACAGGAAAAGAACTGTGTACGGTTAAAAGAGAAAGCTCTCTGCTAAGAGGACACTAAGCCTGGACATCCCAAGTGCCCCAAATTCCAGGGAGCCCAGCAGCAGACGCACGCATCTATTCATGCATTTGATCAAGGGACTGTGACTTTTCCCACTGAACAAGCAGAGTCCCCACTGAGGCTCTCACACGCTACCTCTGATGTTCTCCTGCAGCCGCTCGATGAACACAGCCAGGTCTCGACTTCCCTGCAGAATCTTCTCTGAGGCCCGGCCTGCCTGCTGGCTTCGGGGCAGCACTCTGGTCAGCTGGCAGGAAAAGGTGTCGGGTTAGTCGGCCCACAAGTGACGGAGGCACAAGCTTCAGTGCTGCAGCCGTTTCGGGAGTATAATCAAGGCTGGTGGAGTAGTTCAGTGCCAGAGCCCGTGGCTCTGTGTCCGTTCCAGAACACAGGATAATGATATGCAATGGCATGCACACCAAGGCCAGTATGGGACAGAACCGAAGACATGGTACTTTCATAAGCGGCCTCATGGATCATCACAGCACAGAATCTCCCCAGGTCTACACCTCAGGACCTCAGAGTTGAGTACAATCACACCCCACTCAATCAGCAGGGAAGTATCCTGAGAACACATCACTGGGAGGGGCGCTTACAGCACTCTGGATGCTACAGGCCACTACGCACACCTGAGCTACGTGCACACATATGCATTATATACATGTGTGTGTACACCCAGGCCCACACGGATACACAGGGTGTCGCCTGTTGTTCTCAGGGACACAATGAACAAAATCCCTGGAGATTCAATCAAGCCCAGCAGAAAGTGCTGTGCTCCAGGTACTCAGAGGGCAAAAGTGGGAGAGGTGACGGCAGAGGAGGAGGACTGTGTACGTCAGTGGGGACAAGTGTGGCACAGTGAGTACACCAACAAGGCCAGAGCCATGTACCACTGTTTCCTAATAGCCCCTGGCAGTGGGGAGGGTTCTTCACACCAGCATCACCATGAACGCACAAGGGGAGCCCTGAGCTACAATGTCAGGACAGCGAGTACATCAGTGGGCAGCAGCAACCTTCTAGCTTCTTATAATTCTGTGGGATTACTGGTACATACGCTGTGCATCAATGACTAAGCAAAAACAAGCACCACATGACTGTACCGAACACGGCGTCCAACCTTGGTGGTCTGCATGGCTACGCAGACACTGCATGGCCTCGCAGTAATCTGCATGGCTACTGGGGCTAAGAACAGGGAGCCAGGCACCTGGCTGTGCACCTGGCTCCACCAGGCAATAGTACGGGAGTTACAGGTGGCAGGGGTTCCGGGGGAACACAGGGTCCTTAGGAATGTGACTGCCAGCAGCTGCCCACAAAGCCTGCAGCCCGGAGGCTGACACCCAGCTGCCCTCAGCTGGCATTTCCACGGGAATTTATAACTGGTACAGGGAACGGTTCTCTACCTTTCCGAAACTACACTAACTCAGACAGGGTCTAAAGATGTTTTCTGCTCAAGACCAAAGTAAATCTTCCTTCCTGCACATGGAGAACTTAATAAATCAGCTTCTCACTGAACATTCAGGGTTTACTGCAAAAGGTACAAAAAGCCCCACCTAAACCCTTAAATGCTTTGCAAGCCTTAATTCATTCTAAATGAACTGGAGCCAGCTGATCCTTGTCTCCAGGGTGCACAGCTGTGTACGTGTGCTGACAGACTTGTGACAACCATAAATCTCACAGCGGATGCCCCATCTGCACATGAGGAGACTGTCTGGGGATCACAAAAGCACTTCACCTGGCATGAGCCAAACAGAACAAACAATCCACCACTGTCAGGACTCCCTTCCCTGCCTTTGCAGCACTAAGACCAGAACCAAAGCGGCAGAGACCACGCACCCTGAGCTCCTGGGGTGCCGCCTGCCAGCCAAGGCTCTGGAGCATCACCAATGTCTCTGAAGCCGCCAGCTCCGGGGCTCAGAGAGGACCACGGAGTCAGGCCCCAAAACGACTGTCCCACTCTGTCCTCAGCAAAGACCCACACAGAACTCAATCTCAGGCTTTTCCTGCCAAACCTCAGAAAGCAGCAGGGTTAGCGGTCACTGGGTGACGAAGGGTCTGGCCCGGGGCAGGCGGGGAGCGGGCTCTTCACCTGCTTTTGTAGCTCATCCGTGAGCTTTGCAATGCCATCCAGCTGAATTTCTGCCGAATTCTTCTGAGAATTTTCTTTTAACAAAGATTCCTGAGAAGAACAAAGACCACATTACAATGTTCGAAGTAACACGTTCTTCTCCACAAAGGATGCCTGTGACTTCCTTTTTGGTCACAGAAAGAAATTCTACTTTCCTTGAAGCTGTCATTTAAAAATAAAGAAAACCACCTTGCCGAAGTTTCATTTACAGCTACCTGATTGCAGAGCACCGCCTTCTACACTGAATTAAACAGGCAGAAATCTAACACCTGTGATTCGGGCCCAGTCGGAGATGGCCAGAACCTTAGGTAAAAGTCTGGCTTTATTTCTTTTATCAAAGTCACACATTTTGATTAAGATTGCCAAATTTTTTTTTAAAAAATGCTTCTAAGCTAAAGCTTACGAACACATTCAATAAAAGGCACCCTTTATCATTATTAATAATTACAGTGCTTAATTAGTGTCCTCATTTTATTTACCTGTGTGACCTTACTTAAACCAGATTGGATGACAGTGAGAAATAACACTGGCCCTTTGCATAACGTCACCAGTCACATGAGGGACTTAGCCAAAGTCACTCAACATTCAGTTATCACTGAAATCAAGTATGATTTCACTGATAAATTTAAAACAGTTCTGTCCCTGGGGCCTGAATTAGTAGAAAACAGAACTCATTGTGTAGATAATGGTTAGAAAAGAAATTTAAATCTTTCTTTCTACTAGAATTCTAATGGAGGTAGAAGCCATTCCCTTTCAAACACATATTTTTCTATTTAAGGAAAAATAGTATAGAAATAGTTTTTAAGAGTTCTGTGTCCTAGATGTGCTTGGAGGTGCACATCTGTAATCCCACCATTTAGGAGGCTGAGACAGGAGGACTGCCACAAGTTTGAGGCCAGCCTGGGCTACATGGTAAGACCCTGTATCAAACAAACAAAAACAAAACAGCTCCCCCCCCAAACCCACACACATACACACAAAAACTTTTTACTTTATCCCTTTTTACTACTGTCATAGCGAAAGGACCATTGTAAAAGCAGTCCCATTTCAGTTGCCTACGGAAATAGTAAGTCTATAAGAACAGCTTGTATAAGACAGTGGTCACCCAGGACTGTGCTTCCTGCTAGTTTCCACTCAGCACAGAGCACAGACTACCTCAGATGCTAATGCAGGGGTAGAAAGCACAGAGGAAGAACTATAATTTTTCCCAGTTAGAATTAGAAGTGCCCAAAGAGGACAATGCCCACTCTTTCGCTCTCTGAGTCTTTCCATGCTTCTCACCAGACTTGCTAACGAAGCATAAAACTGGGCTTCCCGGAAGGCATTTTCTAATTTCCCAGAGAAGGAGCACTCAAGACCCTGGATCTCCAGGTAGGACTCGCACACCGAACAGGCAGTGGCTTCCTCTAACCGAGGGAAATGCTGCCTGTTGAGCCATGTCAGGGTCAGCACAGCTGCTTTTCCAGCATCCAATGTTTCATCCAGAGAGCAGCTAGCTCATGGGTGCATCTGGCCCTCGGGGTCCGAGGTGCTTGGAGGTCTCCACGGAGGGACTCTCCACCCACACAGCTATCCCTGACCATGAGGCTATTGTCACTGTCCTCTCAAGGCAATGCTGGGCAGTCCTGGCGGGCATGGCAGGACGTGGCGGATCCACCCTGAATGACCCACACCGCTCCCAGGGACTCCGCCTATCTAGTCCTGTACCTACCCGGAGAGATCTAGTTGCATTTTCCAGGTTTGACAGAACTCCATATGGGGCAGGGACAACGCTGGTGAGGTTCACAGAGAGAATGGCATCGCCAACACGGTCCAGGTCACCCAGGAGGATGCCCGTGCACTCGTCATCACAGGCTGGCGGGGAAGAAGAGAGCGTTAAAACTCCTGAGAAGTGACCCTGTGGCCCTTGGGCACGGGAGCCACATGCAGTGGTAACCTGGGTGCCGGGAGAATGTACCCATGCCCCAGACAGGATGAAGTCAGCCAGGGAACGCCAGCGACCAGTCAAGGGTACTCCCCGCTCTGTGTCCACTGAGCCTCAGCGCCACCAAAGCACAATAAACAGGGCCAGGGCTGAAACTCCCAGGCTGCTTTGAGTGCCGGAGAAGTAAGTGGCAGTGACCTAGGACCCCCTGCCTCGGCTTGCAAATGCACGCCTGAAGGTTTAATTACAGAGATGCTGCTACAATCCACGCTCCATTAACCAACTGAAGTGGAAAATAAAGCGGGACTCAGCTCTCCTGAGCAAGGGAAGCATTCCGGAGGGAACCCCACTTTAACCCCGAGGGGGAGAAATACCCACAAACACAGCTGCTGTCCACCAGCAGGTGCCTCGGCTGGCACTCGTCGCATTGGAGCCCCGTGGCCCCTGGCTTGCAAATGCACTGCCCGGACAGGGGGTCACAATTGCTGTGCACAGAGCCCTGAGGGCTACAGATGCACTTCTGGCAGCTGCCACCCAACATGCCAGGGTTCCCATAGTAGCCCACGGAGCACCTGCAGAGAGACATTAGACACCGACATCAGGGACGGCGGACAGGGGCGTCCATAGCAGTCCTGGCCCAGATTGTGTCCTTATCCCCGCAGGATGAAACCCAGAGCACACACTGGCTGCCACAACCTCCCTTTAGAGCACCCATGAGGGTCTGCGTCTGTTACACACGCACACATGGATAGAGTCCCAAATACGACTCAGATGCCACAAAAGGAGCGGTGTCCAGAGCGGCAACCCACAGCGTACCTTTCACAGTACCGGCCTTCGTACCCCACGGCACAGGCGCTGCACCGGAAGCCACCGTCAACCTCCGAGACACAAGTGGGACTGAAACTGGAAGAAAAGAGTTTTGTTCCTGAATTTTGAGACATACAACTTCAAAGCTTTCTTCAGATAATTACCCACAGCTGTTTGATGGTTCTAATGTTAAGCAATGACACAGGGCGATCAGACAAGCTTGTTAGAGCTAAGATCTGCTGGACAAAACCCATGGAAATTTACAGGTCATCAATATAAATCTGAGTACATTTGTATCCAAAAGATGCTCAAGTAGCTCTTTCTAGTGACAACCAGGGAGGTGCAAAGGAAAAGACCGATTTTGAGGATGATAACTAATTCGTCATCCAGAAAATCTCCCTCCGTAGGCAAAGATCTCCTTCTGAGATTTAGGGCAACAATCGGAGAAAGAAAAAAGCCAGGCAGAAATGAACGGGCCTCCGTGGGTGTCAAAGTGGGCAGCACAGTCCTCAACAGATAATGACCTCCACCCTCGGTGATGTCCTTCATGGACTCAGCCTTGCTGTGCTCCTTTGCTGTACCTTCTGCCTGCACGTGTGAAACTTCTCAGACACCAGAGCTGGAACCTGCAAACACCTGAACCAAACCAAAGCAAACCAGCACCGGCCCTTGCTGAGCAGTAAGATAAGAGTCCAGCAGGAGACACAAGTGTTAGAGTCAAACAACACATAGAAAGTTCCCACACTCACACTCTCTTACTAGTGTAACAATCTCTTCCTAATGGGTCATTTATAATGTGGACTTGGGGAATGGCTAACAGGTTTTTGAGGGAAGAAGTAAAATAGTGTTTTAACAGCACAGAAAGGTGCAAAACTGAAGCGTGCACCAGCCTTCCCAGCATTCCTCTGGACACACCCAGTCACGTGCCTACAGATACGGATATTTACGTGGAAATGAGTTTTTTCCAAAATGACCTCACACTGTGGCGCATTCAGTTGCAGACTCCCGGTGGCGGGGGCACCACATTCCTAGTGAGGATCACCGTAGGACTGTGGCAGCATCCCCATGAGCCGTGCCTTGGAGACAGGCCTACCAGCTGCCTCCCCACTGCTCGTGAGCACGGGCGACGTAACAGACACCCACTTCACACACGGACACAAGCATCTCTGTAGCACCGACACAGGAACTGAGCTTATGAGTCAAAATTTATATATGCACTTAACTTAAAAAATAAATAAATAAAAACTACAGCAAATTTTACGGTGCTTGGCAGCTTTACAAGGGAACTGTGCGTGGTTCCCCTTACTTGGGAATAATCAAAGCAACTTGCAGCAAATATTAAAAAGGAAGCTTCATTTCATTTTTTTACGACTGCCTGCTTGCAAGGCAGGTACTTATGCCGCTGAGCTAAATCCTCAGATCCAGAAGCTTCATTTTAGACCACTAAAATTTGGTGTTTGATCTGTGTTCCATGCCTTTGCCACACACTGAGTGATACCATTACTTATGGATAATGATCTTCATTCGAACAGGGAACCCGCTGATAATCTACTTCCTGCTACAAAGTTCTCCGGGCCTCTTTTGCATTCCTGTAATCTAGGCAAGCATCCTGTGGGGGAGGCAGAACCAGACTGTTTTGTTCCTAGGTGACCCTTCAACATTTTAGCAGACACCACTCTACATAAACTCAAACCGATCCCTTCAGTTAAACAGAAAGCAGATTCTTTTTTTTTTTTTTTTTTTTTTTTTTTTTTGCCTTTTTCCTTTTTATCAGTGCTGGGGATCGAACTCATGACTGCCTGCTTGCAAGGCAGGTGCTTATGCTGCTGAGCTAAATCTCCAGCCCCCGAAAGCAGATTCTTTTTGCATCACGATTTCCAAAGTTAGTAATAGTTCATCTCTACACAGACCAGATACATAGCTGGCGCTAAGGTGAATCTTTACTTCCTTCCATTCTAACAACTGAGAGCCTCACAGATGCTTCGCTTTTGAAAAGATTCCCTTCAAGTACTTCTGAGCGGGGAATGCTTTTTCCAGAAGCTTCTGGATCAGCCCAGGGGGGCACTGACCCTGAAGCCCCGGAGGGGACTGTGAAGGCCGGGCCGGGCTCTGGGAGCTTACCTGGCAGGGGGGCTGTGGGGGCAGGCACACGGGGAGCAGTGCAGGGTCGTGCCAGTCACCTTCCTGTAATAGCCGGGAGTGCACAGTTCGCAGTGGTCCCCGGCCGTGTTGTCCCTGCAGTTCTGTGGTTTGTGGAGTTTCCAAGGAGAGGGAAACAACGGAAGCGGTTAGAAGTCGAGCTCCCAGATGACAGCTCAGCAAGACAGGCTTCCTATCACCACACGCTGCGTCCTAGATCTTTGCTCTTTTTAGTGCTCAAGGCAGGAGGGAAGTTTTCTTTTTTACATTTTTAATTCCTGGAAACCATTCCAGCTCTGTGGCTTTCACCCTTCCTCAGACTGCACCCGTCCAAAACAGCCTGGACATGACCAGGGCGTTCTTTCCAATGAAAGCAGATGCAGGGCTCTCGGCAGATGGCAGACAGCAGATAGCTTCTGGAACCTTAAAGCATGGATCTAAAGTACACAGTGACCCAAGAAAGGATGCCAGGCGCCACCCAGGCTCCACCAACACAGGAAGGTGAAGAGGTGCGAGGAGAGGTGATTCAGGAAACAGACAGGGTGGGAAGAACATGCAGGGGCCTGGGGCGCTACCAGCTGTTCTGCAAAATCCAAGGAGATTCCAGGGAGGCCTGATGTCTCCAGCTGGACCTGGGGTCTTGCTATGAGGAAAAAACCAGCACAGTTTCTAAGCCATGGGATCCCGGGCTTGTCACCAATGCTGGTTCTCAATGCATCACAGTGTGTTTGACTGGCTGGGAGGGACAGAGGCCACAGCCTGGCCCAGCCCCGACTGCCTTCCTTTCCTCCTGTGCAGCAAGGATGATAGAGAGGGAAACCTTGGGAATGTTTAAAAAGCTATGTTTAAAGTCTCTTTTACATTAAAAACAAAAACCAAAACAGATCCAAGGAGTCCAGTCAGTATTTTTCATCTTCAACTTGTACTCCTATTTCAGTTGATGAAAAGTGATCTTATTGGGATCCAGCTGACCCCTCAAAGGGTCAAGCTTCAGAATTAACACGTGTGACCTTTTCCCTAAAAAACTGCAAGAGGCCTGTTTCACATCATCCGGGGAGGATGGAAGCAGAAACCCAGCTTTTCCATGGCTGGTGTCCTCTGTGCGTGGAAAACTCTCCCAGCACACGATGGATGGTGGCCTCCTGTTTCCCAGGTTCTACAGAACTGAGTACCAGCTGCCCCGATGAGTGGAGGAGAAACAAGGACTGAGGGAGGTGTGGGATGTGCTAGCTGCTGTGAGAAATGCATGCAGCATGCCTGCCAACATCTCTGCCACACAATGAGGTCAGCTAGGTCTCTCACAAGAGAATGGCAGGGAACGGGTAAGGCAGAAGGACTCCGGGATCACTTCCTGGTCCTCCATCTTTCCCTTCCAGATCATATCTAAGCCAATGGCTTTTAAAAATAATACCAAAGGCCCAGTGTCACAGCAAGGGGACTATTTTATATACTCGATGACAGAATCAGATCCCTAGACATCCTGGTGCCCACCCGATGACCAGGGTAGAGGGCGGCTTGGACAGCTGTTAAAGAGAAATAAACTGTCTCGCTAAACCACAAAAGGGATTTCTCAAGGAAAAGCCCAAGGAGAGAAGGGAAAGATCCATTTCAGAGGGCGAGGAAGTGGCTGAGGGGCCAGCCTGAGGGAGAATGTAAGGTTTCTGTGCTCAGGTGACACTCAGGCTGTGCTGCAGTGGAGACCTCGGGCTGATGGGCAGAAACACCACCAGAACAGTCTGCAATGGGTGAGCTAGCCTCTCCTGGCGCATACGAGAGACTGGAGCATGCAGCTTTGCAAGTTAAGACACTGCTGCTTTTTGTGACTAATCTCAGCTATGCTGTGTCTCAGTGGCTCCAAAGGATCAAACTGTAGCAAGAGGTACGAGATCCAAGGGACAAATGCAGACTGCAGATCTGTCAGGAGGAGGACAAGCATGGATTTGAAATGTGTCCTGCTCAGCACTGCGGGTCCAGAAGAGGGCAGTCTCAGGGTAGTGTCCATGTCCAGTCCTCTGACGGGAGGGGACCCTCATCAGGACCTCCACACTCTACTAACTAGCAGAGGTAGGGCTTCTGGTGGGTTCCTGGTAAAGTCCAGCAGCAGCTGGCTAACTACTTCCCCTAGACTTCTGCCTCTGTTTACCCCAGGGACTTCTAAGGAGACTGCTCATGCCTTGGGGTAAGCAGGCTGTGTTACTTCTAATCCACACATCGACAGATCTGGTAATTTCCTCCTGGTAGACCTGGGCCAGGAAAGGGAAGGCAATGATTCAGCATCCTAGGAAGAACTCATCTCGTTAGAAGCAGGAAGGAGCTGATAAACATCTGGGTCGGTGTGACTGCAGCCCAGCTAATTCCATCTTGCTTCTGCCTGGGTCTCTTGGTCATTCCCAGAGCATTCCCCAGGTCTCCAGGACCAAACTTGGTCTACGGCAGGGAACCAAGGAGAAATGTGTACTGTGACACAAATGATTCATTGTTTCAAAAATGCAAGGAGAAGACACTGCTTCTGCAGAGAAACACGGGGTCAACGCTGCACGAACTTATTTTACAATCTTTCTAGGAGTCTGCAGGACCTGCAGTTCTCATCAGCTTTGACTCATCTCCCTGCAGCAAGAAAAAACTAGGCGCAGTCAACAGATTCCCAGGCCATACCCAACAGCACATGCAGCTCAGAAGACAACGGGAAAAGCATTTTCCCTGACAACCTCAGACTTGTCTGCTGAGCCTTTCACGGAAAATACACAAAGCGATCAAGCTGCATGGGGAACATGAAAACTTCTAGAAGTTTGTTGTAGTCAAGATGTACTGCCACTGGTTCAATCCTCTCCCTGCACTGGAACACACTGACCTCACGTTTGCCACTCTCCGGAGCAGTTCTAGAAATCTTTCTTGTGTCTTTATGAGGTGTGACCAAGAATAAAGCAAAGCCCACTGTCGTGTGTCTTCCAACAGAAAGGCAGCTCCTACAAATGTGACACTGCGGCCTCATCTGCCTTAGTTGCCGGGTCTGGCGCCGTGCAGGCCCAGCTCCCCAAGTTCAAAACAATGGAGAAAGGGAACCATGAATGGACTCAAAGCATCCAGGCAGCAGAAGAACATAGCTGAAGGTGTTCGCGAAAGAGACTTGCAGAACTACAGCAGAAAGTCGCCAGAACCACGGCACAAGCATGGCATAACCATGCTCAAAGCAGGGAGGGGGTGTGGAGGGGGATTCAGGGCAGTGTGGCTCTGAGATAAGTTTCCTAACCCTGAAGTAGTCCCCACAGTGCTGGATCACATCTTCCAAGGTTCAGTTAGGTAAACTGTACCTCCTGCTGTGCCGAGGGCCCGGTGACTACAGAGCAGGAACTGAGGTGCTGGTGTCTACGCCAGCTCCAACCCCAGGCTGGCACCCCACGCTCACTTACTAGGCACTTCCCAGTTTCGGGGTCACAGGCAGCACTGTGGTTGTTGCAGGTGCAGGGCACGCAAGGAGCGAGCAGTAGCCGGGATTCTCTGCCACCACCTTCTGGAGGCTTCTGTCTGCGGAACCCAGGAGCACAGTCCTGCAGGATACAAAGGGGGAGCACACTGAGTCCTCGGCTAAAACCTGGGGGGCCCCACATCCATTCCTCCCAGGAAGACAGGAGAGTGGCAGCAGGCATACCCAGAGGCCACCAGCAAAGTCCAACACCCCGATCTCAAGGGCACGATAGCTTGGGCCACTGCTCGATGCTGCCCACACTCTTGGGGGCACCTGTTGTGCAGACAACAGGGAATGGCAAGCGCTGGCCAAGGACAGGAGAGCCAGAACGCTCAGCACCGCGGGCAAGATGCAAGTGGGGCAGCAGCTGCGGCAAACGACCTGGCATATGGCCTGGCAATTCCACATCAGGGTGCACATCAGGAAAATGGGAATGCAGGCACCTGAACCGCCTGACTCACAATAGCCCAACGAGGAAACCGGCCCATCCACACAGGAGTCGACAAACCAAATAAATATGTCCGTACAAGGGAATATTCAGCCTTCCAAAGGAAGGACTCTCAGTCACACGCTGTGACCAGGGCGGGCCGTGAGAACATCACACTGAGGAGAACAAGCCAGCCACAGGAGCGCCAATGCTGCAGGGCTCTGATCTCACAGGGAGCGGAATGCAGACAGATGCTGCTTTTGGGCAGGAGGAGGAGGGGAGCGGGCGAGGGGCACAGCCTCAGCTAAGCAAGGCAGAGGGTGTCCTGCAGCGGGCCGCAGCACCGCCGGCTCCATGCGGTAAAAGCCAACCAGAACGATAAACGTGCAGGAGGGAGATCCAACCAAAATTTTGAACTATTTTTGATTGAGAAAGAAAAGGAAGATGACGTAGAGGCCTGCACATGCTGTTCCTCACACAGAGCTGCTGGGGGCAGGCAGGGGTCAACCTGACACCAAGACAGAGGCCTCGGGGGTCCCCTACCTGACAGGAGAGGCCAGCCGTGCCGGGAGGACACACGCACTGCTCTATCAGCGCCGCCGCCTCCCCGGTGGGGTGCTGACCTCCCGCCTCCGTGCCGACCTCCATGGAGATGTTGGTGATTCTGGGCCACCACGGTGTGCAGAAGACAGCGGAAGGAAAGGGGACACTTAAAACACATGACAGACACATGGCAAGTAACCCTATAGCTGCACGTAGATTAACCCAGAGGTCCCCCCCAGCGGTGAGGGGCAGCCACTCCGGGTCACACAGCAGCCAGGTGGGTGGTGCACACCTGTGCTCCCAGCACTATGGGAGGCTGAGGCAGGAGAACTGCAAATTCTAAACCAGTCTGGGCAATGTGGTGACTTAGCTAGACTCTCACAAAATAAAAAACAGACGGAGGCTAGGGTGTGGCTCGGGCTGAGGGCCTGGGTTCAAGGCCCTCCGTGAGAAAGATTATAAACAAAATGAGTTAAATGAAGTGCATTAGTGATGTCACCATCTGAGAACTTAAACATGTTATACAGAGTGTACTCCAAATGTTATAGAGGGTACCCTAAAGACCGTGCCAGGTCTCTCACTGGCTTCACCAAGACTTAACAGCCGCTTTGTGGGGTTAGCAGGGATAGGTGCCGTGCTCCTTAGACAGCCTTACAGAGAAAGAGGCCTTGCAGCTCTCCAGTGAGGTAAACAGCGTTTTAAAACATTTATGTTCCTCTAAGATTCTGCCCTGGTGGGCTTACTCTATTCCTTAAAGATATTAATATTTAACCAGGTGCGATAGGGACTCTCAGTTCCAGGTACACGAGGAAAACCGAGTCCTCGTAGCATCGGTACCTGCTCTGCTGCAGGCCATGACCATAGGATGCCTTTATGAGGATGTATTCCACGCTGCTGAGAACAGACATGAAGTCCGCGCGCGTGACAGGCTCTTCAGACACGGAATTGAAGTATTTCCAGAAATTCTGCGGGTGAGAGACAGTCTGTTAAATTCAATCCACAAATTCTCACAGGCACAGGACCTGATGGAGAACATGTTTCTTTCATAATTTTCCCTAGAAATTGCCCATTTCTAGGCACCAGCGAAGGTAACTGACAAAGACCTGCCAGGGCCCCAGGATAGGCACAGCGCCAAGCTCAACCCTAAGAGATGCCATGGGCCGGGCTGGGCCGGCCACACAGTACCAGCGCTGGAGGAGACGGTGCTCTGATGCCAGGGAGCTGGAGGCTTCTGCACTACCATGTCTACGCAGGGCAAGGCCTTACACTGAGTGAGAGGATTTAAGACAGGAGAAAATCAACATGACCAACAGACCAGTAAACCAATGCAGGCCTCTGGCAGAAGCTGCCCCTCACACAGGGACCATCCCAAGAGTGTGGGGTGTGTCTGGACCCCCAGACGGGACCTCTTCCTGCTGTACATTCAGTGTTTCTTCCTGCACATGTCTGCCTGCCACAGAGCTGAGTTTATAAGCTGGTCACAATAAGACAGCCATTACAGCAATGTATCAACAACTGCCAGCACTGAACTCTTGGGCTTTGGACCATTATTAGGTAAAACAAGAGGAACCAGAATGCAAAGGTCGTGGCACCGTGATGGTACCAGGGAGCACACACAGGGAGCACATACAGTCCATGCACACCCAACAGAGGGATGAGTCCCCGGGCAGCATGACGTCTCCTCAAGCACCCCAAAACTTGTGAGATTTGGTTTCTGCTATTTTCCACTCATCTATGGGTCCCCAGCTGTTATCTGGGAATAACTGCAACCTAGAAATCAAGCTGTGTGTGAGGGAAGGCTACGGGGTTCAAACATTCCTGCAAATCCTGCTGGACCCCAGGGAGTGTACCCGAGATCTTCAGGTTCCTCATCCTGTTTCATGCTAAAGGACCCACAGCAAAGTGACACCAGAGGGCTGCACGCAACAGGACCCTGCTCACCTCCTTCATCCCCACCTCCTGGAGCTGCCACACCCCATTCTCTGGAGCTGGGGCGTCTGTGTAGATCACTTGCTTCCTGCCCCGACCTCCTTTGATGAGAACTTGGGGCTCCAAGTTGAAGGTTCCCGTGCCGTCGGAGGCATAGAAGGCCACGCTGTACCTCAGCCTGCCGCCGTAGGCCAGGAGCTGACAGATGAGAGAGACATGCTCACGTCCTGGGAGCACTTTGGCTTTAAACCAAACCATCACCACCATCTCGAAGACCTCTCAGGTCTTAAGGACACATCCACAGGTGAAATCTGTGCTCTGGGCATGCATCCTCTAACCACTCAGTTATGAATCATTAAAGGGACCCAAGCTGTAGTGCCTAATGATACTGACAGTGGTGAACTCCTCACTAAATCCATGTGGTCACAATTCGAATTGTTTTCAAAGCCTTGGAATTAAAGATTATCCATCTATAGGAGCACTGAAGGTACATTGCAAACCCTGATGGTCAGGTTGGATTCACATAGAGAGGGATACCACACACAGACAGAAATGTAAACTGCCCTTTCCACAGCTCTTCTACACCAGGGTTAGAACCTCCCACCCAGCCTGGCCAACACAAGTGCCGCTTCCTTGGGAAGGGCTTCTGGGAACCTCCCACATAGCCCTGTATCCAGTGCATATTAAAAAATGCAAAATATTTGAATGACTGCTTGAGAAAGGAAGAAAATTATACGATTTAAACTTTCAAAGACTTAAAATAATGAAAAAAAGTTTTACAGATCCATGCATTTGAGGGGAAGTTTTGTGTTAACCATCTCCCACTCCACCCAGGAGAGAGATCCCGTCGCCCTGCTGGCTAAGGCTCGGGCAACATGGCTCACCTAGGTTTTCTGAGCTAATGTCACAGTCCAGGGAAGGGCAGCCCCGTGCACCCTCACCTGGTCGCCCTGGAACTGCTCCGGGAGCCGCCAGTAGAATGGCTCTGTGTGGACATGCTGGCGGACGGTCGCAGCGTCCAGCAAGACGTCGGGGACCTGGTGATAGACGCCCTCAGTGGTGCCGGTCACATTGCTCTGGGAAACCACACGCAGGAGAGGCTGATGGGCACTCAGTGTCACCTGGTCGTGGGGAAGATGCACTTGAGACCCGGAGTGAAGAAGCACAAGGGACATGTTCACTGGATTCCAACAGCAGCTCCGAGACCAGCCCAGGGCTCACTGGGGCTTCTGCTTAAGAACTAAGCAGCCAGGTTAAAATGAACGGCAAGAGCTGGGCATGGCCGCGTGCAGGGTCAGGCCTTTGCTGTACCAGGCAAAGCTCAGAACAAAAAGGAGATGGCTGGGGTGCTGTGGCTTTAGCTCGTCTCCACCCAGCCTTGCGGACGGTCACATAGGGGCAGGGCTGGACACCGCCCGGTCCCCACGCATGGGTTTCTGCAGGGAGCAGAGGCCAGACTCTGCATCTCCCGTGACCCTCTGAGTCAGGCAGCCAGAGATGGACAGGGTGTGAGCTAAAACCACGGGACATTTACTTCCAAACTGGTAAAGTGCAAGACGCGTTCTCAGAAACCCTCTGGACCCCTCCCCATTGCCTTGGGCACCTGCGTCCCATCAGTCCTGCAGCTTCCTGCAGCAGCTCTGCAGCCTGCTTTCCTGAGGGTTTGCACTTGGGCTGTGCCGCCCATTTCAAGGTCCCTTTCCTGCTCGGTTTGACTTTGGGGAAGGGACGGAAGTCACAGGGTGCCAGATCCAGTGACTAAGGTGGATAAGGACACAGTGTGATGTTTTTATTTGACAGAAGCTTCCATAAACACTTGCCCAGTGATGTTTGGTGTTTAAATAAAAAATGTGCTACAATTAGAAAACAAACTGCCACTCGTCCCCATCAGAATGCCTTACTACTCAGAACACACTCACCCCACTGTTCCCAGCCATGTGCCTTTCACTGTAATAAGTTTTTTTTTTTTTTTTAATTTAAACATTAACCCTTGTCCCATCATCCCTTGCAAGTACTCGGTCACCTGCCCTTCCCAGCCCAGTTCCAGAGGTGTCAGGGTTCAACCCTGACCCTTGTGCACAGCTTACTGGGGTCCTCACGTAGCCCTCCAGCTCCACACAGATGTTCGACAGCCCAAAGCAGAAGCAGGGGGTGCAGCCCCGGGGGTCGTTGGCACGCAGGGCGTAGGTGCTGGTGCGACATTCGCTGCACTGGAGGCCGACAACGTTCTCCTGCAGGGGTGAAAAGTGGTTTATCAGGGCTGGGAAAACACTGAGGCAGTTTCTGCGTGCAGAGATGACCTGGAACACGACATCATCTGAGACCCATGCTCATCCATGGGTGAGGCCCCGGCCAGCCTCTGAGCAAATTCTGGCGAAGACTCGGAAACAGAGTTGCATCCCCAGCTTTTCTGTTTTTAATTTTATTTTATAACAGTATCTTGCTAAAGTTGCCCTGGATTGGCCTTCAACTTGCAGTCCTCCTGCCTCAGCCTCCAAGTAGCTGGGATGACAGGTGTGGACCAACGGACCTGGTTCTCAGGTGATTCTGACGGTCATTCAGAGGTGATTACTAAGGCAGGTCTCTGCTGCTTTGATCTTCCGTGATCACAACTGGTGTGCTGAGATGCAGCAAGATGAACATGGAATGGATGCCTGTGTCCTCCCAGCCAAGCGTCAACCCATAGCCCTCTCAGCACCCGGCACAAAGGCCCGGAGAAGCAGGCCGTGCCCCCTGGCACCAAAGTCCTGAGGGAAACCATCGATGCTGGTGAGATTAAGATGACTCCAGACTCTCACCTCCTGGAAAATCACTCAACTACTTCTCCTGCCAACAGGCGACAGTGTCGTTGCTTTCTCGCTCTGCAGGCCCCGTTCTCCTCCAGCCCTGTGCTCTGTATTTGTCAGACTGGCTCTGTGGTACCCAGGTGAGCACACAGCAGAGCCCAGCAGCAGAGCATGCACAGACTTAGGAGTGTGACGACGTTAGGTCAGAGAGGGCTCAACCCGGCTGGCTGCGCATCCAAGAGCAAAGGGCAGAGCCAGATGGGGGAGGATTGGGTACCTTGCAGGAGCAGGCGCCAGTGTCCTCTGCGCAGCTGCAGACACCCAGGTCCAGGTCGCAGGTGGTGGCCAGTGTCCCCCTCAGGTCACAGGCACAGGGGACACAGTCAGGAAAGTCTCGGTAGCCCAGGGAGCACTGGTCACAGAGCTGCCCGCCAAACTCAGCCTTGCAGGGGCACTGGCCAGACAGCAGGTTGCACTGAGAGCCTGTGGAGCCCTTGCTGCTGCAGCTGCAGGCCTGTTGGGGGGGCGGGGGGTTGGATGGAGAGGGAGGGAGAGGAAGAGAGAGGGAGGGAGAAGAAGAGAGAGGGAGGGAGAGAACAGGAGGGAAGGAGATGGAGGGAGAGGGAGAGAGGTTGCAGGCACTGCTGTGTACTCAGGAGTCGCTGTGGTGGGGCTGACAGGACCCAGCCTTCTCTGGGGCACCTGCTCTTCCAAGTCAGTTTGGGAGTGCAGGACCCAACCACACTGGGCCAAAGCCAGGAACCAAATGAAACCCAACTGAACAGTCCAGCAAAATTATCGCAGGGGCATGGAAATTTTCCATTGTTTCCAAACACAAACTATCCCCAATCCGGGGTAAGAAAGTCATCAACTTTTCCCAACTGGGAGTCCCCAATAGACAAGAACCTCCAGTGAAATGACAACTTCCCCTTGGGAGAATAGTCCCTGTGACAGATATAGTTAGAGGGCTGTGTTATGGTTTATATCTAGATGCCCCCCTAAAACCTCCGTGCTCAGACAGGACTTCTGGAAGGTGTTTGAGCCGCAGGGAGCAGAGCTGACTTGCTGTAGCAGGTAAGGTGTGGACAGAAGAGGTGGTCCCCCCAGGGCGTGGCCTGGAAGTGTGTGGCTGCCTCCTGGCTCCGCCCTCCTTGACCTCTCTGTTTCCTGTCCACAGTGCCTTGAGCACCTCCCATTCCCAGGCCTTCTCGCCTTGGGACAGGCTAACAAAGACCTGAAACCTCCACCAGACCATGAGCCGAAACACAAGGTAAACCTCTCCCCTTTGAAGTGGCAGGTACTGGGTATTTTGCTCCAGCAAAGAGAGAAGCTTTATTGACTGACTGATGGATGGATGGATTGATGATGGACAGAGATGAGGCCTCACGCACGATGTCACCCAGGTTGGTGGTGAACTCTGACCTCAGCCTCCCGAGTAGCTGGGTGTGCAACACTGTGCCCAGCTGTATGGCACTTGGAGCACCAGCTGCAAAACTGTCCCACAGGTCACACACAGGGACTGGATGGAGGGAGCTATGCCCATGGGAGCCCCGGGCAGAGGACACGGCACCCACCTGGCAGCCTTGCTCCGCGTCCCAGCCCCAGTGCCCGGCCTCGCAGTCCTCGCACTTCGGGCCCGTGGTATGAGGGGGGCAGATGCACTCTCCGGACTCAGGGTCACAGCTGTTCTGAGTGTGGGCGCAATCACAGGCTGGAACAGAGAGGCATCCTTACCGATGGGGTGCACAGCATTGCAGGGTGAGGTCTGAGCTCCTAGCAGCCTGCCGGGCTCTGACCCTCAGGGACATTCCATCACCCTGGGGGCCCTTCTGGAAAGGAGGGAACAGAGCCAGGGGCTAGGGGAACAGACCCAATGGGAGGGAGAATACCCCCAGAGTGAGCATTCACTGCATAACAGCCCAGGGGGGGTGATCATCAGCTTCCCATTTTGCAGATGAGGAGACTGAGTTAAATGAAGCGAAGCTCTGAATCCCAGCCCCCAGCAGCAGGCGGCACCAGGCCCCAGGAAAGTCTGGGATGAGCAGCTTACCTGTGCAGCCGCCCTCCCGGAACGAGAAGAAGCCATGTGCACAGCGGTCGCACCTCCTCCCAGTGACACCCGGCAGGCAGCGGCACTGGCCGAGGTCCGTGCAGTCACCCGAGGTGGAGCCGGTTGCACTGCAGTTGCAGGCCAGGCAGCCTGGTGCGGTGTCCAGCCCATAGTAGCCCGGCTGTGGCACAGAGGGGAGGTATCCCGTGTTCCGGGGGCAACCATGCGCACCAGGCCCTTTCCCCCATGCACTCGCAGGCACCCCCTAGACCCCGGGGTGTTTCCGGGTAGCTCCAGGCCTCTACACGTGGGGGAACCGGGACGCCTCTTTCCCACTGTCCCGAACCCAGTGACAGTAATGGAGGGGCATGCAGTGGCTATCGAGCTTCTTACCAGACACTGGTCACACCGCTGTCCAGTCACATGCGGTCTGCAGTCGCAGCGTCCACTCTCAGGATGACACACGCCAGAAAGGGACCCTTTCTCATGGCAGCCACATGCTGATGACGCACACAAAGGGCACATGCAGGGTCAGGGGGGCGGTGGGACAGCCAGTGTTTTGTGCCCCACAGCATCGCCACAAATATAGGGAGTGAAGGGCAGGGGGAGCTGGCAAAAAGTGCTCTCGCTCCAGGAAAAGGAAAAGAAGAATAGTGTGATGGTTTTCAATGGTGTTATCCTCATGTAGGGGACCCTAGAGGATGTTACATATTACAGAAAATCTACCACACAGCTGGTCCTCAGAAAAATTTGAAAATGCGTGAGCGGCCATCTCCGTGAGCAGCCCGAGGATGACTCACCATTGTAGGGCCCAAAGGGAACTTGTATCAACCTCATGCTGTCTCAAAAAATTTAATATTAAAATAATCATACAAGTTTTTCTTTTCCTGAAGTATAAAGTTTTTATGGCAGTGCCCCCTGCTGTCTGTTTGTCTCTCTGTAAACTAATTTGCAATGGCTAAAATTTTAGCTTTTTTCTGAAGGCTAAGCCAAAATAGGGCTGGCTCATGGAAGCAACCATCAGAGAAAAAAAATACAAGGTATTAAGATCGTAATAGATAGTAATATTGAAGCTATTAAGACAATCATTAGCAAACCAGTTTGACGAATTTCATGTCTGTCGTGAAGCTTTTAAGCGGAGCTGCTGAAGTGTATCAGTGCATTTTTATTGAAAACATCAAGGCGATTTCAAAATCAATTTAGTTACTCACTTGCATTTCAAACATGCATGTACGTTACCTTTCAAAACCGTTGCAGCAGAATCTAGATGATGCATGCACATTTTACTTCATAACTTAACGAAGAATATTTTTCAAGTCTAAGTCATGAATGACTTGTGGTCTCAAGCAAGACATTTCCGTTACAATACTAATATTTAAAGCACAAAGCTCTCTACTGTTTCAAAATGATGTAAATTATCTGGTCCATGAAATGTCAGATCGAAATTCAGAAAACTGCCCATTTGGCTTCTTATTTTTGATTTTCAGAATACCCAACACGTTCATTGAAAATATGTGCCAGTGAATGCTTAGACTCAGAAAATGTTCCTCAGTCCCTAGGACACAGGCTGAGCCTTCCTCTTCGGAAAGTCTGAGAGCTGCAGTGCTTTTGCAAACCTAACATTGCCTGGGCACTGACAGGACGGCACAGTGGGACACCTGAGACCATCACAGTCAAAATGGAGACATGCTAAAAATATTATAGCAGGTCACCGTCAGGCTGCCCGTAGAAGGAGGAGCACATGAAACCTCGAGGGTCTCATGGTAGACCTGGGTCCCCTTTTCCCAAGAGAGCTTGTGAGGTAAGTGCATATTCTTAAATCTGACAAACACCTTCTGAACACTTCCGGTCCCATGCACTTTGGAAAAAGGGTCTCAGTCCATGAGGCCTTATAGAGGAGGAGGTCTGCGCTGGAGAGAGGCTCGTTGGCCAGGAGAGGCACTGCAATCCAGCCTTCCGATTTGACCCCAGCTGAGCACCCGAGTCACAGGGCCTCACTCCCCTTCTGATCTGTGGGTGTAGGCATGTCAATGCCACACCTTCTGCAGCAGCTCCGAAATGCCCTGGCCCCTTCTCTCAGAGGCCCAGCATCCTGTAGCCTGGCTGGGTGCACCACTGCCAGCTCTCCGCTCACAGCTCTCAGCTGGCTGCCGCCAGACACAAGCCACACACATCGCTCAGCCCCTGCCACCTCCTCCCCCTTAGCATGGCCCCCTGCTCTTGGTCTGCATCCCCCTGGCCCCTGGCCTGCTGAACTCAGGGAGCAGGAGAGGTAGAGAGGGGAGCAGGGGAGGGAGGGGACACATTTTCCATCCTTAATGCCTGCATTGCAGATGCATTTCTGTATCCCTAGCATCCTCATGCGGCCTCATGTTGTAACGTCACTGGAAGACCAGCACTGACATCAAATACTCAAGAATTACAAGCTTGTTTCCCCCGAAAGTAACAGCCAGCAGGAAAATCCTCAGTCTCCCAAACTAGCAGCCCACCTGTCCTGCTTACCCACCTTCACTTCTGCTCTCGGGGTATCTGTAAGGAGGGGAAGGCCGGTGGGGGGCAGAAACTTTGATTTCTAGTTTCAAGCCTGATTATTTCCTGGCAGCTAGGTGTTATTTCTGGGCAAAGAAGGAATTCACATTTGTTTTTATTCACTGATTGTGAAAAAAATCTGAGGGCAGAATCTCCACGAGGGCTCGCCTGTCTCAGGTACAGGAAAATCTCTTTTCCCAGTGAGTGGTTCCACATAGAATTCAGCAAAGCGACTCAGGGTCATGGAACACACCACCAAGATGGGCCCACACCCCACTTCCATCATTTTGGGGTGATCTGCATCCTGAAACCCCACCTGCCTCCTGCATGTGAGCGCCAGTCCTGCAGTCACCCAGAGCAGAGCCTCGACTGCTGCTCTGGCCCAGGTCACAAATCCCCACGGTGAGCCCAGACAGAAGGAGGCCTTGAGTCTGCATTGACTCAGCAGAGCCTCATGGGATCGCAAGCTCCCTCTCCAGGCCCAGAGGGTGCATGGGATGAGGCCCTGACTGTGCCTCCTCCCTCAGGCCTGGGCACTCACCACGACAGTTTTTGGCGGTCACGGCATCTCCGTAGAACCCATCTGCACAGCGCTCACAGTGGGCACCGCCTGTGTTTCCCACACACTTCAGGCACTGCCCGGTGACTGAGTCACAGTGGCCAGGCTCAGAGGGGTCCACGTTGCCGCTGCAGTCACATGGAACACAGGATCCCCCGGGGACAGTGGGGTTTCCATAGTAACCATCTGCACATCTGCATTGGAGATGAGAAGTGGGCTGGCATCAATGCAGCTACCTAAGCCATCGGCCCGTGGGCAGGGACTCCCTGAGGGGCGAGTAGGTCAGGCTGGCTGGTTTCCATCAACATCACCAGGGAAAGCGTGCTTCCTGTAGGGTGCATAAACCCAGCAGATGGGCACCTCCTCTGCCCCGGTCACTCAGGATATCACGAGTCCTGCACCCACTGAGCCAGGGTCTGTCCCTGAGACCTACACCAGGGAAAAATACACTGCGTCCTGGCACCAGACGACTAATGCTAAGTGAAAGCCCTGTCACCTTTAGATAACCCAGAGCAACAGGACACTGAAATGCCTCTGGCACAAATCCTAAGTCCTATGACGCTCTGCTGCTCTCCTGAGCTGGCAGAATCCTGTTTCCCACATGGCCCAGCAACATTTACCTTTCGCTTTTTAATGGGAACCACGGCTTTCCTCTGTAATTCTACGAAATGCTAATTCCACTCCCAAACCCCAAGCACCACGGAACTAATTTAGAACTGATCGTGAACCTGCTGCCCTTGACAAGGACAGAAGAGGACACCCATTGCTGTGCCTCTGCACGATGACTATGTGCTGGATAAGGATTTTTAAACCGAAACACTCCAAATGCACAGTGAGTTTTAGGACAGTCGTACCTCTCACACCAGGTGCCCGCATAGCCTGGGGCACACTGGTCGCAGACGACGTCTTCCTCCTCATCCAGGTGGCAGGTCGGGCTGAAGCTGCAGAAATGAGTGAGAGCTTTGGGCAGGCTGTCCAGGTGCAAATGTAAACCTGCACTTTCTTTTGGCTTTGTACTGGGGATTGGACCCGAGGCCTTTGCGCTGAGCTGAGCTCCCTTTTTGAAACATTTTTCTTCTGACGCAGCATCCTGCTGAGTTACTTATTTGTCCAGGCTGTGCCTGAACTTACATCTTGCTGGACACTGGCACCGTGCCCTGGCCTCAGAGCAGTAGACTGATCAACACAGCTTTGTCACTTGTGCAGCCTCAGGGATTTCACTATCATGACCAAAGCAGACTAACACAGTACTGCTTTTACAGCTGCGAGCTGCAGACCAGGCCCCATGTGGGGGCCACGCTGGGCGCTTTCTAGCAGGAGAACCAGCTCTCTAGTCACTGCACAGGGGGTCACACAGATCCCCACTGATGCACATGGCTCTGCTCAGTGTGCCCCCATCTGCCTCCAGTGCTCTGCTCCAGGGCCACCGGCAAATTCTCAGACAGGAAGTGGACGTTTCACGGCCACACCAGGGCAGCCTCTGCTCCTAGCGCTTGTACCCCTCCTCCTTGGATTCGGGAAGCAGTCACTCTCATCCTCTCTCCACCCAGCTAGGTGGTACCACTCCCTAAACCCTGCAGGGTGGGGGACAGTCCAGCACAGTGGCGATCACATAAGGTCCCCAGGGCCAGCAGCCCGCGTTGAACGCCCCGCTTGTTACTCAGAGCAGCACCTGCAGCCTGGGATACCCTGCAGGCACTTGGTAAACACGCACTGAATCGGTGGACACATTCACACCTCTCCTTTGGCCTCCAATTATCCTACTCTGGTCATTAGAACAGAACACAGCACACCCAGGGACAATGTGTCACTCATCTCTGCCTCCTCTACCCCCAGCCTGCAGGTCAGGAACTGACCAACGGGCGAGATGGGAAATGAGGAACAGTATCAGGGCACAAGGACCAGCGTACCCGGATGCATGCACATGCAGGAGCCTTTCTCACACCATTCAACATGCAAACTTTCGAGTCCACTACCACCAGCTCAGTGCACCCACATCCAGACTCAGAGTGGTGGGAACCCTGGGCAGGCAGCCGGGCTCGCTGTGGAGGATGGGCTTACTTGTTGGAGGGCGTGGCGAGGGGGCAGGCGCATGGCTGGCAATCCCTGGGCGTCCCCCGGGAAGGCATCCCATAGAAGCCGGGCAGGCACTGCTCGCAGTGGTCCCCAGTGGTGTTGTGTGTGCAGCCCTAGGATACATCACGAGAGGAGTCACATCCAGCTTCTTTTATGGACTTCCAGGTTCATCGACCGACAACTTGGAAGCCAAGCTCAAACATACAAACCAATGCAAAATGCTAAAATAGTAGTCTAGCAATAAGTGACAGGAGGAGGGGGTTTATCCGTTTCCAGATAAACTTTTAAAACTATAATCTGGATAATAGAGGAAGCTAAGAATTTTTGCTCTGACCACGTTAGAGGCACGAGTACCAGATCTGCCACCCGTAGGAGACAATTGGAAAATGGAGTGAAGGGTATCAAATAAGTGGTTTTAGACAATGGCACAACAAACTAACACACCATCAGGAGAAAAACTGGCCCTCAGCAACAACCCTGAGGTGGCAGAGACGATGGAACGAACTGCCTTTCCAGGGCTCACTGGAGGACACTGGGAGGCCGGGTGCCACACAGCCTCAGCCGTCTGTGGGAGGGAAAAAAGTCACTCGGGAAGGAGTGGGAGGTGGCGGGTGGACACCAGGTACCAAAATCCAGCCAGACAGGAGGGATGAGTTGGGAGTGTGCGGTTACACCGTACTGAGGGTCTCTGGTGATCTCTGACACCTCACAAAGTCATCGCGGATCCAAAGGCTCCCGGAGCACGGAAACGAGAAATGTCGGAGTGATGGAAGAGCCACCACCCCGACTGGGTCACTCCCCCATTACATACGCGGAAGAAATGGCCACAGGAGCCTACGGTATCGAACCACTGAACCATTTCCAGCTATCATAAAGGGGCTGTGAGTGGAAAGAGACATGAACAGTAGCAGTGAGACGCGCTGTTCAGATGCGCTAAGTACGCACCCGTTGGTTAGGATCCACCGGGCGCGCCCCGCCTACACTGGGAGCACAGGCGGCACATATTTACATGCAGTATAGCTCCTAGGGATACACATTACGGAAGTGTGAGGAATGCACGTGAACACACTAGCTGTCACGGAGGCCACAGGGGGTGTGGCAGGACGTGCTGACCCCTGGGCGCCTGTGGGGGGGGCCTGAGAAGGTGACCCGACAGATGGAGCCGGCAGAGAAGGAAGTATAGGAAGCAGCAGCGCCCCCGGTGGCTAGTGAGAAATCATTCTGCACCCTGGGAAATCACCCCCCAAAAAAAGCTACTCAAAAAAAAGCAGGAAATATTTCAAGGTATGAGTTTAATCTCCCAATTCCTCTTGGAGTCTACAAAGTCCGGGCCATCCTGTGGAAGTAGCATTTTGTAAAAAGTCACTTTTGTGCAACCCGCAGCTCGGGTGTAAACTCACAGAGCAGATGCCGCGAGCGTCACACTCCCGAGCATGACCGTGGCATTCGCAGGGCTGACAGATCCCGCCGAAGAGAATCCCATCCACGCGGTAATAGCCGGGCTGGCAGGACTGGAAGACAGGAGCAACCGAGCTGGTGAGCGCTACTCTGCACATCATTTCCTGCCATGCTGACCACGAGCAGAGAAATACATCTCTGTTTTCTAGTTTTTAAGACATCTTCATCGGGATACCGCTTACATGCCATGAATGTCACCAGTACGCAATTCGGTGGGTTTTGGTAAATTCACCAAGCTACGAAACCAGCTGGGAAATGCAGTCCCTTGTTTCACGAGAAAGAGGGGAACAGCTACCCAAAAGCTTAGTGCCATGCCACAGGGCAGCAGGCACTGCGAAGTGTCCACTGAGCTGGCCCTGAGCTATGCCTGGGGCAGTGCCAGCCGGCATCTCCTCTAGAGGACTGCTTCCCTCCACATCATCTTCTGTCTTACGTTTGCCATTCAGTAAAGGCCACCACAACAAACCCATCCTGTGCAGGCCTGGGTCACTCTGTGCCACCGTAATGGACAAATGTCACAGGTCGGGCTACTCACTCCTCCCTTCTCATACTTGCTGGAGTCCAGCGGTCCTGCCCATCAGCCCCGGTTCTTCCAAAGCCCCGCCACCTTGGAGGCATCTAGTGGTGGCTGCTGCCTGCCACCCTTCCTGACCTAGCTTGCCTGGCTTCCATATCCAGGTTTCCTCTTCCCTCTGTGAGCCGGATATCCTGCAGGCTTGGCCCATTCACCAGTTACATGTTATGCACCAGTGCTTAGAACCTACAAATTTTGCCTGGCTTAAACACCCACGATCAAAACCTCAGAAGAGCTGCCGGTTCCAAACCACAAAGCACACAAATCAACAAACTCCAAAACATTTAAAATGGGATTATTCAGTTAAACACTACCCCCTGAGCTGTTAGGCCAACTTCTTTTTTACTAACTACAGATCTGATGACTGATAACGGCTCAGAGAAGCAAATTACAGATTAAATTATCTTACTTCATTAAAACAAAGGCCACACAATGATAGCAGTGACCAACGTTCATTATCACTGTCAATCAGGACCCCACGAGGCCCCGCAGCTGCATGAAGGTCAAGTTCTGAGAGGACCACTTTCTGCTGTGGCACCAGGGTCAAGGTCCTGACCCTCACCGTGCCTCAGTTTCCTAACTTTGGAAGTAGGAGCATCTGGACTGAGTGGCCACTACTGCCATCAGGACTGGAGTTGGGAACGCAGGCACGGAGCTTACAGGGCTGTCACACTAACAGGACATTCCAGTTAGGAGAGGGTGATGTCCAACACCTACGTCCACGCGTGAGGGGTCCCAGGACCCCGAGGGACATCGAAAGCCTTGTTTTTCAAGTACCTTATGTACAATTGGCCTAGTATTGGTATAGAACCTACGCAACTCTCCTGTATACCTTAAATCTTCACTACATGACTTATAATATCTAATACCACAGCAAGTGTCAAACTACACTATTAGACAACAATGAGAAGAGAAATGTCAGTAATTACATGGGTGCAGTGTTTGTTTTTCTGGAAGGTATCTGATCAGCAGCTGATTTAATCCATAGATGCAAAACCTATAGTTCCCATGTAAGGTAGAGCCCACACCCCCAAAAAGTAAAATAGCCAGGGGATACAAGCGCTCCAGATGGGCTTGGCTTGCCTAAAGCTATCTGGCCTGATACAAACGTTCAAATGGCCGAGTTTAATTCTGCTTAGAAATGCAGACCTGACATGAATATTGCAAACTTCCCGTCAGCTGAGGCAAGAGACCTCCATGAAATCAGGGCATCCTCCCGGGCCCAGCCCTCTCCTGGCACAAGAACCTAACTTCTTCAAACAACGTGAGTTCTGGTATCCTTCTAATCCAGTGAAGTCTGCAGCGAACACTGGGTTTATAAATACCCATCATTACATCAGGTTCAGTGCACTCTTTTCCTCCACAAAAGAACAAAGCAGGAAGACAGAGAAGCAGGTGGTACCTCGCAGGAGGTCCCCATGTAGCCCTGGGGACATTCACAGTGCTCCACATCAGTGGCGACTGTTAGGTCTATGGCGTTGGGGCTCGCTATATCCAGAGAGACAGAATCCAGCCTACAGAGAGACAAAGTTTGTGATTGCAAAGGACACCACTCACATCAATGCAGATGGCATCCAAAAGGGTTTAATTCAAACGAAATGATCATGCAATGTTTGTAAGTAACTGAAGATTTCCCCAACAAAAGCCCCCAGGCAGCCTGCAATCATGATTCCCTGGAAATGTCCATGGTCTGGGCGATTGAGAACTCTTCAAGCTTTCCTTGGAGACACGGGGGGTGTCTGACCGGAAGTCAAGCCTGCCTCCTCCTGGGCAGTGAAGAACCAGCCTCCCGTCTTCAATAGACCTACATGTGCCGAGCGCTTACTACAGCTGGTTCCTTCAACCGTGTCCTCAATACAATAGCCCTGATACACACTAAGGCTGCAACACACAGTCATGCTGCTGGCCCTTGCCTGGAGTTCCCTCCCTTTGAACGCGCACCTGTAAAGAGCTGTGTTTGCGGAATTGTAGTTGGCTCTGATGAGGAGATGGGTCAGGTTGGCCAGCACGGTCATCAGCTGGTCACGGTCAATCTCCCTCTTGGTGCCGTAATCCCGGAAGTTCTCAGGCACCAGCCTCACTGCGTTGTAGTACTCTTGGTAGGGTTGCAGAGAGAGTCCCTCTGCCTGTGTGCTTAATGTGAGACCGTTTCCCTGGCATTCAAAACAAGAAGGAAGGCATTTGCAGTCCCAGCGAATGATCAAAACAGTACCATCGAGTTGTGCGTCACGGGGCACAGTTTCCATCAGTGCCCAGGTTCTTGCACTTCACTGGTCTACAAAGTGCTGGGTCCGGAATGACTAGAGGAAAGCTGTGAACCCAGACCCTCACAGAGCTCTGAGAGTGAATCTGATGCTGGGCACTCAGCTGCCTTTGGAAGAGGCATCTACTTGCCCAGGTTTCATCAGCTGCCCGTCTGATACCCTTAATCTCCACTTTTTTTCTGGTATGGACGACTGAACCTAAAGTCTCTGCACTGAGCTATATCCTCAGCTCTTTTTAAACTTTTATTTTGAGACAAGGTTTCCCTAAATTGCTAAGTTGCCCAGGCTCGGCTCCAACTTGCTATTCTCCTGCCTCAGCTTCCTGGAAGGCTGCATTATAGACATGCACTACTACACCAGGCTTGACATCCTTAATCCTTACACAGTAAAAGTGCAAAAAACCAGTAATCATGCCTCCCACTTTTCCTGGAACCATTCTTAACAAATGTAGACATGGAGGTACTTAGGGTGAGAGGACACTAGAGGTAAGAAGACAAATATACTCTAAACCCATGCTGAGGCCGAGCTGGGGCTTCTCCCCACGAAAAGTGAGGATTGAGGGAACAGAAAGCAGAGACATCTGTCCTGTCCCCTCACTGTCGGTCTTTCTAATCCATCCATCAGGGAACCCCAATGGCAGGAGGCAAGAGAGGGACAGCAAAGGCCCAGGGGCAGTCCCCAGGTCAGAGCCTCTGAACTGCCATCTCTCCTCAGCCAACTCCAGACAGAGCCCAGGACAGATCCCAGCACCCACACGGTCCAGGTGGTGTCTGGATAAGAAGTCACTGCAGACTGGCCGCCTGGTCACTTCTGGCCAGCAGGCTGTCACCCCCACAAGCCCTCAGCTCCATAGTCTAAGAATGCAAGAGCAGTCACCTTGAGGATGACATCGGCGTGAGACATGAGGTCACCCTCCACTGCCTCCACTGGAATGTTGTAGGACACCGTGTACTTCAGGAGCCCACCGAAGGCAGTCAGCTGGAAAGATTGTGTGAATGTGAGAATGGGATGGGGGGTCAGTCCCGAAAGAGCAGAAGGGGCTGCTAGAGCCCGCCCGGAAATACCAGGCTGCCAGAAATGCACAGGGAAGGCCTTAAGGGCACACACTCCTTAGAAAATGTCATGTTAACTGGAAACTTACCAAGCTACACAATCACATCACACAAAAGCACATGGTCAACTTAAAACACAGCAGACCCCAAAGTGAGCAGGGAGTTATGGGTACTGGAGGGCTCCCCCAGATATATTTTCTGAGCAGTTAGAATTGGGAAGGGGCGTGGGAACCTGTCAGCAAAGAAAACAGCTTTTGTGTGGTAAGTCATCAATGGTCTTTTCTTTTTTGCATTTTGTTAGAATTGAAACAGTAGACATCCTGCCCTTCCTGTCTGCGAACTCTGCACAACCAAGGGCCTCTCCTGATGCTGAGAGCATCTCGGTCCCACGGAGGGACCTAGGCTGACTGTCTCCCCCCACGCAGAGTCTACTGCTAACTCCACCAAGTGAGCGTGGCACAGACACATCACAGAGGTCCACAAGATCCAGGGGCCCAGGGCAGGGAAGCAGAAGGGTCAGGGGTTCACACCTTAGATGCCTCGGGAGCTGGGCCCAGAGCCGCAGCCCCTGCTGGGGAGATACAATCAAACGCCAAATGAGGACTGATCAGTGACACTGTGACACCTCTGAGGGCAAGATAAGGCAACGGCTGAGGACATTTGGCTCTCACCCCAATTCTGGGGCAATAAACTGCCAACCTAAGGGACAAGATGGTTCTCCCAAAATAGCAAGATTACTGCCTTAGAACAAAGAATGTCTTTGTTCTAACTTCTCAAGGCCTTTCTCAGTTTCTTACCTTACCCTCAGCTATTCCCTTCATTGTTCTATACACCTCCTAAATTTGTTGAACACGCAATAAATACTGGCAGTCCAGAGAAGTCTTTGTCTTAGCTTCATGGATCTCAAAACCATATCACTTGTCTTTTTTGAGCTTCTACTGTACACTCCTAAAGAAGGTGCCCTATCAGGCTCCCAACAGCGTAGACCCCATGTGGCATATCTAAGTTAAAGACTGTGACATGCTCTGCCCTGATCAACAAGTTCAAATGCACAAGTAGGAATTCTTTCTGAATATTATGTGACTCTGTCATCAAGTCTCCCCCAACATGCACGTACCTTGTTTCCCAGGTAGGCCTCCGGGGCTGACCAGTAATACCTGGCGCCCAGCCTCTGCGTCACCTCCGCGTGGCTGATACTGATCTGAGGGCGCCCACCCACTGCCTCCTGCTGGGACTTGATCTTCCTGCCACTGACCAAGTCTGTGACCAGCCAACCATTCATGTCGTTCACCTTCAAGAGAATTCAGGAATTTTACGACATGAAATTGAGATCAGCTTGGGTTTCATTCAGTCTGGTGCAAATATCTTCATGATGAAAAGGCAGACTTGCTAAGCTTAGCTAGGGTTGAAGTTAAAACAATTATTGCTACCAAACCACACAACACATGATCCTTCCAAGAGAACCTGGACAAGTCACACATACCTCAAAGCCAAATCCGCTATACACAAAAAAGCAAAACCATAAAGCTTGTAGAAAATTATAAGTCTCCAAGTGTTCTGTTAAGGCTTGTATCTGGATGTCCCCTCAAAGCCTCATACAGTCATGGGGTCAAGCGAAGAGTCTGTGACTGATGCATGGTTCAGTGCTAGGGTAGTGAATATGAGAGCTTTATCTACCCTGGGGTGAGTATGGCCAATGTACAACCTGAGGGACAGAAAGAGTCTTCGCTCATGTTCCTGCCCTTCTGCTTTTGTTGCTGTTGCTGTCTTCTGCCACCTTGAGCTGTGGCCCTCTGCCACACCACCCTGCCTTGGAGCCAGCTGAGTATGGACTCCACAAACTGTGAGCTAAACAAACATTTCATCCCTCAATTTTGGGTATCAGGTATTTTGTCTCCGCAATGAGAAAAGTAACCAAGACATGTCCCCAAAATTTTTTGAGCACCAACAGAATACCTTAAATGGAAAATTCCACACCCGATCTTGTGTGATAAGTTTAAGTCAAAATACAGGTACACAGAGAATACTACATAAAATTACCTTCAGGTTATGTGCATAAGATGCATGTGGAAAGTCAGTGAATTTGGTATTTAGTCTTGGTTTCCATTTCTGAGACAAACTCATTATGCGTATGCAAATAGCCCAACATCTAAAACAAAAAATCTGAAGTCCAAACTACCTCCAGTCCACAGCATCCAAACTTATATATGTAGTGAATAAATATGTCTTTACAAACTCCAACTTCCACTTCCTCTGCTTTTTACCCAAATGCTGAGAAATGTGTAGCAACCCCAGACACTGTACTCTTAACTGCCCTTCCCCTGCTGCATGGCCGTCACAGCAGTCACCAGCGGGTCAGCCCTATGCCCAGTGTTTCTCCCCGTCCTCCAGCCGCTGTCACTCGATAGCTTGGTAACTTGGCCACTTCTGAACTGAGGTCCCCCCACTTCCTCCCCAAAGCAGCCTACCTACCCTGAAATCCTGCACCAATCTGCTGTCCATCCCTGCCCACCCCCAGCCTCGTGGATTCTCAGGTCCTGCATGTCTGCTGGCTGGAACCCTAAGGGGTAGGCGAGTGGGAGCCGAGCCCCCACCTGAAAGAAACAGGATGCGCCCAGCACGCCCACCTCCACCCCCACCCTTGGTGGGGAAAGGTGTGTGTAACCCACGTGCAACTCAGAGCGCTTAGCGAGACTTGCAGGGGTGGGCTGACTCTCCCACCCAGGCAGACGGGGTTCCACCCATGGCATTTCAGGGTCAAGCAGCCTCATGGCCTGGAATCAGCACAGAGGGCTCCGGAGAAGTACTGCCCCAGAGACCCCGCAGGCACAGGGCACCACCCACCTGCCCCAGCGGCCAAGAAAGGCTGTCGCAGACACCAGAGACTCCAAAACAGAAGCACTCAGAGCATCCCTGGGGGTTCTTCTCCTGCAGGTTGTAGAAGCCCGGCTTGCAGCGGTCACAGGCTTCCCCCTCCACATTGTCCTGCAAGTTACCAGAAAAGGTTATCGGGGAAGCCAGATGGAAGAATGGGATGTTCTCGTGACAGGAGCAAGAAGATGGGGGGGGGGGGGCGGTGGCAGGCCACACAGGCATAAATAAACACTGGGGGTACACTGTGCAGTCAAGAGTCCCAGCACACATAGTTTGAAAAAATTATTTCATTTTTATAGCCAAGAATAAGACCAAGAATCTTAGAGCTCGATCACTACATTTAAATGGAGTGTTTCCCTTTGCCTTAAATTTTCCATGTTTGGTAAGCATAGAAGCATTTAAAAACCTCCAGCGGGCTATGTAAGTGTGCTTCCTACTCCCAAATACACAAGATCCTTGTCAATTAGGTAAACATGGGCCTAGGGCTCCACGTGGGCGGGAATAAGCTCACAGGTACAGAGAGTGGTGCTGACCATTCCAGGGAAAGTGTGATTTATATCATCTGGCCAGACAGAGCCCTCCCTGGTGCCACAGGAATGCACCTCCTACTCCTGTTGCTCCATCCCTTCTTAACAGAGATCCCAGAGAGGGGACCTGCACTGAATTAGTGTTCCCGGAAGTCTGGGACTGCCCGGGTTCTGCTCCAGACACTGTGCTGGAGAAGAATGTCAGGGAAGAGAGAAACCAAGGACAAAGGCACAGAATGATGTGTTGGGTTTCACCTACAGAGTAACAGAAAAGCACCTGGAGCAGATGGCCACTGCCCAGAAATACCAAACTGTGAAGCCAAGTGGCCTCCAGCTCCAAGGACGCATCACTGGTCTAGCCAGCCGGGCTTGCTGGGGCCGGGCCTGCTGACCCTTTCTGCAAGGACAGATGTCCACAGCAGCGAGCTCGTTTCTGCTCTAGAGCCCACAAGACACTGACCTTGCACAGACACGGCTCGGCACATGGGTCGTCGTTCACACTGCCCGCTGGGCTGCAGTCACAGCGCACGCAGCTTGGGAAACCCTTGTAGCCAAACTGGCAGCGGTCGCACCTCTCACCTCCATAACCTTCCTTACAGGGACACTGCCCTGGCCAGACCCCTGGGGACAAAGACCCGACAGTAGGTGAACGAGGGTGAAAGCAAACTCGGGCCAGCTTCCCTGCAGTCACAGCTCGGCAATTCACAGAGGCAGGCGGAGTGTGGACCACAAGCACCAGGTCCTGGTTTAAAGATGAAACACAAAATGGAAGAGACCCTCATGGAGATCGGTGGTAATGAAACACGGTAAACAGCCTTGGCAAACAGGCCAGCACGTCTTCTAAACGGTATGTGAGGGGCCAGTCTGAACAATGTAGTGAGACCCTGCCCCTGAGAGAGAAAAACATTATGTGCCCAGTTGCCATGGGATATGAAGGTTTACTACCAAGTGAAGGCCCATAAAAATGAAAATACACGTCCACAAAAACTCATACACAAATGTTCATAGCAGGTCTACTCATGATAACCACGTATCCATCAACTGAGGGGCGGAGATCCGAGATGTGACACACGCTTCAGTAGAACAATTCTTCAGCTGTAGAGAGAGATGAGGCACTGGCATACCCTGCCACTCGGATAGCTTATTCACTGCCTGGGCTCCAGATGTGGGGCGTGAGGAGCAGGCAGCGAGGGTTGACTGCTCTTGGGCAGCAATCTCTTCCCGGGATGATGAACTACTGGACTGTGGTGATGAGGACCAAAATTGTGTACTTTAAATGGAAGAATGGGAGAAAATTATAAAACAAGAGGGGCACAGCAGCAGGCGCCTGTAATCTTAGCACTCAGGAAGGCTGAGGCAGGAGGATTGCACGCTGCAGCCTAGTCTGGCAACTCAGCAACTTAGCGAGGCCCTATCTCAACATAAAAACTAAAAAATAAAAAATTCAAATTAAAAAACAAAGAAAAGGGCTGTATCGTAAGCTGTAAAGCAATTGTTAAACAAAGCACTGAGGCAAATAAACTACGGTGATCGCCAGCACCATCTTTGCTTTGAAAGCCAGATCTGAACCTCAGCAGCCTTGCGACCAGCCCCTGCTTCCTCGTCGCTCTGAGCTGCAGCTGCCTTGCTCACGAGCTGGGTTTGGAAAAGCTTGGGTGTTGTGTGTGTGTGTGTGTTTTTTAAGTGAACCCAGCCCAAGGTCACTGTCAGCAGTGGCAGTGCGCAGGCGGGAGGGTCCATCCAGCTGGGTCCTCACCTTCCCTGCCTGGAGCCCAGAGCTGCACTCCCACCCCCGCCAGCCCACAGCCACTTCAGCTGCCACTGGCTGGGCTCCCAGCGGCCTCTGCATAGATGTGATCTACTCTGTCCGGGAGGCTGAGCACTGGCAGGTCCATTTCCTGGGCTGTGCAGCAGGAAGGACATGGGGTGTGCACAGCTAGCTGGAGATCTGCTTGCATGCTGGGGTGCTGTGCACTAAAGCCCTGCCAGGACCGCAGAGCCCCTGCTGTTTACTGCATTCCACCCACACCTGGCACTGAGCCCTTATTCGGACCCACCCAGATGCCTCCCCTTGACTCTCTAAAAAGAACAAGTATCTCTATCTTGGATAAACCTGGCCTTATCTCTGTGCACTGATATGCACAAAGCTGGCTGGGCTATTTCTTTGTCCCTCCACTTGGCTTTAAACAACGTAAACTGGGCTGGCTGAGGAGCTGATGGGTCATCTCTGAAGCAAGGTGTCAGGTCAGTCTTACCTCATCCAGCAACTCCCCAAGTATGTGCCTGAGCGGGGTGGGATGGAGAGCCATGCTCCATGCTGTCAGCTGGGACGGAGCCTGGAGAAAGAGGCTGTGACTTCCCAGGGCAAACAGCATTGTGCATCAGCGCTGAAGCAGTGACCCTAAGCCATTAGACACTGCCTCAGCTGTGCTCTGCAGACTGCTCTGGTCTCTCTGCATTTGTTGCCCTCTGCTTATCCCAGAGGTGATCTCAGGCCTCCTACCCAGCCCGGCTCACATATGTCCCTCCACTCTCACTGTCACTCATCCCCGAGCCAGTCCCCTCGTGCAGAATTAATAAAACACGGAGTGGGCTCTGGGTGAGGCCTTTGTCCTGGTGAGGACCATCTTGGCTGGACTTAGGACCCCTGGGCTCGCCACAGCTGTATCTATGTCTTGGTGTCTTTCTTCTCAACTTGGGTTGCACTGGAAGTGGTAGATTAGAATGGACTCACTAGAACTCCAGTAACTTCTCCATGGGATTTCAATGATAAACCTTCCTGGACCATGATGAGGAGGAGGGGAAAGGGTTCTCTATAAGCCCTGTGGTCTCTCACCTCAAATGCGTAGTGATTATCTCCTGCACAGGTCATCTGGTCACCCCAATACCGTCAGCTCCGCACCTACCTTCCTTTCATTGAGAGCTCTGATTCTGCTGTGCCGCAGCACAATGCCTCCCAGAATTACACTCTCACACCTGCTCCCTTCGTGCTGCCAGTGAACAAGATCTGACCATGCCCTGCAAATACACCTCCTGGGGGCCCAGGGGACACCCCGACACAGGCCAAGGCGCCCGCTAAAGTTTGCTGAACAAAGAATCGTACTGCCAAACTGCCGTGCAACGGTAATAATTCCAGCAGGTATAAACCTTCCACCAAGAAAAAGAAATTCCAAGTACTGAAACGAAGCAGGTGCATACCGTGGTGCAAGTTAGACTGCAGGTCGTCCTTCACACAGTCGGAGCTGAGGGACCCCACGGGGTCACAGTCACAGGGACGGCAAGGCTCGTCCTCGTAGGGAGACACCTGAGGAGAAGAAGTCGTGGATAGCTTTGAAACAGCGACACAGGCCACAATAGCGTCAGTGGTTCTGGGGTTTACTAAAGACACTGTCTCCATGATCCTGTGTAATGAGTGGGCTGGGTCTCAGGCAGGTGGAGGTCCCAAACATGTTTGGATGGTGACAGCAGTCAGCACCATGGGCACACTCCCGCCCTTCCCCAGGGCCCCTGACGCCTGGCTCCTGACTCCACCATCTCTCAAAGCCACTTTCAAGAGTCACCCACAACCAGGGAATCAGGGGACAGCCAGGAATGAAGTCAGTTGAGACCTCACTGAGGGCGTCCTACAGACCTCCACATCCACAGTGAGTGTCCCCTGAGGCTACATGCTGGTGGGCACCTAACCCAAGCCGGACGCTGCCTACTTGTCCTGCTCTGAGCAAGACCTAGGATGAACGGCAGCAGGGCAGCAGCAGCAGCATGAGAGCCCGAGGATCACCGTGAAGCGAACTCAGTGGTAAGCAAGGGCTGAGGGGAGAACGCTCACCCTGTGTGGCCGGTAGAAGCCAGGGACGCAGGTCTCGCAGTTGACCCCCGCCGTGTTCTGCTGGCAACCGATGCAGACCCCGCCTCCTTGGAACTGCCCCGAGGTGTCCAGGCTCTTCTTCTGCTTCGCGATGTTCTCGTCGTAGTAGCAGTCGCTGGCTTTGTTGTGACAGTTACATTCTGGAAGGGATTTCAGCATCTCGATGAGCACAAAGGGTGTCCTAGGGGAAGCGACCCTCATCTCCTTAAGGAAGTTCCTGCCACTATAAATTAAACTGGAAACTCCAGAGTAAAGATTTCCGCAATCGAGAGGCAATGCCAGAAAGACAATCATGAAAGCACTTCATCTTCTGGGCTTATGCTTGAAAGTCCAGGACAGTCAGCAGTGACCGCACTGAGCTAACAGCACTACCGGCCGGGTCAGCTATTGACTTGCCACCACCAAAATGCCCACCCGCATAGCTACTTAACTGCATTACGTCACATCATGGACTTCTGTGGAACTGCTTTTACAAATAGCATTTCAAATTGCTAGCATGGAAGGAATTTAAAGATACACTGTTGTGTCAGACATGGTGACAGACATCTATAATCAAGCACGGAGAGGCTGAGGCAGGAAAATTTCCAAGAATTTAAGGCTAGTCAGAATTGCATAGAAAACCTTGTCTCAAAAACCCAATATATATATATATATATTTTTTTTTTCAGTATTAAAAAGCAATGTGTGATCATATCACAGTGATATATGCACACCTGTATTTATACCGTAGTAGCACAACTCACAATAGCTAAGTCCTGGAAGTGACCTACATGTCCATCTACAGATGAACAGATAGAGAAAATGTGGAGTTCACAAAGAAGGGAGCAGCATTCTGCCATACAGAAGGATCAACATAAGCCATCTGTTGGAAATGGATGCACCATGAGATCATAAAGTGAAGTAAGTCAGATTCGCAAGCTTAAAAATTGCATGAGTTTCTATGAGAAATTCAACAGATAAAATTAAAGAGCAAAATAAAAGGCAGACAATAGGACACATGGAGATCTTTTGCAGTGGAGAAGGGGACCAGGTGATGAGGGGGATGAAAAAGCATTTAGATGTGGCACCATGTGTACCAATTCCGGGTAATGCATGCAGTCGTTACATGCTGCAAACATGTACTAATAAAAGTAAAATAGATAGAAAGAGTGGTGTGGGGGGCTAGGGTGCGCTCAGCAGTAGAGAGCATGCTTACCCTAGATGGGTCTCCTGAAGCAGCACTATGCTAATACAAGCCTCATTTGCATAGCATTAGGAAGCATGGGCCAGGAGATGAAAGAGGCTTCAAACTAAATGCAACTGAATAAAGATTAATAAATAGAGGGGAAGAGGACCTCAGCTGAAGAGCAAATCCACAAAGACCACTTAGCCCCCAGTACTTTAGAGTTCATTAAAGTCACTTAAAGCTCTGAGAATTTTTCAAAGTTCTAAGGAAACACAACCTGCTAAGATGAAGGCCTTTAGGGCCCTCCAGCCTTTACGACACAGAGAGAAAGAAACCACCTTTGCCCAGGTGTGCAGCACCCACCTTCGCAGGTGTTGCCCGAGGAGACGGTGCCCGGCCTCCAGGGCTGCTGGTGGTAGCCGGGGCAGCACCTGTCGCAGCTCTCCCCGCAGGTGTTGTGCTCACACTGGCATTGCAGGCGCTGGGGACAAGGGGTGCAGAAAGTTACCTTAGAACAGAACAGTCACCTCAGGTAAGGGCAAGGCTGCCCGAGGGAGGCCAGGGGGCTGCGGCAAGCACTTGCGTCTCAGCTCTGGAGAAGCATCTGTGCAGAGGACCTGGTCACAAACCCAGGCGAGGAGGCACCAAGCAAAGATAAAATATGGGCTAACCAACAAGAAGTGTTTAAAAGGATGCATTGACTGTAGCGGGTTGGAAGCTCTTATTAGTAATTTTTTAAACTATTAGATTTTCCCATTGCTTTCTCATGAGTAGTTTTCTGGGAAGCATTTATATTTTTTATTTTTAAGTAAAAACATAGGACAATTTGGTGCTGTAGCTCAGTGGTGAGTATTTTTCCTGCATGCACAAACCCTGGTTTCAATCCTTAGAAAAGAAAAAAAAAAAAGATAATCCTATTCCAGAGTACAAAACTACTAAGACTGGAAGGAAAAAGTAACCTTGTATGTTTTTAAAAGAGAAGTCATATATTATTTACTTAATATTATGCTAAAATACATAAACTTTATCTCGGTTTAGTATTACAAAAATGGAAAAAAGTAAACACAATGGGTAATTGTACCTGGTTTCTGCTTGACTCTTCTACAGAGAGAAGAGCTTCAAAATTCATTTATCAAACTGATAAATGGTTACGGGTGTCTGACCACCAAAAGTCACGGTAAGGACTTAACCACAAATATGTCCTCCAAACAAAGCAAAATGACAAAATGGTTTAAACTAAGAAGCCAGTTAAATCGTCTGCGAATCTTTCTCTTTCCTGTGGCATGGTTTAATGCCTACAACATCTGCCTTAAAGAAAAGGAGAGACATTTGAGGATCACAGCTACGGCTTCTGGGTGCAGTGCCCACGACTCACCCCACATGGGACTCACCTTCGTGGTGGCATCCCACGGACAGCTGCTGGCGTGGCCGTGGCAAATACACATCCCTCCGACAGAAATGTCCTTGATGGAATAGTAGTACTGCAGGGAAGAAGGTCAGAAAGGGAATCAAGGCTCTTTGTTTCAGTGAACAGAAAATGTTGGCTCTGCACCGCTATCTTGGGTGGTGTGTAGGTCGAGGGTAATCTAAAGCGGTATGTACGTTCTAAGCCATTACTTCACGTGCAAAGAGTCTTTGCCCTCAGTTAAAATCAACAGTGCTCAGAGCAGTCTATCAAGGAACTCAAAAGAATCTAGAACAGTTTTCCAACTTGGCTTCATCTTAAACCAAATTGTCTTCAAAATGCATGTTGTTGAAAGCCCTAAAGATTAAATTGAACACAGCCGTATTTAAAAAGGATAACAAGTGAGGTTTATCCTGGGACACAGTCTAACACACGAGTGGCAAACCGACTGCACATCTGTTGCTGTTTTTCTTTCAAGGTGAAAGATGTTAATGTGGAGTGGTTTTAAATATTCAGGTCTAATTGCAGTTGGGCATTTCATGGTAAGTGTGTGCGTTGCAGTTTGGTCCTAGATACCTAAAGGAGGCACTATCACTGGTCTAACCTAAAATTGAGTACTGTAAACTACTACAGAAACAGGGTACAGTGATTTCCTCCTAAGATGTGCTGTCACCACTTCTTTAATTCTTCCATATGTGCTAATATATTTCTTTTATATTCATTTGACTTTGCATGTTGCAACTGAACTTAACTTTGCCAAGTTCACTTATCTCTAGTGTGTTTTTGTAGATTTTCTATATACACAATCATATCATCACATTGGATTTCATCGGAACTAAAATCTTGGCTCATTAGAAGTCCAAGTTAGAAAATGAATAAGCAGATTCCAGACAGAGGGAAGATATTCATGATACCCACACGTTCGAAAAAGGGTGTGTGCTCAGATGAATGAAGATCTGTAACTCAGGAGAAAGGAGGCTGGTCGCCCAGTTTGAAACGGACAACAAATGTGATCAAATACTAGTAAGCAAAGGTTGAGAGAAATGCAGACAGATATCACTGGGACAGGCCACCGTGTGCGGTCACAGCCCTTGACCTGAGGACCACTCAGTGGGCTAGGAGCCTGCGAGCACCTGACATGACCAGAACTCTCGAACGTTGCTGGCCACACTGGGAAACGGTACGACTGCTTTTGAGGAAAGTGTGCCAGCTCCTTAAAACGCTTTTCCACACCCCAGGCATAAAGAGCTATGAAAACATCAATATACGTCCCTGAAACAAATCAAACTTCCCCCAGGGGTCAAGGCCCCAGACTCACCCGCCTCGTAACGATAGGGTCGATATCTCTGGGGTCCAGGTGGCTGAGAGTCATCAGGTCTGCGTTGAGCGTGCGGATGCGCTGCAGGCGGAGGCGGATGTAGCGCGCGGAGGTGAATTCCAGCAGCCTGGGGGATAGGTCATCCGCGCTGGGTCTGCCGTTGATGAGCGACGTGTGAATCTGAAGGCGAGGATGTGACAGAAATGTCTTCTATAAGCACGCAAGGATACAGCTCTGGCTGTTTAAATCTCGGACATATGCGCTGCAGATACCCAAAGTCAAAACCAAACGACTGGGCTCTTGTAGGAATGAGTCCACCCATGTGTGTCAACAGCTCAGGAGTCACCAGGCCCTCACCCGTAACGGATGGACACTGCCATCCAGTGTCTCAGCTCACTGGAATCTCCTCCAGAGCAAGGAGGACATCCCAGCATCTGTATCAAGCTAGGGCTTTCCAAAGGCCACAATTGTGCTAGAGAGAGGAGAAGGGGGCACAGCCTGTCTTAAAGATGCCCGCTTTCTTAATAAAAGTCTGCTCCTGAAAGAGTGCGGGCTTCCTGCAGAGGCCCTGCTGGGAGGAGCACTTTGGAGTGATTTGGTGTTGTGGTTTCACCTCACTGAACAGGTGTGCAAATGCAGGTGTGCAAATGCAGGCTGGGCATGCTGGGCCTGAGCTGAGTACTGTCTCGTCCTTGGTACTCTCCAAAGAGAAGGCTGACACGGGAAACGGGGTGCCACATCATTTAGAGGAAAGTTGGCTCCCCTTAATATTTCAGCAAATGCTCTTGACCTCAAATCCCAGAAAGATGCTCTGAAGGAGAAACTGGGAGGCTCGGGGATCACAGAAGTGCAGACTCGGGGACCTCCAGGAAGGGGAGAAATCGGGAAAGGAACACAAATCCATGGGGACACTGATCATCACAGAAGCCACGCCAGGCTGGAGCCACAGGAAAGATCCCGTGCTGAGAGCAACCAGCTCTGAGCAGCAATACTGGCTCCCGGGAGGCTAAGTCAGCACCGGGGCAGGACACTGACACATGGTCTCCCCTGTGTTACCTCTCCATGCTCCAGGGGCACGAGCCGGGAGTAATAGGAGGTGCAGATGACTTCATCATCAGCGCGGTAGGTGGGTGGCCCACGCCTCGGGGTTATGTTGTAGCGCGTCAAGCACTCAGAGTCACTGATGGCATAGAACTGCCAGGGGCTGAACGTGGCACCGTCTACGGAGCGCTCCAAAATCCAGTTTCCAGGTCTCGGGGCATTGGCCGCTTTGATGATGACATAGGCCACCTGAAAGACCTGAAGGAAAACACGGGGTGGCGGGGGAGGGGAATGGTGTGTGTGTGTCTCAGTCCCAATCAGGACCTCAGACACAGAGAAGTGAGCTCCGCATGGGTGGCATCGGGGAAGCTGGGAGTGGGTGCTGGCTTCCAGGAGCTGGGCAAGGGGCACGGTTCCAGTTGTGTGAGATGCGCCTTTGGGGCCTCGTGTAGCAGTGGGATGATAGGGACCACACTATAGGAGGATGGATCTTGAGTGAGATGGAGGAAGGGTAAGGATCAGAGGGAGGAAAGGGGACACAAAACAATCCCTGTGATGAGCACAACCTTTTCAAACCCCAACACACACGAAGGAAAATTTAAACAAGAAAAAGGAAAGCTGTATGTTGGAAACTTACTGTGAGGTTAGATCGTAAGTGTTCTTGCCACAGAAAGAGGGAAACTCTGGGAAGCGATGGATGTGTTACTGTTCATTATCTTGACAGTGTAGATTGTTCTAGTGTCTGTTTATATCAAACCATCAAGTTGTGTGCTTTACACATGTAAAATGTGAAAAAAAACTTAGAAGGACGGTGGCAACTACTCAGAATGTTTACTGAGTAAAACACTGTACAATGATCACCAGCGCATTTTTGCATATTTACATTTACATGAATCAATTAATTATGCACTCTAAGTAGGAATTTGTCTTATAAATATCCTCCAGTGGCACCTGTTTTTCAAATAAACTCAAAAAAAGTACAAATAATCTTGCATCATTATTAACAGTAACATTAGTAGGAGCATAGGAGCTGGTTGCACTGCTTCCAGACTGGTCTTCCTCTGGCTGGATTATGACTGACACATCACAGTAGCAGAGTTAAGTGTATTTGTCATGGAGAATTTGGGAGTCAAAACACCTGAGTATAAGAAAAGTCCGCTAACCATGTGGCTACTAGGAGAGCTAACATCCAAATCTGACAACACCAAGTGGTGACGAGGACGTGGACCAAGAGTCCCACACATTGCTAGAGGCAGAGCAGCTGGCACAGCCGGGCAGCTCCTTATAGAAACCTCTCCACCCCACGAGCCAGCATCTGGGCTCCTCTGTATTTACCCACACGAATAAAAACATCACAAAGATTTTTATAGCCACTTTCTTCATAAACATCCAAATGAGGAGCACCCAGAAGCCCCTCCACAGGTGAACAGGTGCGTGGGCCATATGGCCTCCAGGCAGAGACGCATCACCCAGTGATAAAGCAAACGAATCACCAAGCCACGCAAAGACAGGGCGTATCATTACACGAAAGAAGCTACACACTGCACAACCCCAACTGTGTGACATTCCTGAAAGGCAGAACTTTGAAGACGAAGGGGTCAGTGGTCGCTAGTGGATGGGGGAGGACAGAGGAACAGGGGCAGTGGGCCACTTCACAGGGTGAAGCTAGCAAGGTGGAGGACACTCATTTGTCAAAACCTGCAGAATGCACAGCATGAACCTTGCTGTCAACCACGGACCTGATTAGTAGTAACCATGACAGTGTATCAGCACAGGCTCATGCTCCAACACAAGGAGTTGCCAACAGGAGACACTCAAGGAGAGGAGGACGGTAACTGGCTGCGCTTTCCGCTGTTAACCTAAAACTGAAATCTAAGGGAAAAGTCAGAGTAGGGAGGAATGAGATGGAGGAAAAGGATGTACATGGCCAGCAACAGGATGAGGAAACCAGCTGGGCAAATCTGGATTGGAAGAGACCTCTGGCCAGCACTTAAGATGGATTTCGCAGCTCCAGCCCTTCCCCAGCAGGGCAGGAAGTACGTTTGCTCCAGATATAATCCTTTTGTTTCAGGACAAAGTTCCAAGAGGGGTTTTTTTGTTTGTTTTATTTTTGTGGATTGATTCAAGGTCTTTTGTAAGTTCTATACTCTGTAAATTTCTAGAAAGAACAGATGTCTGTCCCCACTTTGATGCAACTACCCTTCAAACACTAGAGCTTATCTGTCATATGTCTCCACCAGAACCCGAAGTCTTCTCTCCTTTTAGCTCCGACATCCTGGAGACATCCATTATTTCATGTGACATCACCTCCTTGTCACCATACTTCAAACAGCCATGTGTTAAAATGCAGTTTCCAGGAACTGAGCACAGAACTTTCACTGTTTCCTACACCAGAGGAAACCGTAAAAGTGTCCTGTCCTTTGTTTCGGTAACTTCGCCTTGGCAAGCATCCGCTCTTGGGAGCAAACTGAGATTTCTAACTCAGATTGGGGCTGCAACTAACAACCAAAAGCCCTCGTCCATGTGGGCTGTTTACTCAGGGTTTCCTCTCACCCAGATGGATCGCTTTTTAAAACCAAAGCTCAGTATGTTCTACTTCTTTAAACAGTCAGACCACTCTGCCTGTGGGCTCCGCATCCGAGGATTCAGCCAACTGCAGCTCAAAAACATTTTCTAAGACTGCCTCTGGACTGAATGCGTGGGTGTTTCCTCTTGTCTTTCTCTCTTATCAATACAGCACAGCAAGGGATGCTATCAAGGGATGGTTGTATCCACAGCACACACGGGTGTGTGACACACACACCTGCCAATGTGCATACGAACGGGCATGTGTGTGTGTGCAGACACACACCTGTGGGACGGAGCGCCTCTTTACTTACCCTGATCTCACCACTTCAGGGTTACTCCGGTTTCCGTTTTTCTGTGTTAGCTTATCTCCACTTTCGCACTGTCCAATTTCAGGGCACAGGAGCACCTTAAAATTAACTCACCACACACCAAGTGATTTTACATGCACCTCCTGGTGCCAGGGGGTGCGTAGGAACAGGCAGTCCTGTCTTTCTGTGTTACTCTGCACATCTGCAAGATGTTCTCATTGGAGCTGCACAGAGAGTTGACATGGTCACTCTCATGCTGTTGTCCTCTGGAAGGCCACCACTGCTTCTAAGGCATATTGGAAGCGAAATGATGCCTTCAGGTAAATGAGGACAACAGAGAACACCCTCCTATTTATGCACTGCTGTCCAGTTGTTTTTGCAAATAATCTTCACCAAAAAAGTAGAACCCTATGAGCATGAATGCATGCAGTGGCCGCTCTCTGCTGTGACCCTGTGCCCGTGTGAAACCGAACTTTACAAAGTACAGACAGCAGGCGAGGTAGGGCGGCTGCAGCCTGCTGGAGAGGAGAGAGGTGAGGTCATTTACAAAGGCTTCCAAACCAGGACCTAGCCACCTTCCACCCTCCAGTTTCCTGCAGGTAAATGAGAAGTGCCAACTGGCTCACCACATGTGGGTTAAGAGTTGTGCTCAACCACCTCATTTAATTTTACACAAAGCCATCATTGCTTCTGTGTGCCTTTGCATATTTGAAAACTGATACAAAGGAGATCAAAGAACAATCTGCTGAGCTGCAGGTTCCGATAAGAAACCAGGTGATCTTCCTTGGGTCATCTGTCCCATCTCCCGCCTGCCAGAGCTCAACCCTTTACCCCCGAGCTACACCCCAGCCCTGAACTGCAGCAGCGGCAGCAGCAGCACCAAAGCCTCTTGCTGTCACCTGGAAACAGGTTCCTATCTAAAGATGCAGGGTGACGGTGTCCCCATCAATCCTGTAGCTTCTGTCAGGACAGCTTAGGATGAGTGAGGAGAAAGGATGGACCCTGAGCAAGACACAGAAATTAATGACTGTTAGCTGAGTGATGGATGCTCCCTAATAAACAGTGGTTCATTTTGGTAATAAACTAAAATTTGAAATACAGAGCACTTGTTGTGGTATGCGACAGTGTAAATCTCTCCTAGATCATTAACACTTTGAAGATTTCCATTTAGATTCTCCTTAGGAAGTCAGTACTGCCATCTCCTGAGGACAGAAAGGGGAGATTCCTAGGTACTCAGCTATTCCCCCCAGAGCTTGAAGCCAGGCAGCCTGCACTTGTGACCACTCAGATGCACCATGTCTACAAGTTAACAAAAAAATCAGGGTGCAAGGACTTAGGCGACTGAGGAGATGACACCCAGAGCCCCTGACCTGTTACTTGTGCCAGGAGGGCTTAAGCTGCTTCCATGCCCCAGCGCCTTACCAAACCCTTGCTGGCTTCTGTCCCAAGAGTTTATGTGCTTGCACATGGAGAGAATGGCGAATGCAGACAGGCAGAGTGGGACATCTCTGGACAAGGCCCCCGAAGGAACTGGCGCCTCCTGTCTTGCTCAGTCTTCTGGGATGGGGCAGGTCACTGTTCTCAGTACCCCTCAGTCCTCCTCTAGGTCCCCAAAGCAGGGACCAGGAAACAAATTAAAAAGGGACTGTGACTGGTCAGTCTGATAAAGAGGAAAAGGATGCTACCAGGAGGCTAAAAACAACTCGCCTTTACTTCCCCCATTCCACATTAACCACCTCTATCCCCGGGATCTCAGAATGTGCCTGGGTCTAGAGATAAGGCCTTTAAAGACAGAAGCAAGAGATGACAAGCTGACCCAGTGTGACTGGTGTCCTTCCAAGAAGAGGACAGAGACACACACAGAGGGTCAAGCACAGGGAACTTAGAGAGATGATGACCTTGGACAAACCAAAGAAAAAGCCCACAGAAAAACTGGCTTCACCACCAGCCAGGTCAATCTACAACATCCCCGGCCTCTAGAAGTTACAGAAAGCAGCTCCTCGGTTTCAGCCACCTGGTCTGGGGTCTTTCCCAAGGCAGCCTGAACTGATTAACACGGCTCTAAATCACCTCTGTTGACATGCAGGTCTTCCGCAAAATGTAGAAAAAGCTAGGCATTCTCTGGCAGTGGATAGCAAATCCTAAACCTTTGTCTAAATAGAATCCACAGCATTTCTGTCACCCTTGTTTGCCTTGGCACGGCTGGCTGAAGTGACGGCCTGTTCTCTGGACAGAAGGCTGCTGAGCACAAACTGTCGAGGTGGGAGTTTTCACCAGGCCCAATGGGCACAGCCTGCCCACCCCGCAGCTGATGCAGCCGCTCTGAAATCCACTATCAGCGGTTTTCCACCCAATGGCCTTGTGAACCATCACTGGAATGCA